TGGCTCTTTCCTGGCCGCTCCTGCCAGTGTGGGCTGTGGGCTGGCAAGGAGTACACTGAAAGACTCCTTGAGGCCACTGGGCCAGAGCAGGCATGCGCTGCCCTGCCCATCCCTATAACTCAGCCAGTTGGGGAAGGTTACCGAATGGGCACGGTCCGCTCCTGTGTCCCAGCAGAGGTTACTGTCTCCTGCTCCAGGTCTTCATGGGGGAGAAGCCGTGGGACCTTTTGAGTTTCAGCTGGAGGGAGACAAGAAGCCTGGTGAGGACCTGTGTGGTGCTCCTTAGATCTGTGTGGGCCCCCGCAGGTCTCCCCATCACCAGGCGGGGTGGAGGAGACTGTGGCTAAGAGAAGCTCCAATTCCCAGCACCTTGGCTGAGAACCAGGCAGGGCCCGCATATTCAGACTCGTGGCTCAGCAGACGGCAGGCCAGCGATGTATGCTGGCCATACTGCAGAGGCCAGATGCCAGGACTTTCCTGTTCTCCGGTCACAGTGCTCCTATCTGACAGCCGGGCTGGCACTGGGAAGAGCAGCCCCTGCCCTCCAGGCCACCCCTGGAGAGCATCCCAGAGAAAACCATGATCATGCTGACGATCTCAGTGCTATGAGAGCCAAGAGGCTTCCGCAGTTTTTCAATAACTGATGTGAGGGCAGAACACAGAACGACGGACATCAAGCACAGATGCCCAGAGACAGCGGTGTAGGGCCCCACGGAGAACAGTAAGGCCCTTGACCCAACTCTACCCAGCAGACTCTGAGAAGAGAGGAAACACACTACACTGATTAGAAAAGCTGGGCTGGGGGTGGCAGCAGACGGATGGTGCATCCAAGGAACCTGAAGCCACAGGCCTGAGAGCAGCCCCGAACCCTGCTGCCTGATGAAAACTGCAGTGAGTGCGGCCAGCTGTCCGTGCATGGTCTGCAGGCTGGGGTGGGCTCTGGAGAGGCAGGCGCACTCCTGATCCCCAGTCGGTGGTCAGGACCAGGGATGGACAGCGTCCTCTGCAGACAGGGCCGGAGTGAGGCTGACCTCACAGTGGATCTGTGGCCAACTGGGGAACCTCTAGGTCCCTGTGTTCTTCCCCAGCCCCATCCACAGCGTACAGTCCACTGTCTCCCACATCGTCTGCACCCTGCCCTCCTGGGGTCTCTTAGATTCTTGTCCTCCCTGCCTTGGTCACCTATCCTAAAGGAATGTCATGTTGTGCTGTTCCCTGGTGTCTCCACACCACCGTAAAGAGGCTCTCCTGACTGATCTTCCTTCGCTACCCTCATGCCCTGTCGCCTGAGGACGCTATCAGGTGAGTGTGGACCTGGGGCTGCAATGTTCTCCCCGAAGACCTCAAAGGGCCTCTGCCACTGTGAGCCCCAAGTACGGACCGACATGGGGCCCTCTGCTGCCCATGCTGCTGCCTGGCCACCCCCCACCCCAGGCCACAGTGTTTGGGGAAATGGGTAGCGGGCCCCTTTTCTCCTGCAGGGCAGGGGGTCCTTTCTAGGGTTTGTTCCCCATGCCTACATGCACAGAAGCTCAAAAGCCCTGGCAGACGCAGGTTTCTCTCCATCTGGATCTGGTTTGGGGGCACAGGGATGTCCTCTGGCTCTGACTTTGCCATGATTGCCTAGTCTCCTCATCACGGGGCTGGGGGAACACAAGGCTTGGGCCCCAAACATGGCAGTCTGCCCTTGTATGTCATCACAGGCAGTGCCAGAAAGCTCGTGCCCGCAGGGTGTGGAAGGACATAAGTAGGCTCTCATGTTTACCCATGCTTGGCTACAGTCCAGTGACTGCAGTGGCTGAGCAGGCATGCTCCATGTGGCTGGCCTGCCTTGCCGACTGAAGCCCTCAAGACCTTGCACGGCAGCGTCAGCTGTTTCCCTTTGCTCACCCTGTCTCACCTAAGCGTCTTGTTGCCTGCAGCCTCTGTTGGCCTCACTACCCAGCCCTGGCGGTCTCAGCACCTGTCGCAGGACACGCCTCCTCCCAGCGCTCAGCCTCACTCTGGCCCTGTCTGCTGAGGACTCAGAGAGTTAACCATTCCTGGACCACCAGGTGGGGAGCAGGGGTCCCTCTCAGGTGCCCACCCTGGCCTGCAGGAAGGGTCTGGATGCATAGCTGCAATCCTTGCAACTGAATCTGCATTAGGCAGCAAGACCCAGAGGAGCTGTCCCCTACCTGGAGCCTCAGTTTCCCCCAAATGCAGCCTCTGTCCTTAGGGAGAAATTCACTCAAGTACTCCATATTAGGAGCACCTTACCCACCTAAAGGAAGAGTCTTGGGTCACAGTGGAGTATCCTATGGGGAGAAGCATCCTAATTCAATCTTACTCTATCCCTCCCCCCCACTCCATCCTCCTTCCCATCTTCCTCCACTCTTCCTTCCACCTGTCCTCCACTTCTTCTCCTTGCTCCTCCACTCTCACTTCTTTCTTTCTCCCTCCATTGAGAAGAATGGGGTAACCAAGCTGGCCAAGGACCAACGTAGGAGGCTCCTGGATCTTGAGAAAGACCGATAGTGGGAAGATCCTTCCAAAGCCCATCCTGTCCCAAATCCACACATGGGATGTTGAGGCCAAATGGGGGTGGGTTTCCCCCAGCGTGCACAGTTCATGAGCCATCAAGACTCCAAATCAAGGTCCCAGTGCACTTAGAGCTCACGCCCACTGGCGTGGGATGTGCGCTCACGCCTGCTCTCGTGGCATGTGCGCTCACGCCCGCGCTCGTGGCATGTGCGCTCACGCCCGCGCTCGTGGCATGTGCGCTCACGCCCGCTCTCGTGGCATGTGCGCTCACGCCCGCGCTCGTGGCATGTGCGCTCACGCCCGCTCTCGTGGCATGTGCGCTCACGCCCGCTCTCGTGGCATGTGCACTCACGCCCGCTCTCGTGGCATGTGCGCTCACGCCCGCTCTCGTGGCATGTGCGCTCACGCCCGCTCTCGTGGGATGCGTTGGCTCTTGTCATGCCTCACCGGCTGCAGCTGAGGTTGCGGTGCCCGGGGGTGGGGGGGTGGCCTCCTGGAGCGCGGTGGACCCTCCTGAAAGGGCGCCAGCGAGGTCTTCCGCTGAGGGGCCCAAAGACTCAGGGCCCAGCAGTTTCTGAAGGACAGATAGGACTTTCTGGTCTACTCCATCCAGGGCAGGCTGGGCAGACTCCTCCAGGGCGGTGTCTGTGAAGAGGTGGGTTAGCACAAATAGAGTAAGGCAGGGAGGGAGGAGGTTCTGAAAGAGCGTGTCAAGGCAGGGATCCCCATCCCAGTCCTCAAAGATTGCCTAGGCGTAATCCTAGCTAATCAGGAGGCTGAGATCTAAGGATCACGGTTCAAAGCCAGACTAGGCAGGAACATCTATGAGACTCTTATCCCCAATTAACCACCAGAAAACCAGAAGTGGTGCTGTGGCTCAAGTGGTAGAGTGCTTGCTTGGAGCCCAGAGTTCAAGACCCAGGACCGATGGGGGGGGGGGGGGGGGAAGATTGCCTGCGTGTGCTGATCCTGCTGACACCCCTAGCTATTTCACCCACCCATCTGCTCCTCACTCAGGAGACTATTCAAAGAAATAGGAGCCCCAAGACCCATGCTGGGGCAGCGGCTTCCTCTACCTGGAGGACAGCTCAGGCCCAACCCCACCCCCCTGACACTTCAGAGACAGCAGGCCTCCACCGCCACGCTGTGTGCACCCTCCATCCCCAGGCTGGTTTTCCTCGAGGCTGACTCTAGACCCTAGGGTGCTGGACTGCATAGCCCCAAACCTGGGGTAGCCTGACACAGTATCAAGGGCTAGGGCGTCCCGGTGGCCACAGCCATGGCCTTTCCTAAGGACAGGTCCACCTCCCAGACAGCCCCAGTGCCCGCCCACCCCTACCTAAGCAGAAACACCCTACTGTCCACCCGCAGTCCAGCCAGGCCCAGCAGCCTTCCTCTGGCCCTTCTCTCAGCCTCCACCTGCCCCTCCCATGCCTTCCAGGTTCCTCTAAGCATGGCTCCTGCCCTTGTCTTAGGCAGGCTCTTCCAGACCTGCTTACTAACCCCTGAGCTGTCTCACTTAAGTGTCCCAGAATGTGGCAACATGACCAATCCATCATCATTAAGTTCCTTTCCAGAACCTTCCCCACTCCAACCCTCCTCAGGCCCTGCTGGTAATGATCTCCTGCCCCAAACTGGATAGGCAGCCATCCTTCCTTCCCACCCTAAGATGTCAGCAGTATCCCAAGGCAAGCCTTGTGCTGGAGGTCAGTGGAGCCCTGTCCCCAGCAGCAGCAGGGACCATGGAATTGCCTGGGGCATCTCTGCTGTAGAAGCCAATCTCTGGGTGCCAGGTGCTCTGGCCGGTCACACATGTGACTCCCCAAAGCCCACCTGGTCTACAGCAAACTGTCCAGGGCTCAGAAAGAGCTGCTCAGGCCCCTGGAAGTCCAGAATGACCACTAGTGACTATCTTGGCCAACGCATGTGTCCCTGGGGTCTGCTCCCACAGCTTGTATGTGGACAAATTAGGTCTATGTGCGGCCACAAGTTTACCCAGAGCTTCAGAAAGGCTGGGATGGGACATATGGGTGCTTCACTGGGGAAGGTGAGTGGGCCTACATGGCCCCAGTGTGACCTTGGAATCAAGGAATGGGGGTGGCTGGCTAAAGCCCACCCAGGGCTACAGCTGGAGGAGACCCTGGGAAGCCAGGTGCAAAAGCAAGAAGAAGCAGAGAAGAGCAGCAGGGAGATTTTTATTGTTTCTATCAGAGCAAGAGATGGGGTGTCTTCCCAAATGCAGAGCCTTTGTCCACCTTGCCAGAAGATCTTCAGAGCTGGTGATGGGGGCCACACACACCTTGGATGTGGTCCAGGGAAAATCCCTTGGGTCACAGTCTCCCAACCTGCAGGACAGGCCTGGCAGCTGTGACCCACAGTGGAAGACAGATGCCCTGATTTATGTTGTGTGTGGCCCTGACAGGCCAGGAAGAAGCTGCTCCTTGCCAAGGCTCGTTTGAGGTGACTGAACACTTTCCAACGTTATGGGGCTCTGTCCAGTCCTCCCAGCTGAAGATCAGATCCAGTGAGGTAGAAGGGCCAGGACAGGAGGTGGGCTGGCTCATGCTCATACTTGTTGATCAGCAAGGGTGTCAGCAGTCCTAGCGCACATTCCAAGGTGAGCTGGGAGTTTCCTGAGGTCAGATGAGAGTGCCCAGCAGGGCTACAAGCAGCTTCCCTCCCTGCTGTCCCCACGTCACAATGGCAGCACATGAAGAGAATCTGGCTCTGAGCGTCTCCCCAGCTGGTGCAGCCTCAGCTCTGGGAGGGGCCAGGAGCCTCATCCTCATCCGGGCAGATGTGCAGAGTGACTGTCTCTCCCACAGTCCCAAAGCCAACCATCTGGGTGGAAACCTCCGTTTTGAAGCTACTCTGGCCACTGTCTGCAGAGCGCTGGAGCTGGGCACAGAAGGAGGCGGCCCAGGGGGTGCTGCTCACAGGCTCTTGGGCCTCCCGCACAAGGAAGGAGGCACCCTCTGGGCTGCAAACCTGGGGTCCCAACCTGAAGAAGCCAGGTGGGCGCTGATGGCCCCAGGGATGCCCCACGCTGAGCAGGACAGGCTGCCCCACCGTCGGCTCACTAATCTCTCTCTGGAGCACGGAGACCTCGCAGGGTGGATCGTCAGGAATGTGGGGCACAGAGTCCTCACAGCCAAAGTTCTCCCCTTCCTGGGGCACATAATCTTCTAGATCAGCCAGGGTTAGCACACGGCCATTATGTGTGAGAATTTTGGGGTCACGGCTGCCAAGGCCGCCGGTAACCTGGGGTTCCTCTGTCACAACGGTGCTTCCGTCCCCATCACTCTCCCCCGCCGTCTCCTCGGCGCTTACCTCCTCTGACTCAGGGCTGGCAGAGCTCCCAGTGTGCACACAGAAAAACAGAGGCTCACTGACACATGCCGCAGCTGTGCCCTGAGCTCCAGACTCCTGGTCCAGTCGCTTGTTGTTGGAGTTATTGGTGTTGGGATCCTCCCCAGGGGTCCCTCTAGGTAGTGTGAAGAGCAGCTCCCCTAAGCTGCCAGGGCTCTCTCTGACAGGAGACGCGCCCGGTGATCCTGTCTTCTTCACTCGGACTTCAATGGTCTCCTCAACCTCCAGCCACTCAGGCCGGGGCCCAGCACCACTGGGATGAGCTGGAGAGAGGGCCTCAGCCTCTGTCACAAACAGTGTGGGTACAGCAGGCTTCCGGTCGGGCTCCACTTTGAGTGTGCGGGGCTGGCTGGACCTCGGTGGGTACAACAGCTCGGCAGCCAGCTGGCCTGGCCTTGGAGGGCTGGCAGAGTGGCGGGAAGGTGAGCAGGAGGGGGATTTGCCAGGGGACCGATGTCGGCCACGAGGACTCTTCACCACGGTGGTGATGGTCTCCTCTCTGGTAGGGGAAGAGGGCCCAAGAGGAGTTGGGTACAGAGACCTGCAGCCTCACCATGCCATCAGCATATGCCAGTTAATGCGTGTGCGTGAGTAGGAGGGGAAATGAGAGTGCACAAACTCCTACACATGCTCTCGAACCCAGTTTGCACCACCTCCAATCCAAAACTTGAAGAAACAAAGCACAAAGTTGCATGGGACTAGCTTCAGACTCTACACGGGATCTTAAAAGAACAGTCCAGGTATTTGGAAGGCCCATGCCACATCACACAGACAGGCATCTCCAAAAACCAGGTAAGGTCCAGAATATGATGTCTCCCTGTGCCAATCTCTCCTCATCGAACCCACGAGCAGGCTTTGTGCTGTGTTCTGTGGGGGAGGGTGCACTGGGCAGTTCTCACTGGATACGGTTAAGGACAGCTACACAGCTGTGTAACAGCAGCATGCACAGGCTAAGTGCAGGCCAGAGCCAGTTTAACCTGCAGCCTTGCTCCTGGCCTCTCGGGTGAAGGTGTACGGCTAGTGAGGCTCCGGCCAGGCTGAAGGGTAAACCTAAGCTGGACAGCTAGCTCCAGACTTGGATTGGCTGTCACAGGGCATGTGACTGAGACAGGCCCTTTCCTTTCTGGGTTTCATCTTCCAAAATAGGACTAGAATGTCTGGGAAGAAGCAGGATGCAGTGCCAGGTACGTGAGGGTAGACGTTAGTTATATCCAGAGACTCTGCAAGCTTTCTCGTCTGACAGCCTTTGAGTGTTCTACCTTTCTCACAGATATGAGCAGAGGGGGTGAGAATGGCTCTATACTTCCTCAGGGCCAAGTCAGAAACACACTAGCCACCCAGGTCCTCCTCGAAAGCGACCAGCAGGCGCAAGAACAAACCGACAAGACACAGGCTCCACTGTCCTAACCTTCCCTCAGGGTCAGGCAGCGGGGCTGGAGACACATGGCGGCGGTGTGCTGCTGTCCCCAGGTGTGGACTGCACCTGAGACATTCCTCTCTCTTGTCTATTCTTTTGCCTAAGTTGGGGCTTCATCCAGAAGCAGTTGCTCCCAAGAACAAGTCACAGACATGTGACCTTTGGAATGCTCAAGATCTCTGTTCTCATCTGGTGAAAAAGAAATGTTCCACTCCACCTAGCATTGAAATTCAGGCCTCCAACCTGGGCCTGCAGCTAAGTCAGAGCCTTCTCCAACGCTGGTGCCACTTGCTACCTAACGCCCTAGTCTGCTGTGAGGGCAGGGCTGGGTGGCGCTAGGCAACTGGTCACTCCAGCATCTTCCATCTGCTGTGTCCATGAGGACAATGGGTCACCCCCCTGGGCTCCTGAGTGGTCGTCCCCATGCTGTTTCCTCAAAACTCAGTCTGGAGTTACACTAGCACATTTCAAGTGCTCAAAACAAACATGTAGCTACTGTCTGCTACACGGGGCAGTGAAGATACGCTATTCCTACCACCACAACTTCTGCTGGATAACACGGCCCCAGATGCTCCAGGCAGAGAGGGGCAGAGTTATGCCTCCGGCCTATGGAGGAGACATTCTCAGCCTAACTTGTGGCAATCGGGATCCAGGCCCTGAGCGAGCAGAACAAAGTTGCTCTACTGGGAAAGGGAGCTGTGGGTAAGGCATGGAGACCCTAGAAAAGATGTGAAGTGTGGGAAGCCAGTGGCATAGGAAAAGTGGCTGCCCAGGTGTCTGCAAGAATCTGCAAGGGGCATGCAAAGGCCACATGTGCAGGCAGCCAAGCAAGCAGGTGGCCAGGAGACACAGGCAAGGGCTTGGCAGGTCCAAGTTAGCGGCATGCGGGCACACTGCAGTCAGAAGGAAGGTTAGAAACACGCCTGCACTTACATGATGACGGTTTTCTTGGGGACTTTAGTCTCCTGCTCAGTGACTACAAAGAAAACAGTCGGAACAGCAAGGGTTACCTTCCAGCCAGTGCCAAGGAGGGGTAAGGGAAGACTGACCATCTGAGTGGCATGGCAGTGTGGAAATCTGTTCAGCTTAGGAGTCTAAGTTCTGCCTGGCAGTGTTTCTCTGGCAGACCCGCTCAGCTTGGAGTGCTAGGTCTCCTTCATCTTTGAAAAAGAGGTAACGAAGTCTGTGTGTGGCAATAATGCATCACACAGGAGGGGAAGACCCGGGATGCCTGTTGGGAGCACAGGTCCTCCCTCAGCTCATGGGTCGGCTTGCCCTGGAAACTTGTCAAGCATCTGGTCCCCATCTCAGACACAGAAACACTTCCTAAGCACCAGCAGCCACACTGGAACTGGATACTGATGTCTTTTTCAGCCTAAATCCTAAAAGCCAAAAGATGAGGGGTGCTGGAGGCCTAAAAATGCATGTCTGAGCTCATGGTACAAGGTCACAGCTGTCCTGCCAAAAGCAGCCCCCACAGGGCACCCAAGAAGGGTCTTGACCTCTGCATGAGAAGAGCAAGCTGTCTTCCTACAGGAGTACTCACAGCCCACCTCGGTGGCCTCTCTTGCTTGTCCCGAGCCAGCAGGACCCACCTCACTGGTGGAGGACCAGAGGTGTGGACAGGATAGGGCTCACCTGGGAGCGGAGCACCTGCCTGGCCACAGGCCGGCAGGCAGCTTCTACCAGTGCCCTCACATCTCATCGGCCCCTTGTATCATACCTTATGGGGAAATCTGAGCTGGAGGCCCAGAGCACTTCGCCTGTGTCATTTCCTGCTTTGCTATACCATCACATAAATAGGCTTTCTCTTAGGTAGAATTTTAAATGTGTCTCAGATGAAGTGCACTAAAGAACTAAAGTACTTGCTGTGCCTGTGCATTTGGAAGATACCATTCCTGTGTGTGTGCATATACATGCATATATCTTGCAATTATACGCAAGTGCATGCAAGTGTATACATGTATACATGTAGGTATATGCACATGTGTGTACTCACACATGTGCATGCATATGTGTTTGTGCAGGCTTCCTTCTAGGGAGGGATGACCATGGAGAGAGGAAGACTGGCACTCAGCCATAAAGCTCCATGGATCCCAGAGATAGCCAGCATTTTCACCACTTTCAAGAAACAGGATGATGAGAAAGCTCAGGACATCTTCCTCTGTCCTTCCCAACAGGCTCCCCCTTTCTAGCTTTGAGGACGGTAGACAGGACCCTCTGGGCTGCCAAATCCCTAGCACCTTCATCCATGGTCCTCAGCTGCCAATGACCAGCTGTGGGCCTGAGTGAGTACTGGGAAGTACAGGAGGGGTGCAGCTATGCAAAGCAGGGGCTCCTGCCTGGTGCAATTCACAAGCCAGAGGGCAATGCCCTCCCAGCCAGCCTGCCCGGGCCGGCAGAGCCACAGGGTTAAGAAGAAGCGGCAGGACAGGAGTTAGGAAGCGGGGAGGCATTGGGCTCCAACTCCAGGTCTTCAAGAACCAGCCTCTTGCCTCACCAGAGTATCAACGACGCAGCTGGCACTGGCGGGCCCCAAGGCCTGCTCTCCAACGCTGCCCCCCTCCTCTGTGCCCAGAAAAAGACTCCTTGTGATAACCAAGTGAACGACAGTAGAAGATGCTCTGTCCCCAACCATGAGATGTGGACGTGCCGGTGGCGGCAGAAGCAGCTGCACATAGTGTATGGTCACCCAGCGGTGGGGCCCACGGGTACCATGGGGCCTTCGGGGACACAAATCAGACACGGGAGACTATCAGTAGAAAGGGACTTGGCCAGTATCTGTGGCCCTGTCAGGGACAGGACAAAAGGACCTCTGTCTGTTGAGGAACAAGTCTCCATGAGAACTATGGACTGCATTACGGGTCCCAAGGCTGAGCTCCGGGGCTCCAAGGGCCTGAGTTCTGGGAAGGTCTTCAGAGGGAGAGAGCTCAGGGATTCAACCTCAAAGGGATGGTTTCCAGTGGCCAAACACCACAGTGGCCAGCTGTCAGGCCTCGAGGGTGTCAACTCTACTCCATTCTACTGTGGGAGTGGGCCCAGCCTGTGCTCGAAGACCCCAAGAGAGGAGAAGTTTTCCAGCAGCCCCTTCCAGGTGCACAACTGCAACGGAGAAGCACAGGAAGGACTCCCATTGCCTCCTTCTCCGTCCTGACTGGCTGAGCCAGCTGGAACCTTGCAGGAGTAACATGTCATAACCTCTGTCCCCTTCTGTCCCCAGTGTGGCTTATTCTGAAGCCTATTTCCTCTCAGGGACCCAGCAATCAACCCAAGTCAGGCCAGGGACACTAAACAAATGATCTGACCTCTACAGGGCCACGCCCAGCCTGGAGCAAGGAACTGGGAATACCGGCTGCACACCACGAAAGTCTCCTGCCACCCACTCTTTTTTTGGGCCAGTGCTGGGGCTTGAACTCAGGGCCTTTTGATCTTGGCTTTTCACTCCAAGTTGGCACTATACTACCTCCACGTCCAGCTTTTGGTAGTTAACTGGAGATAAAAGTTTCATGGACTTTTCTGCCTGGGCTGGCTTTGAATTGTGATCCTCAGATCTCAGCCTCCTGAGTAGCTAGGGTTCCAGCCTGAGCCACCAACCTCCAGTCTTTTACTACTCCTGTCACCTGCACAGGGCCTCCCTGATCACTAGCAGTAAGGCTGAAATGTGGTCTTCGTGCACATTTCCTGCTGTGCAGAGCACTGAGCAGGGCTCTAGGATCCTCTGCCCACCCAAGGCTGCTTCTCCAGTCTTCACAGCAGGCTCATGGCATGGGCTCCGCCAGACTACACATGGACTGAGAATGCCCTGCAGCTGCCTTCTCTGGCCCCTCCGCCACCCTTCCAGCCACAGCCCTTCCTTCCCTGAAATGCCAACCCTGGCCCCTCATCAAGGAAACACATCCTGCTTGGAGGGGTGATGGTTCCAGCTTTACCGGGCTCCACTCAAGCCCACGGAGAGTGCAACCCAAGGCATAAGACTTAGTAAGCCCAGCACGGCGGGACCTACCTTCCACAGCAGCCACAAGCTGCTCCCGGTGGCGCTGGTCTTGGGCCCGCAGTGCAGGGCTCTGCATGTACAGCTCTCCGCCACCATGTGTTGAGCCCAGCCGATTTACCAGCTGCAAAATGGATGGCAGAGGTCCTCTGAGAATCTAGGGCTCCCCAGAGGGGTCTGGCTATCCTGCTGGGGTCACTCTGGTGGCCAGAAGCATGGAGTTCCCACCCTGACTGTGTCTCCCTCAGGGCAAAGGGCTCTCTGCCCAGTTATGATATTCATACAAGGTCTCTATAATGATGGAGGTTCTCTCTGCCTGCCCCACCCAATCTGGTTACTGGCCTTGGGGAGCAGAGCATGTGAGTACATAGAATCTTTTTTTGGTTTTAAACTAGTCCTGGAGCTTGAAGTCTGGGCCTGGGTGCTGTCTCTGAGCTTTTGTGCTCAAGGCTAGTGCTTTACCACTTGAGCTACAACTCCACTTCTAGCTTTTTTGGTAGTTTTAGTGGAGATAAGAATCTTGTGGACATTCTTGTCTGGGTTGGCTTTGAACCTTGGTCCTTAGATCTTAGCCTCCTGAATAGCTAGGATTACAGGGGTGAGCCACTGGTACTTGGCTAATAGTGAGACTCTGACTGGGAGTGAAAGCATTGCACGTGGCCATGTGCATCCGAATCTTCAGTTAGATCCAGAGCTAATGTTGGAGCTCTTGCTCCCTAGCAGGCTTCCCTGTGGAACAGGCTCCTTTAGTCCACGAAGAAGCCACACAGATAAGAACCCCAGAAGAGCCGCACAGAGGCCAGAGTCAGGGGATTTAGGGACATCCACAGTGAGCATGACCTACTTAGGATCACCGTAAGGAAGGCAGGGCTTTGGAGGCCCAGAGGACTCTGACTGGCTCCAACCACAGACTTGTGGATGCAGACTCTAGGAGCAGAGGGTAACACTGCTATGTTTCAGGCCAAAAGTCCTGTGCTGGGCAACATCACTACATCTCTATACACACGTGAGGAAAGACCAGGTCAGTACCAGGTCTTCCTGGAGGTAAAGACCAGGTGTCAATACCAAGATGGTGGCAAGGGGTCAGTTGGTGGGGACCTGACCTGATGTGAAGAGGAAGCCACAGGCAGAGATGGGCAAGGCCTGTGCATGGGGGTGTGGTGGCTGAAGGTGAAGGGTGACACAGAGGATGGCTGGTGAGGAGGAGTGTCCCTCACCCATACACCTTACCTCACACTCATAGTGCCCCAGGTCCTCCTTCGTGGCTGTCCGGATCACCAGCACCAGCACACCACTACGCGGCTCACTCAGCATTCGGTACTTGCTGCCAGGGGTCAGCGGGGCCCCGTCCTTGTACCACCTGGAACAGGTGCCGGAGAGACAGGGATTGGGCCACCCTCTGCTAGGTGCTCAGCGCCTTTGCTCATCTGCGGCACCCTGTGCTGGGAACCCACCCCAGTGTGCTATCCCCAGATTCCATTGTCCTCAACCCGCCCGCCCTTGGGAAGTCAGAGGGCCCGGCCTGGCCGTGTCCTCCAGGGTAGGGAACCCCATGTCTAGCATGAGTCTTGGCCCCATAATGTCCATTCTCTTTGTCCCAGCCTGAGCCTGACCAAGGGACTTGCTACCCAGCCCTTGCTCCTCAGATAGAGGCTGCAGTCCCAGGCCTCACCTGATCTGAGGGTACGGGGCACCTTCCACAGTGCAAGTGATCTGTGCATCCTCTCCCTCCACAAAGGGAGAGGCCCGGACTTTGTTCACAAACCGTGGGGGAACTGCAGGGTGAGGGAAAGACCAAGAAACATAAAGAGACGTAGATAGCCAGAGACAGACCAACATGGTGAGAGAGACTCTGTGAGTAGAGCGGAGGAAGTGCTGAGGTCCTCCTTCACAGGTGCCTGTCCCGGGCCTGCAGGCAGGCTTTGGCTCAGATCAGCTGTCTACACCACCCTCTCACCTGTCCCAGCCTCAAGCCTCGGCTGCAGCCACCCCCTTCTCCAGAGGCTGCTGTTGTAGGCTGAGCAGAGTGGGCCCAAGCCCAGTCAGCCTCATTGCTCACCCTGCACCAGGATCTTTCCCAGAGTACTGGCACTGCCCGCGGCACTGGCTGCGAAGCACATGTACTGGCCAGAGTCCACGCCTGTCAAGTTATCCAAGATGAGGGCACATGAGCCATCAGGGTCTTCAATGAGGATGTGGTGAGGGTCCACCTCCACTGGCTTCCCATCTGCAAAGGAAAAGTGAGGGCTGTCACAAGAGTAGTAATCCTAAAGCCTGACCTTTTCAAGTACAAGAGTCTGGTCCAAGGCTGGTCCGTTGAGGGACAACTTGTATCTCTCAACATCTGTAGCACTATCTCTAGATGTCTGGATCTCTCCTTTGGTTTCTAGCTATCTATTTCTCCACCCAAACTTCTGTTTCTTTGTCTGTTCTGGGCTATCTCTGACCCTACCTTAATATGTCTCTGAATGTCGGTTTCTGTCTCTATGTCTCTAGTTGTCTTTGTCTCTGAGTAACTGCCATTCTGTGTCTCTCCATAAAGGGCACAGCCTAAACCTGTCTTTGTCCAGTTTGACAGTGGCTAGAAGCAGAGGCTGGACGGGCAGGCCTCACCCCACAGAAACATCTCATGTGCAGTCAGCTACGCAGCTACCCTGGCCTCCTTGGCAACTCCCAGAGACCGTGTCCCTGGCTCACAGGCTGTGGATGGACTCAGCTACTCTCAGTCCCTACCCAGCCTAGAACTTCCACGAACCACATGTCCTTCCTGCCTCCCCTCACCTATGCCCGGCCTATCCTGCTGCCAGCTAGCCTCAGCACCCCAAACTTCCCCCAGACAAGTAAGGCTTGCTAACAGCGCAGTCCAAGCCTTAGTGTCCACCTGCCTTGTGGTCCCTCTCTCAAGTCACACGCTCCTGCTTTCTCTCTCTCTCAGCTTGAGTCCTGGCTTCATCAGCCCTTCCTCTATAGCCAGTGCTTCACCTTCTCCATCTACGGAGCCCCTGCTCCGAGGCACAGAGCCGTTCTGCTCGTCCCTCCCTAGCAACCACCTTTTCCCTAGCAACCAAGGAGCACCAGGTGCTACCCATCCTTTAAACATCGGTAGTGGTATGTAAATATATTTGAGGATCGAAATTACAAAGTATAATAAATAAAAGATGGATGAAAAATTCTGCACTAAGTCTGTCTGGTATAAACACCCCAAACATCACTGACCACACATCCTTCCTGGGAGAAGCAGAGGGAGGGGCAGACACTCGCTGTGGAGGACCCCTTCCCCACCCCCAAATGCTGAAGTGTACAACATATTCTAACGGTTCTGGCTGTGGTCCCCAATCCAGAGGGACATTAAGCCTTTTCACGACCATCCACGATGCAGAGACCAACAGCAAAAGCTCCCACTTTAACTGCTCTGCTGGAGAGTGGCGTCCAAGCCACCAACCTACACAATGTAGTTATAAGCAGGGAGCCCTTTGTGTGCCGAGGTGAATGAATGGTCTAAAGACCCAAACCACATGACAAAGACGCCAGCACAGGCTCAAGAGGCTGTTCTAGGAATCTCTAAGGACTCAGCAACTCTGAGCTTCAATGCCTTCTGACATCTAGTTTCTGAGGCACATCTTTCTCAAATGCTCTGATGTAAAAGCAAGGATGGCTTAGAAGCCTAAGATTCAGGGCCCTGTTCTCCTATGTGAGCAAAGTCATAATAACCTTTGTCCCTCAGGTCCCCTTCCCAGCCACAGAAGGACAAACATCTCACAGGACGCTTTGAGTACTGGGGCCACATGGCCCCATCTGAGTCTTTCACTTGGTCTACCCATCAGGCAGTTCTGTGTAGGGCCCAGGCCAATTTCTAGTAACAGTTCCTTGTAGCTCTGCTGTGGTTTAGAGCTGGTGTGAATGCAGCCCCTAAAGGTCTGTATACTGGAAGCTTACTTAGTTTTCTGTATGTAATGCTGAGGTGGTGGGATCTCACAAGGTGGGGACAAGGGGAAGTGGATGGGGTCCCTGGGGCACTCCTCTTGGAAGAGATCGATGCTGGTTGCCAGGAGTAAGTCAGCTCACGAAAGCAAGTTGCTGTAAGAGCCAGCGCAGCCCCAATTTCTCTTGCTTACTGCCTCGCTATGACTGCTCTCTCCCTCACACTTTTCCCACGTGACACTCTGGAGCGCCACACTGTGATGTGGCCAAGCCAACTTCACCAGATTAGCACCAGGAGATTTCTCAGCCTCTCAACTCTGCAAGAAATCTCCTTACTTTTGAAAGAACCCAGACTCAGGCATTTTGTGAGAGTCACATAAAAATGGAATCTTTAGCTTTATCAGGAGTTCTCATGGTCTTTAGCAAATTCCAGATTTCTGTGACTGTTATACCAATGGCAGCTTCTGGCAATAGGAGGTATCCTATGGGACTTAGGCTCTGTCCTGTTCTTGATGCAGACACCAGACATGTCATTTTTGAAAAATCAGCCCTTTGCACGCAACAGAACTTGGGTGACACAAGACTCCTGATACACTGAGGCCCATGACCCTCGCTGGGCTCCATTCTGAGGGAAGTGAGCAAGGGCCCAGCTGGCTTTGTTCCAATGGCTTCTCCCTTCCACCCTTGATGCAGAGCTGCTGGCTCCAAGTGGAGATTCTTATAGCTCTACCACCATGTGGACTTGGATCATGCATTGTCCAGCTAAGCCGAAACCCAGTGGTACACACGGGCTGCTAGCTACCCAAGCAAAGCACCACTGGGGGAGAGGTGGGGTCCCGGGCTCAGCAGTGAGCTCACTGGAGTTCTTACGGCTCTGAGCCATGTTAGTCTCCATCGTGAATAGTGTGTGTGTGTGTGTGTGATATTTTTGATCCTGGTATAAATAGCTCAGACATTAGGTTTGCTACTTAAGCTGGTTGCTATTAACCGACAGGCTAACTCCATGCCTCGTTGGGCTCAGGATGCTGATGGGGGACACCACTGCTCCCCCATACTCTCACAGCCGCCTGCTTGTACCACCATTGTTCCTGTGTGGAGCCACTCAAGTAAAGACTCAGTACAGACCAAAAGAAAAACAGTATGTAACTTTGGCCCACGGCTCCTTGGATGACCTCAAGCCTTAGAATATCCTGGCTGGCAAGAGTCTCTTGATTTTTTATTTATTTATTTTGCCAGTCGTGGGGCCTGAACTCTGGGCCTAAGTGCTATCCCTCAGCTCTTCAGCTCAGGCTAGCACTCTACCACTTGAGCCACAGTACCACTTCTGGTTTTCTGGTGGTTTATTGGAAATAAGAGTTTCACAGACTGGGCTGGGAAGGTGGCTCAGTGGTAGAGTGCTTGCTTTGCATGCCTGAGGCCCTGGGTTCGATTCCTCAGCACCACATAAGCAAAAAGAAAAAAGCCGGAAGTGGTGCTGTGGCTCAAGTGGTAGAGCGCTAGCCTTGAGCTGAAGAGCTGAGGGACAGCGCCCAGGCCCAGAGTTCAGGTCCCACGACCGCACCCAAAAAAAAAAACAAGAGTTTCACAGACTTTCTTGCGCCGGCTGGCTTTGAATCACAATCCTCAGATCTCAGCCTCCTGTGTAGATAGGATTACAGCCACCAGCACCTGGCTGTCTCTTGATTTTTCTAGGGGGCTTGGACTACAGATTTGCGGAAGGGCCTCAGGATCATGCAGTGTCAACTTCATATTACTTTATCAACTTTATAATGTCTTCATATTTAACAGTATTTGTGGCAGGGCCTTTGGGCCGTGTGTAATGGCTTGACTTTAGGAAGGGCTGCAGGCATTCATACACAGAGCTAGACCCCAGGTAAAAGACTGAAAGTAAGGCTTGTGAGCTACATAACAGTATGTGTGTCACATACTGTTACGAGGGTGGGAGGTGCCAGTTTCAGGACTCAGCTGGGAGGAGAAACTGGAAGCTTAGACTTGGGGATGTCTGGGCCCTGTCCAGGAGCCTTCTTTCCTCTCAGTGACTTTAATCTGGGTCTTTCTGTTGCAATAAATGATCTTTATAACAGCTTTTCAGAGTTTTCAGCCCTTAGAGTGGATGATTGAACCTCATGGTACTCCCCAGGTCGGCCTGTTAACCTGTCCAGGGTACTGTTCCCACTTAGGAGTGAGCAGTTGGTGTCTTCATCTTTGCTCCACCCAGGCTTGTGGCTGCCTGGCAGCTCTTCAGACTCACCACCTCAGAGCCTGTCCTTATCCACCACTCTCTTCCCTGGCCTTTCTCATTTCCCTGGGTACCTGACCTTACATCATGAGCTCATCTGTCCACCACCTGTCCCCCACCCAACCTTGTCAGCTCCAGCTCCCGGACTAGGCCTGGCCTGTCCCCAACTCACATCCCAGACCCCTGCTTATCGGACCTCACTCTACCTTCATCTCATACACAGGCTGTTTCTCTCCAGCCCCTCCTCCCAATTTCAGGGCCAGCACCCTTGAGGGTGAGGCTAGGGACTCCCTTGGCCCAGGAGTGTACCTTTATACCAGCTGATGATAGGTTTAGGTGTGCCGGTCACACGACAGGCCAACTTGACTGTCTCACCCAGCTCAGCTGTGCAATCGGCCAGCTCCTCTTCAAAGTCTGGAGAACCTGAGGACCACACAAGAGGCCTCTGAATGGTCTTTGTGTGAGGTGTGCCCTTGAATATATCCTGACAGGCTGGATATGGCTGCTTCCCTCCAGGATCAAGGGTGAGTGAGGGTAGCTAGGTATGTACTGGGGACTGGTGGAGATCATGAAGAAGATCCTGTTTTGGTTGAGGCAGTAAATTCAGAGGCAAGATTCCTCACTCTCCTGTCATAGAGCCCCGATGTGCTGTGTCTTTCCACTGTGTTGCCCTAGTGCTCCCTACCTGGGCCAGGGACATCACATTCTGTTCAACTCCCATCCTGTGAGGCCCCCAGCACTGTCCTCCACCCAGAACTGACCATGGAGGGAACAGAACCATCTGTCCTAGAAACCCTGCCATCCCTACAAGCCCACTGGGGTACTGGGCCAAAGACTGTGCTACCTGAACACTCAGTCTTGGGGGGTCCTATGACCTGGGTGCCACCCAGAGACAGATGGGGTAAAAGCCACATGTCCTTCCCCAGCCACCAGGCCTCCCCCCAAAAAAACCCCAACACTCACGCCACACTGGCAGGGCCAAGCGCTGCTGGATGCCAGAGATCTCCTTCACCCAGGAATTTTTGATGATGACGGTCCGTGCTTGCAGCAGGTATTTGCGCACCGAGTCCTCCCGCTCATGCCACACCTCAAAGGCACGGTCATCCCCCTCTACCTGGTCATTCAGGTCGATGCTGCTCAGCTGTGGGTGGGGAGAATGAGGACTGACCATCTCCTGGGCATGCCAGGTTTCGATGGCCATGCCCAGACCACCCAGGTGCAGTGACTACAGGACTGGTCCCTAGCATCCATCCGACAGACCTTCCCTCATCCACCCATCTGCCCGTCAGAGCCCGCAGCAGCTCCGGCTCCCACAGACCTTCATCATGTTCCGGAACACATAGCTGAAGGTGTCCGTGCGAGAGTCCCGCCGGGGCTTGCAGATCACCAGGTGGTTGCGGAAGAGGAACACGTGGCGGTTGTGGCCCTTCCAGGGCATCCGGGCTCCTGGTGCCCCCTCCCACACGATGAAGTGGCCCTAGGGGCGTGAGTGGGTAGGGGTTGGCCTGCGGCTGGCAGGGACCCGTCCACAGTGCAAGACCTACCATCACCTAAGCCAGCACCCTTCCGAAGTCATGCCCATCACGTGCTACCCGCCCTGTAGCCCCACACATATACCCCGCTGCCCCCCCAGCCTGACCTGGCGGATGGGCTCTCCCAGGGCTTCTAGGGTGCCAGGGTAGTTCTCCATGAGGGACACATGCAGCTTGTTCTCAGCGCGCTGGGGCAGGGCTGACACCACCGCATAGGCCTGCTCCAGCAACGCGCAGTTCTGTCTGTTCCGGGCCTTGTTCCGGATCAGCTCCTGAGGTGAGGGGCAGAGGGGCAGGACACCAGCTGACTCCAAGTCCAGATCTGTCCTCTGGCCCAGCCTGGACAGACCAGACATGGCTGTGCCTACCTTCAGCAGGGCCTGGTATTTCTGTATCCGCTCCACTGGTTGCTCCAGGTAGTGCTGAAGTGGGGGTGGGGGTGGCTGGGAGGGGTCCTTGGCTGACAGTGTCTCCTCTGTGTATTTCTGGGGGGTCACGAGGGTGGGGCTTAGGCAGGAATCACCCTGAGCTGGAAGACAGGCTCCAGGGACCTCACAGGCACCCCTGCACTGAGGTGATAGCTGCCATCACCATCTGACAGGCAGTAGCACAGGGCTTAGGCAACTTAAGTGTGCAGCTGAAGAGCACAGAGCACTGGCTGCATTTCTCATTAAGTTAGAGCCCAAGGAGTGGGCAGGGAGCAGGTGATGGAGAAGGTGAGGGAAGACGGACTTCAGGTTTGGCTCCACACCTCAGATGGCCTTCGGGCAAAGGGACCTTCTGAGAGGGGCTGAGGGCAGCACCAAGGCCTGGGAGCAGGCAGGGTAGGGCAAACAGCCAGTAAGTCAGGCCCCAGGCACCTTGTAGAACTCCTGGACTGGTGAGCTGACTACCACAGACTCGGCTTGCACACGGCCCACCAGGAACTCAAGGTATTTCTCAAAGGCCTCTTGGTTCTTGATGAAGCACATGGCCACATCATCATCTGTGTCACAATGCGTCAGTTCCTGTAAGAAGCTGTTGTGAAGGGGATGGGGTCAGGGCATCCATCCAGACTGGCTCTAGGTCCTCTCCTTTGGGAGGAGCTGGCCCTGTGAGCGTGAAGTACACTGTATGCTGAATGTGTGTAAGAATATGTGTGTACACTTCTACATGAGTTCAGACATGTGTGGTAAGTACACTTCTACACACGTGTACATGCATGTGTGGGTGCACATACAGGCAGATGTATGCTGTGTGGATGTGTACATAAGGATGTACAGACATGAACATACAAGCACAGCATGTATTATTTGTGCATTATGTGCATGTGTGTCATCTACACACCTTTGGGTGTGCATGGGACAGGTATCTATGTGGGTGTTTGTGTGAGCATTTGCATGCCTTGTGTGAGTGTGCAATAGCATAGAGGTGCATGAAGGCATGCACACATGTCCAGGTAAATATACTTGTGTGTACAATATATACACTGTATATATATCCACAGGTAAGCCTTGTGCATGGGTGTGCATGCTGTTGAGTATATTGGTGTGTAATGTGGTGGCAGCACATGTACACATAGGCCCACATGCAGTAGACATGAGTGTGGGTTGTGCACATGCTAATCAGCAGAGGGGTACTCCAGGCCTTCCTGTGCTGGAGGCAGGTACAATCTGTGTTTCCTGGTGGGGGGGTCTGCCTTGTGCAGAGACATGATTGGTGGATAGATAGAAGTTGCCTCTTAACTCCTGCACACCTATCCATTAGGCCTGACCTGCAGCCTGCGTATGTATGTTCATGTACATGTTATTTTTTTAATCTGGGCACCTCTTTATTTTTTATCATCTTTAAGGAGTTTCCATGTAACAATCTGTAAGTACAACGCATCTTGCTTGATGTCACCCCTTTCAACATCCACACGTCTGTCCCCTACATGCTCCTCCCTTGTGCTTTTAACTGTAGGCTGTACGGTGAGTTCTTGACCGCATTCCTCCTCTCCTCATGCAGCCCACACACCTACCTGCTGTGGAAGTGGCTGATGTCCTGCACATTTCTGAAGATGACGGTCTTCTGGCTGGCCACAGCAGCAGGCACGTGTGGACTGCGGTCCAGATGCTGCATGTGGTGGCTCTGCAGAAACTGTAGCTCACCAACAAAGGCCTGCTCTGAACTCAGCAGCTCCTGGATGACAGAGCTGGCAGGAGAGGCAACCATGAGTGGGACCTGGGAGCTCAAACAGCAGGCCCTCAGCATTGCTCCAGCAGAGCTGGCTCCCTTGTGGCCCACATCTCTCAGCTGCCAAATCAGAGCACCTCTTGCTATCTGCAGCCTATCACCAACTTCCAGAAAGGGGGTAAGGAGTCAAGAGAGAGAGATTGCTTTGTCCTCCATAAAACTACTCTCTTTACCAGGAAGTGACCTGGTATGTTCCCAACAAGGAACTGGGGTGAGCTCAACTCCATCCCTGACAGAGGCTCATGTAGAATGAGTCACAGGCCCCCACAAAAGAAGCAGGCTAGCATTCCAACTGGACTCGGGTAAGCAGTGGGTTTCTGTGAGTGATGGGCCAGGGCCAGCCAGTGGGAAGTCCCACCAGACACTCACCTTAGCCTGGTCTTGTATTCATCTTCAGACACGGCCTCTCCAGGGAACTCAGGGGCTTCAGCGGGCCCCCATTCAGGTGACAGCTGGTCAGAAATAGGAACTCGTCACAGATAGCCTGAGTGCTGCCCCTGCCCCTGCTCCTGCCAAGATCAGACTCCCATCTCTCAAACAGGGACAGCGATTTCAGAGTCCTCTAGGTCAGTGAACAAGGGGCACAGTACCCAAGGTTCACTTCTCTGCAACCCCAGCCTCCAGGATACCTTGAGCCTCTTGTCCAGGTAGGCGGGTGACACCCAGCCCTGCCTCGAGGGGCTGGATTTGGTGGGCTTGGTGCGCACGAGCCAGCGCAGGGGATGGGCTGAGTCGAGGACCTCCACATACTGGCCTTCTCGAAGTGTGATGGCCCCCTGCTCGGCCCCCAGGGGCAGGTAGTCAGCCGTCACCACGTAGATGTCAAAGATCTGACAGAGAGTAAAATGGACAGTTGCCAGTCTCTAGCAGTCTCCAATGATTCTAGGGGTCTCCCAAATTCCCCAACAGTCCCCCCAAGAGCCCACAGAGGAGGAGAAGCCAAGTCAGGAGACCCAGGGAGGTGCTAACCAGACCTGCCAACCCCAGCCTGCAGGAGGGAAGTGCAGGTCAGTCTGCACATGGTCTACCCCATGCATTGTGGAAGAGATGTGGAAGACCTGCCCTCTATCAATCACCCCAAGAGATGACTGCTCCCTCCTAGGTCTCCCAATTGGGGCTACTTATACTTACCTTCTGTTGGTAGCTCATTACCTGCCTACCTGCCACTCTGAGCTCTAACAAGGAGCCTGGCACACTGGAGGCACAAGTGGAGGGAGAAGCGGAGGGAGGAATGATTCTGCCACAAAGCATGCTTCTGCAGGAACCCATGTGCAGATGACGGGTTCTCTGGGCTCCCGGCTCCCGTGTGCCATGGGTGGGGGTCTCCGTGCTCCCAGCCGAATGTGAATTCTTCTTCCCACCTCCCAAGGGCCCCATGGGGGACACCTGCTCACAGAGGTCCTGCCGGAGCGCCCCATAGAAGACCCTGCCCCTGCCTCTCTCATCCCACACCATCTCTTCCAGGGGGTCAGGGCCCACTCCCACCCTGACCCCCAAGGGTGCCCCTCACTCACCTCGCCACGGGAGTCTCCATCCTCTGACTCGGAAGAAGACTCCTGGACACTGGAGGAGGGCCTGGACCGGCCATGCCGTGGGGAGGCCGATGGGGTCTTGGACTCCTCGTCACTGTCACCCCCAGGCACCTGGAGCTTGGCTGTGAGAGCGGGGTTGTGACACCCAGGGTGCTGCCCTGCTGCATGCCAGTTCCCAGGGTGAAGGAGCCAGGCGGACCCAGGCCCAACCCCCAGCATGAATGAGGGTGCTCCACCACCCAGCCACCTGCTTCTCTCTCTCCTCTCCCTCCCTCCCTCCCCACCTCTCATACATGCACACACACACACACACACACACACACACACCTCTCTCTCTCTCTCACAGACACACACACACACACACACACACACACACACACACACACACACACACACACACACACACACACACACACTGGCCCTCACCCTGTGTGATTTTGGCGGACACCATCTCTGTAATCTGGGAAGTCAATTTCTGTAGGAACTCCTCTGTGCCCACCTCAGCAAGAGACAGGTGACCCCGGGCCTCCTCTGCTGCCAGATCTCCTGAGGGAGCAAAAGCAACACACAGGCATCTGTGCATTCTTAGGGTGTTTGCTGGATGTCCGCCATGCTGCAGGCACATCCCTGGTTCTGGGGGCCTCAAAGGCAGCACAGAGAGGGCTTCCCCCATGGGATGCCACCTGACACGGAGACCAGAAGACTCAGCTGCTGGCTGGGTAGGGGGCCAGCAAGGTCTAGCCAGATGAAAAATCACATTGTTTCATGGGGGGTCTGAGCCCATGAGCCAATGGGACTGAGAACAAGAGGAAGCAGGTCTGGATAGAGAGGGAAGTAAATGACCAGAGCACAGGAGACACATGAGGGACCGTGGAGCACCCAGTAGGAGACTAGGCAACAATCGCAGGAGTAGCCAAGGGGCTACATTCTCGGGACAGGAGGTAGCCAGAAGACAGTGGACAAGGCCAAGGCCGGCAGGAGGCCGGCAAGGCTACAGGGAAGAGGGCTGATTTCTGGGGAGCTGAGTAGGAGTCAGACTCAGTTCTCCCACTGTGGGAGAAGCCTGAAGCATGGAGCCCAAGGTAAGTTTGTGCCTCCTCATCGCAAGATGCCTAATGACCCAGCCCCCACAGCCCACCGGACAGACACCGTGCCAAGGCCTGGGCAGCCCCTCAGGGCCTCACAGGCCCTCAGACCACAGAGGTCAACAGAACCCCCAATTCCCTCTAAAGCTCAGAGTTTGTCTACCCAGCTCTGCTCTGAGCAGCCTTCTCCAAACCCCACTCAGACTCGCGGGAGTGCTCAGAGCACCTGTATTCTCCATACCTTTTTTCTGCCCAGCCAGCTCAGTGAAACCTGCAGACTCTGACATGTGGGCCGAGATAGCATGGGTTGTCCTGAGGGGAAAAGAGGGGCTCTGAGAGGCTTGAGTGGGAGCGCCTGAGAGTGAGAGAGTCAGGAGTCTCACACCACAGGCTCCATACTGGAAGGATTCTGGGACAGCCTTCATTTTACAACAGGGAAACTGAGTCATGGAGAGGCAGGCAGTATGCACAAACTCCATGGTATCTGAGGGGAGGATCTGGCTGCACTGTAGGACAGGGTGCTCCCTCGGGAGTATGGCTGCCCTGTGCCCCGCTCCTGGGCCTCCTCCATGGGTGTCCCTGCCCGGGGGCCTGGTGGGGGCAGCCTCCACTCACCCCTGCAGGAAAGTGGAAATGAGAGCTTCCTTCACTTTCTCTTGCTCCTCTTCCTTGGGCACTATCAGGAGAGTGGGTGAACCATCAGGATGAGGTTCTGGACCTCATGTACTAGATTCTAGGTCCAGACCCTACCTGGGTTGTGTGGGCTGCTGTGGGGTCCTGAACACACCCATTCCCTCTGACCCTCCAAAGACACTGTGCCTGAGCCACCACCCTGCCCCACTCTCAGCTCACGGAACAGCCACTAGATAGGATGAGGAATGGGAGTGTAGCCTTGAAGGGCAGCCTTCAGAGGGACTGAGCGAGGCTCGTGAGCAGAGGACCCTCAGTCAGCTGCACAGGGCAGGGTGAACACAGGGTCCTGCAGGACTAACGGCTCTGGCTTGCTCTGTGGGTTTTGCCAGCACTGGGAGAGGATGAGAGGAGATGGGAGAGGGGTCTGCAGGAGGTCCCACCACAGGAGCTGGTAAAGGAGTCTTCAAAGCTGTTCCATGTCTAATTCCATGCCCCAAGACCAATGCAGTCACCCACCCCCAGCAACCTTACTCACAGCCCGAGACATGCAGACTGGCAGAGCAGAGTGCCTGGCCAGCGGCGTTGGTGGCAATGCACGTGTAGGTACCCTGGTGCTGCCGGCCCACATCCAACAGCACCAGACTGTGCTGCTGGGAAGAACTGGCCATGGTGTAGCCTGGTGTGCTGGGGCTAATCCACAGCACACCTCTCTCCGCCTCCTCCTTGAGCCAGTGAACAGCTGGAGCTGGGTGGCCTGTGGATGAGAGGATCCAGTTGGCATGTCCTCGCCAAGGATGGACAGGTCCTATCCTTCGTCAGGAACAGGGGCTCCAGGGGTGAGGTGCTGCCTACCACGCTCTGTGAGGTGATGGCCTTACCTTCTTGATGGCCTTACCTTCTACCTTCACTGAAAATGTGATACTGGAACCCCTCTTCACTTTCTTGGGGGTGAACCGTTCCAGGATCCGGGGTGGCACCAGTTGTTCATGTGCATCTGGAAGGCATAGCCTGTGGGTACCCGCTGGAACTACCCACAGCCCTCTACGACTCCTGGGAGACCCTCAGGAGGACTTCTGCATCCTGCAGGCTCAGGACGCCTCATGTTGCCCCTCTGACCGGCAGCCTCCTGCCCATACCACCACTGCCAGCCCCAGGGACATCCACCCTGCCCTCAGCACCTATGGTTTGCTGCCCTCTCTTGCCATCTGGGTCTGTATTACCTGATGCTGATTTCTCGTCTGGCTCATCGGGGCCTGAAAGAAACAGGAGGAGTGAAGTACCCGGTAGAAGAGGTGCACACACAGGTGTCCCTCTCCTAGGCTCTGTACATAGTGCCATGTCCGTCCTAATGGCCCTGCCCACTGAGCGTGGGGCTGAGGCCGCTCCATCCATGGGCAAGGCCTCCAGATCCTTGATTGAGCTCTCATGCAAGCAGCAGTGGTATCACACACTCAGGAACGCAATAGGCATGTGGCCACATGGGCCAGACACAATGTGACAACTTGCCACCCCCCTCATCCACACTGGGACTCTGGAGCCTTGCTCTGATGACAGGGCAGGTTTAGGTCAAGCTTGGCATTGGCTTTTAGTGCTCAAGATTTTTTTGGAAAATAAAAGAAAATGTGGACTTGTCTCCCCAAGTCAGCTTCTGCGCAGTGTGCTTCTATAGGGATGCACACACTTGATCCCTTGGGTCTAGGAACCCTGAGCTCCTAACCTTGAAGGGCAAACTTCTGGACACCTGTGACAGTCCACTGGGGTAATGACCAAGGGGTCCTGACCCCAGGTCTGATGGGGCAGGGCCGGACAGTCATCCCCAGTGGACACTATCTGGGGTGTACTGCTCTGCCTGCTCCCTGTGAGCACTCACCTTGGACCAGCAGCTGGGCAGATGAGTAGGCTGCACCCACAGCATTGCTGATGTAAGCCGAGTATTGGCCAGCGTCCTCCCGAGTAACTGAGACGATCTCCAGTGTATGCAAGGACTTCTTGTCAGTCATGCGGATGTGGGCGGATGTTGTGAGGGGCTGGCCGTCTTTGAACCAGTACAGTCTTGGGGCTGGGTAGCCTGCAGCCAACAGAGGGGAATGGTCAGACCAGAGCTCTCACTCAGTGGGAGACAAAAGTCCAAAGAAGACCACAGGGTGCTCACCCGGGCAGTAGGCACATGTAACCCCCAACTTGCTGCTGGTTAGGGTACCCTCCTAACTGTGGCTTATGGAGGCTCTTGGTCTCTGTCCCATCATGGCGGCTGCCCCACAACCAACCCCTTACCTTTCACTTTGAGTTGGAACTTGGCCAGGCGTGTGCCAGGAGCCACCTGGACGTCTCTCAGCTCCTCTGTCACCTGGGGGAGCTGCCCCTCATCCGACTCAGTTCCCTCTTGTTCCCGGCTGGCAAGAAAGACAAATCATGGGGCAGCTATTAAGGGACCAGTAACAGGGCAAGGGTAGGAGGGCTCTTCTGGAGTACATGTCAGACGTGGATTGATTTTGAGGTTCCCTGTCTGCTAAACTGAAGGGTACAGAGACAAAGTTCCAGGGCCTGGTAGAAGCTTGGAGAACTGGCTCATCAGTCCAAAGCCCATCCCATCAGCCCAGCATGGCTGCTTCCCCAGAGTGTCGGGATTACCAGTCACTGAGCTCTGCTGTTGCCAAGGGGGTCCTACCTGGACAGGTATCCCTGGGCGCTGAAGTACGATGAGGTCTCTGTAGCATCTGCTGCAGTGTCATAGTCTGTGCTTGTCACTGGGGAAGGAAGGATACGCTGGAGCAAGGCCTGCTGCTCCTCTGCCTAGGCGCTGACCTTGAACCAGGACTACCTCAGCCCTTGACCACAAGGTTCTGACTGTCCAGCCTTACTGGGCATCACTAACACTCGAAAGTCAGGAGGGCAACAGCTGTACTGTACCCTGCTGGACTTGGGGCTGTTTACTGGCCCCATATTTCTAGGCCTGTAATAACCAAAAGCCTCTCTGACTTAAAGCATCGTAAATAGCACATGATTTGGAATCTTCTTAAATGGCAATGACAGTAGAAAACCATTATGGTTTATCCTACAGAACCATGAGGAATAAAATAGATATTGGCCTCCAGACCAACAGCTATGCCTAGCACCAATGGCTCACACCTACCTGTAATACTAACTACTCAAGACGCTAAGATCTGAGGATCTAGGTTTGAAACCAACTTGGGCAGGAAAGTCTGTGAAACTCTTAACTCTACCAACTTCAAAAAAGAAGTGGAGCTATGGCTCAAGTAGTAGCCTTAATATATGTCTAGGATAGTCCTAGCAGATGAGCAGAATAGCTCAATTGATATGTACCTATGACCATATAAGATGAGGCTAACTGAAATAAACTCTAAGATATGGACACAAGAGGTTTTTCATTGTTGTTCTTGTTTTAATGTACCATATGATTTCTTTTTTCTTTTGTCTTTTTCCCCCTATGGTTTATATTGTCCTTTGTATTTGATTTTGGTGCCCTGGGTATTGTATATGAATTAGGGAAGGGAAGGGTGAGACAAAGGACAAAGGGCAAACCAATGCAACCGTGATACAAGACAATATGCTGGAAACGAACTGTACAACTTGGGAGGAGGATGTGGGGAGGGAAATGGGAGAAAATGAGGAAGGGGATAACAAGTTCAACAAGAAATGACTTACTGCCTTATGTATGTAACTGTAACCCCTCTGTACATCACCTTGACAATAAAAGTAAACTAAAAAAAATCAACTAAGGGACAGTACTCAGACCCTAAGTTGAAGTCCCAACATGGGCACGCATGCACGCACACGCGAGCGCGTGCGCGTGCACACACACACACAAATCAACAGATAGAGACTTGGACTTCTAGCCAAGATAGAGCAAGAGAGATTGAATTTACCCGCTGTCAAATGACTGAATGTGCTCCCCACAAAAACTCATATGTCAAAATAACAACACAAGAGAGGTTGGGCTTTGGGAAGTGATCACATCGCATGGTGGAGTCTCATGAATGGATCAGTGACCTTATAAAAGGGAACCTGTCTACTATAGTCTTTCTTCCCTGTTCTCGCATGACACTATATTCTTTCCTATAGACTACCTAACCTACTATCAGTCTCATTCACTGTTTCTCACCTCTTGTACTACTTAAATAAATACAAAAAAGCTAAAATGTTTAAATCCACAGAATAGAGTTTTACTGTCTTTGCTAGTTCTAACATTTGAGTAGGTGTAGATTGATTGAGTAGATTAATCACACATTACAGGTTATTTTTTCCTGTCTCTTTATAAGTCTGTGTATTTTTGGTTAACTATCTTGACATTGTGGATTTTACCTTGTGGGAAGCTAGGTATGTGATCTTTCTTTCTCTTTCTTTCCTTCCTTCCTTCCTTTCTTTCTTTCTTTATTTCTTTTGGTAGGTCGTGGGGCTGGAACTCTGGGCCTGGGCACTGTCCCTCAGCTCTTCAGCTCAAGCTTAGCGCTCTACCCCTTCAGCCACAGTGCCACTTCTGGTTTTTCCCTAAGTGGTTTACTGGAGATAAGAGTCTCACGGGTTTTCTTGTCGTGCTGGCTTTGAACCACAATCCTAAGATCTCAGCCTCCTTAGTAGCTAGGATTACAGGCGTGAGCTACCAGTGCCCAGCTGATTTGTGATATTTCTAAAATACAAAATATTTATAAGACATACAATAATAAGACTGTCAGGACCAGATCCCGTATGCACAGTGGCTCTCTGAGCGCAGAATTCTAGCCATCAGAAGAGTGAGAAAGTTAGTTCTTTACAAGGCATTCAATCCATGTTATGTTGTTGTAACAGCCTTAACCAAGAACACTCCCACCTGAAGCAACAACAAGAACAAAAACACTACCACAAGAACCTAGATAAATATAAAAGTGATTTTTAAGTCTTGTCATTAGGCAAATGGAGGACAGTAATGGTTTAATTATAGGGAATATCAGCAAAACCTATCATTTATCTAGCTTTAATGACAAGCAAAATCTTTCGTTTCTCCAGCTTTCTGTACTGTTTCCAGGTCTAGGCAGGGAAAATGGAGGCAAAAATCAGGGGAATTCCATGAGTTCTGAGTCCTGGAAGACCTCGGCAGCAGAGTTCACAGGACAGTGCCAGAGAAGAGAAAACTGTGCAGGCAGGACTCGCCATCATTTAGCAGGTAGTGATTAGCAGATTCATGAGAGAAGACACATCTGAATGGTCAGAAGGAAACAGTGCCAGGAACAATGCCTGTTTTCTCCAGTCACTGTAGAAAAACTCACAGCACTCAGAACTCTGTGCCTCAGAAATGGGGAATAATTAGCCCTAGACTGAGCCCTACTCTAGACTCACCTAACAAATCATAAGGGCTCAAATTGTTTCCTAGGAACTAACTGCATCCCAGAACACAGCTGAAGATTTGTAGAACACAAACTAAGATCATCAGCCATGCAAAGAGGCAAGAAAACAAGACGCACATGATAGAGAAGAATCAATCAATCAAAACCAACCCACAACTGACCATGATGGTAGAACTTGCAGAGGAGGACATAAAAACAGTTATTAGAACTGTATTCTATATGTTCAAAAAGTAAATGATCTATGTTACCAAGACTCAAGAACTTCTAGAGATTAAAAAAATAAGACAGCCGGCGCCGGTGGCTCACGCCTATAATCCTAGCTACTCAGGAGGCTGAGATCTGAGGGGCTCATGCCTATAATCCTAGCTACTCAGGAGGCTGAGATCTGAGGATCGCGGTTCAAAGCCATCCCGGGCAGGAAAGTCCGTGAGACTCTTATCTCCAATAAGCCACTCAAAAAAACAAAACAAAACAAAAAAAAAACCGAAGTGGCGCTGTGGCTCAAGCGGTAGAGTGCTTGAGCTGAAGAGCTGAGGAACCGTGTCCAAGCCCAGAGTTCAAGCCCATGACTGACTAAATAAATAAGATAGGTGGGATTAATAACAAAGTTAGATATTACAAAGTAGTGTACCTAAGAACATAGTAAATAAGGATAAAATATAAGAAAAGGAAAAAGAAATTTAAAAAAGAGTATTAGGTATTCAGCTCAGTGGTAAAATGCTTGCTTGGTATGCATAGATCCTGAGGTTTGAAAGCTCCGACTCCTCATCAAGGTTTGATCTGATTGGCTAGCAGTCACCACCCTGAAGCTACTTTGGAAACCTTCAAGAGTCACCTCATGAGAACAGAAGCTATGCCCTGTACCTGGGCATCCCAAGGACTTAGAATCTCTGTACGAGCAATCAGGAGTAAAGATTACATAGACTTTTTAAAGACTGTAGCATCAGTCAATCATTACCTCTACACTTCTATTGAGAGGTTTTCCAGTGAAGCCACTGGAGGTCTCCCAAGAAAAGTTTCAATGGAGTGATTGGGGAAGGCTGGGTCACCTCCTCTTCAAAACCTTCTGGGCCTCTCTCCAGCTGATACACCTCTGAGAGACAGACATGAGGTCCTTGTACCACTTCACCCTAACCACTCTTGAGAGGCTCTTGTCCTGGCCCTTGCTCTCAAAAAGTCTCCTCTTCACCGGCCACAAGACATCAAGTTCCCTATCTCCCTTGCCACCAACCTCTTATCTCCAATAAGCCACTCAAAAAAAAAAAACAAAAAAAAAAAAACCGGAAGTGGCGCTGCGGCTCAAGCGGTAGAGTGCTTGAGCTGAAGAGCTGAGGAACAGTGTCCAAGCCCATAGTTCAAGCCCATGACTGACTAAATAAATAAGATAGGTGGGACTAAATAAATAAGATAGCCCAGCTCAGGAGAGCAGTACTCACAGTCCACACGGAGCTCAGCCTTGGTAGAAGAGACCCCCACACTGTTCTCAGCCAGGCAGCGGTAGACACCCATGTCTGCGGGCACCACAGCTGTAATGATGAGCTGATGACCACCCTGCTGGTCCTCGTTGATCATATAGTGGTCATCCTCCTCCAGCAATTTCCCATCCTTGAACCAGCGCACACTAGGCACCGGCTGGCCCGTGACCATACAGTCGAAGCTCACAGGGTAGCCATCCTGTACTTCTTGGTTCTGCAGCTGGGTCAGGAACACTGGGGCTGGGACAGACAAGCAGGGCATGCCACGTTAACCTTGATCATGCCAATCACATCTACAATCACAAGCTTCCACCAGACCGGAAGTCTGGTGCAAGTGTTCATTTGAGTTTTGAGACCCTGTCTAATAACCCCACCCTGAATCTTGACGGCTAAGTCTACCCTATTCCCATTCTCTAAGCTTGCTTCCCAAGCCACTAAGCAAGAAGGATGGAAAACAGAAAGAATAGGGGGAAAAAGAGGTTAGGCTGTGTGATCTAGGAGTCCTGGAAGAACAGACAAATGACCTTTTAGGGACACAATTGCCCCAAACTGGACAGAAGTTTCAAGACATGATTTGAGACATTTACGATAACCTCTTAATGTTCTGGAGAGACAGAAGCAAGCAGTGAAATGGATTTTTAATTATTTACTTGATGAAATAGAATATACTGTGCAGAGTGGACCCAAGAACCCCTCTATTTTATGAGTTCCATCTCTGAGTCTCTCCTTACAGAAAAAAAACAACAGAAAGTAGGTATTCTCATCCCCATTTGCAGATGTGAAAACTGAAAGTCAAAGAGTTCAAATAGCATCTCTGAGTGGCACACGGCTAGTAAGAGGCAGAGCTGGATTTTATACTCAGCTCTGTTTAACCTCAGAGCCAGGGTGTACCATGGCTCAGTAGGCCACATCTGCAAACAGCTGATGCTGGAGTGCAGGTGACCCAGCTGATGCTGCCACACCTCCTCCAGTCCACCCTGGATCCTCGTGCAGCCCGACCAAGGCAGTGTGTGAACTCACCAGCATCAGAAGCCAGCAGGCTGGGCACAGGCCCCGGAGGCACTGCAGGGGTAGGCAGAGGAGCCACCTTGCTAATTCGCATCTCCACTCCCTTGGGCCCTTGCTCCACAAGCCCAATTTCTACTCCGATGCCCATGGTAGCAAACATCTCCTGGAAGCGGGTGACTGCCTGGCGGGCCTCAGAGAGTGCCTCGAAACGGATGCAGACAAAATGTTCATCTTCACGATACGTCTGCCAGTCTGCAGGCTCCTCCGGCTCTGCAGTGCCCTCGTCGGCGCTGAGGAAGAGCTCCTCATCGGACACCTCCGAGGGGCCCTTGGTGCGGAAGAGCCGGTGGAGGCGCCTGGCGGCTCGTCGGAAGGCATCGTCCAGCTCTCCCCCGGAGGAGCTCTCGGCTTCACTCTCCGTCCCACTGACCACCACACAGGCACTGTGGCTCACATGGCCAAACTTATTGCTCACCCGACAGGTGTAGCGGCCAGTGTCAGCAGGGCCCAGACCAGTGACCAGCAGGGAGCAGGTGCCATCCCCAAGCTGATCGATATGGTGGTGTCGCCCATCAGTCAGCTCCACGCCATCCTTCAGCCAGCAGGCCCGCACATCCGCTTTACTGGCCACCACACATTCCAGCCTCAGGACATCCCCCACCTGTGCCTCAGTGTCCCCAAACGTGCGGGAGAACACAGGCCCTTCCTGCTGCTTCATCTCCTTCCGCACCTTGTAGCCCTTAAAGGCAGCTTGGATCTTCACAGCAGCCTTGTCCATGGAGGGATCGCTCAGGTCCTCAGCCCTCACCTCTCCCTGGGGTGGGCACACTGTGGCTGGTTGCTCCTGATGTTTCTGTGTCTTCGTAGAGGGGACTGCTGGAGCCCCAATCTGCAGGCACAGGATGTGATGTCATGGTGGAGCATGAAAGCTGAAGTCAGGAGCACACAGGATCAAGGCCCCAGGGCCATGTTTTGCTCTAGCATTCTATTCTTCCTCCCACCTACTGGCAACCACACTAGCTTGAGCTAGGTGCCTACTGGCTTCTACTGCTACCCCAAAACAAGACCACCTCCTCCCTGAAATAGCTTTATACATTCACATACATGAAGATTAGCTGCCTTATAAGGAATAGCAGGAAGACCAATAAAAATTTAACAGCTATGTGAGTGGAGATGGATGGAGAATGAATGGGTAGATGGAAGGAAGGCTGGATGGATGAAGGGAAGGTGGATGGATGGCTAATGGTGGATATATGGATAGGTGGGTGGCATAGGTGTAGATAGGTGGACGGATGAGTAAATAGGTAAACAGTCTGACCAGAAAACAGATGAATAGGTGAGCAAGTACAGGAGTGATGGATTGAGGAATGGTGGATAAATTATGGGCAAGGTAGTGGATAGGTGGGTGATGGATGATGAATGGATGGATGATAGTAGGGACAGATGTGTGGGGCACAAAGGGCTGGCTGTATGACTTGGCAAATAGAAGATAAGGAAACAAACTGGCACATAAGCATAAGAGTAGTAGACTGATGGATCAGTGAATGGGTATAGGTGGGTGAATAGGTCAATGAATAAGTGGTCAAATAGGTGAACAGGTGCAGAAGAGATGGTGGATGAATGAAAGATGGTAGATAATGGACAAATGAATAGATATTAGATGTGCAGATGGATAAACAGGTGCAGGTACAGATGGAAATATGGTAAGTAGATATAATGGACCAGTGAATGCAAGAAAGAATGGATATATGGATGCCTGGGATCATGGTAGATGGACCCGTGGATAGCAGGAAGGAAAGATGATGCACAGATGGGCAGGTGAACGGTAGATGTATAGACAGATTAATCGATAGATTAAAGACGGGTGCATGAATGAAGAAAGTCAAAGATGGCCAGGCTTCTCTCTGCTCGCTGAAAGGGGCTTGGCAGGCAGGGCACTCACCTTGCTGGCTAAGGGTGGTGCCCCAGGCTTTCCAGCTTTCTTGAGGTAGGTAATGAGGGAAGGGGTGCCCGCTCGGGACTCATCATCAGAGCTGGTATGTGACAGGTCAGCCTCTCCAGTGCGTGCTAGCTCATCGGCTGTGGAATAGCCCTCGGAGAGCTCAGGAGCCAGCTCCTCTGCCTCCTGCCGCAGGTGCTGCACACGGCCGTCTTCCTCAGGCAGCTCACTGATGGAGTCCAGAGTGGGCTCACGGCTCATGCGGCGTTTCCGGGCGAGGGCTTCCCAGAGCAGGTGCAGGTCACCCTCCTGGGCTGCCTCAGGGGGCAGGCTAGGCTGCACGGGGGCCTCGTCCCCAGAGCCTGTGGTCAGCACCACTGAAGAAAGCAGAAGATGGGTCAGCAGGATAGGGCTGAGACGTGAGATCACACTCACCCTCACTGACGACCGGTGTGTCACCTTGCTGGACCTTGACTCCCCGCCGGGTACCACATCGTTCTACCACGTTTTAGAAGCTCTGAGCCTAAGCCCACATCAGCTTCCCCTCAGACCACCTGCACAGGGCACATGGTGGCCAGAGAAGACATGACTGCAAAGTCAAACTGGGATTATTTCATTCCTTCCTGGCCCTTGCTGCTGATATAGTAGCCCATATTAATTCAAGGAGCAACACAAGGAGGAGATTCATGCGTGTGAATGCACTAGGGCCAGGTGCAGACAACAGGGGAAAGACAGACTGGTGCAGGGTGGTGCTTAAAGGTAGGCTGCCACTGAGAAAGAGGGAAGGAGCTCAGAACACAGAAAGGACTCGGGAAAGGAAGGTACTCAGAGTACAGAATGAGGCTAGAGTAGAGGAGGGATTCATAGCATTCGGGGCAGGGGACTGAGCTGGAAGAAGGACTCAGCATGAGGGAGCTGAGCGGGCATGGGGGGTGAGGGGTAAGAGCATGGGGTGCCTAAGGTATTCAGTGTGAATGGAGCCGGGAAGAGGGCTCAGAGCATGCAGGCAAAGTACCAGGGTGCTGAGGGTGCAGGGGGCACCATTACAGAGCAAGCGGGGCACAAGCATGCGGGAGCACCTCAGAGCAGAGTCACTAAGAGAACAGGAATGCTCAGAAGGAAGGAGGTTCAAAGCTCAGGAAAAGTCTTGGGAAGAGAGCTGCAGGTGCTCAAGGTTCCAGACTCAAGAGGACCAGCACTAGAAAGCTGAGGGCTGCACCCTGTTCAGGGATGGGTGAGCTGGCCTAGGGCAAGGCCTCAGGCAATAATGTGAGAGCTGTTTCATCTCCTGACCCAGCCTTAGTCTTCCATCATGTCCTACTCCGGGTGTCAGAGTACCCTCGGCCCTTCCTCCAGAGCACTGATGAGGAGGAAGGCCAGGCCAGCCATGTTCCCATACCCCAGGGCTTTCTACCCCAGCCCAGAACATACCCTGGAATGTGGCAGCCTTGGTGGGAATGGAGCCCTGGGCAGGACCACAGTGGTACTGGCCCTGGTCTTCTGACTTGAATCCCTTGATCACTAACACCTGCCGCCGGCCCTGAGAGAGCACCTGGAAGTGCCCGCCCGGCTGGATGCGCTCTGTCCCCTTGTGCCAGACAACTTCCCCAGCTTCGGTCGCCACCTCCAACTCCAGACAGACGTCCTCACCAGCCACCGCCTGGCGTCGCTCTGGGACTGGGGGCGGGGGAGGCGCAGGTTCCGTGGGTTCTGCTGGGAAACAGCACCCATAGACAGCAGACAGGCCTCATCAGGCAGGTTGGGCTTTGCAGTCCAGACCCCAGCACACAGGCTCCCTCCCTCCAGCTTGGGTAGGTGGCTCCTCTCCCAGACCCGGCCCCAGAGCAGTGACTCACCCAGCTTGACCATTTGGGGCAGGTGCACGGGTTCCCCGGCACCTGCTGGTCCCACGGCTGCCACTCGGAAGCGATAGGTCTCCCCAAGGGCCAGGCCATCTACCACACATTCTGGCCCAGGCACCAGCTCGTGGCATAAACGCCACTGGCCTGTGGAACCCTCCTTCATCTCTACCCGATAGCCACACAGACCGCCACCGCCGTCACTTGTGGGAGCCATCCAGGACAAGGTCACAGAGCGGCCACTTCGACCCACCACCTCGGCATCCTCTGGGGGGTCAGGGAGGCCTGAAAGGAAGGGAGGAGGTCAGCACACCCACTGTGGCCTGCAGCCCTTCCAACAGCCGCTAGGGTCAGGCCCTGGACGTGGAACAGGCCCTGGGGCAGGCCACTTTCCCACTATACCCAGTGGCCCAGCCTGTCTCAGGGAGGAAGAGATGATACAGAGCCACCCCACCCGTGAACTAGCAGGTCTATGTGTCTCAGTAGACTGTATACCCACAGCCCACTCAAGATGGGGTCCACTGAGAGCTCTCAGCAGTATAAGGACTGGAGAGCCTCATTCCTTCTGACTTCTGCCCTCACCGGGATTTGGGCCCCTAGCCTCAGTGCCCTGATCTGACAGACAGCATTACTCAGCAACCCCCTTAGACCAGCAGGAGGGGCTACTGACAAGGAAGGGGCATGACACACACCACCACCTCCACTCTGGGCGTCCAACCACTCCACCCAGGATGCAGTTCTGGATGGTCACCCACCCCAGTGGTCTACAGAACTGTCCCCGGCCCGTCCTGCGGAGAGGGGCCCGCAACTCACTCAGCACAGAAAGCCTTGCAGAAGCCACTGCGTCACGGGCAGCAAAGGTCACCTCCCCAGCGTGGTGGGGCTGAGCACTCCGTAGCAGCAGGGAGTGCTGGCTGCCGTCAGCAGTGACCCTCCAGGCCGCGCTGTCTGGCTGGACCACAGCACCGTTGATATACCAGGTTGCCTCGCCCACAGGCACCGCCTCACTGAGCTTGCAGGTGAAGTTGGCCTGGGCGCCAGCTCGTACCGTCACATCTTTTGGTGGCTCCGTGACCTCTAAACGCCATCCTGTGAGGGTGGATGGGTGAATAAACGCAAGGGGAAGGTTCTGGAGGCAAAGCATGAGACCCTTGGCCTCTACTGTGCCTCCCCTCCATGCTGCCTCCAGTTGGAGAGGTCTCAAAACAACACCTCTCAGCCAATTCTCCCCACCCGGTGAAGCCTCACACTGAAGGGCTTAGAAGACACTCATCCCCTCCTTCAAAGCAGCCAGATTTCTAGTGGGAGGCTCCTCAGAAACCAAGGACCCCCTACTCCTCATCCCAGATGGAACTGCCAGCAGGAGGGGCACTTGCAGATCCCCCACAGACTTGAAGGGGTCGAGCCACCTGTGTGAGCAGGATCAACGTCTGACACCCCACTCCACAACTCTCCCAGGCTGGAAGGCCTTTAGGAAGGGGTCTCACCCACTGGCACCCCAGCCCTGCACCAGCCCGCGCAATCTTGTCTCTCTGCAGGGTGAATGGTTCTCAACCAGATGCCACTCCCATCCCAGATCTCTCTGTCTCACTGAGCTGGCTGCACACCTCCAGCTTGGGGTGGGGACAAGAGATCTCAGAGATCAACATCTTTTCACCCTGTAGAGCATCGGGTGGAAAAGATCTCAGAGGCCACCCCCTCCTCAGCCACCCTTGCTAGGACCCAGCCTCTGGTGGGAGGGGCTCACCCTACCCCTCCATCTTGCACCAGAGAAGCACGGTTACCTCTGACAGTGAGGAATGCAGATGTGACCACGTCCCCAGCCAGGAAGGTCACCCGGCAACTATCCTGTGGCCGCAGGTTCTTGAGCAGCAGCAGGTGCCGCAGGCCATTCTCAAAGTAGACCACTTCCACATTTTCTGAGGTGTGCACAGGCTCATCATCCAGCAGCCAGGTGTGCGCAGCCACCTCAGGCTGAGACAAACGGCACTCAAACAGCGCCTCGCCGCCCTCAAGGGCATCCACATTCTCCAAGCCCTGAACCACTGTGTTCTTGGCTGTGGGGAGAAGCCAGGGAGGGGCTCAGGTGCATGTGAGCCTAGGAGCTCCTCACCTGCAACTACAAAGAGTCAAACAAGATGCCACCCCAGTGATCACATGGAGACAGGGTAATCACTCTGGACTCCGTTTCACAGATGAGAACCTCACAGGTGATCGCGAGACTTCAACACTCACAAGCTACCCAAACATGGAGCCCCACATGGACGCTGGATGCAGTGCCCTTACTTGCCAAAGTATCTGAAGCATCAGGGTTTGGACTCCACACCCCTTCCTCACATCCCAAACAGCACAACTAGACCTGTGATGGTTTCTGGAACTCTCCTCACACTCACATGATTAGGAACCCTCAGAATCCATGCCTCTTGGTTAATGGTCAGTTTCTCACAGAAGCCGTAAGCATGTAACTGGTTGTGCTCTAACCTAAGTGCATTGTGGGGTAGTTTTGCTACGCCCAGGATCATTCCCCTGTACAGAGCACCTCTATGACCAGGATGGATGCTACAGCATGCCCTGCTCTATGGCTCGGTGAACCAAGGCACACCATAGGTGTGCTGGGCCTGGGGCTGCCTGCCAGGTAGCCTCACCTTGCACTTGGAGCAGCGCCACCACACGGGTGCCCGCAGCCTCACAAGAATAGATGCCACTGTCACTGGGCAGGGCTGGCCTGAAGGTCAGCCTGGCCACGGTCCAGTCCTGCTCTATGATGACACGGTGCCCATCTGCATGAACCTCCCGCTCGTCCATCTTCCATGTGGCCTGCACAGGCCGTGAGTACTGGCAAAGGAGCTCTGCTGAGCCACCCTCCTCCACCGCCAGGTCTTGCATGGCACTGACCACCTCCACCGTGGGATCTGTCGGCCAACATGCCGGACACGCATCAGCCCTGGGACACACCACCATACCCACCCACGCTCTGCCATCCATGTTAGTGGCTTTAGCAGCTGCAAGCTTAGCTTTGGTAGGCAATGACTCAGCCACAGCTACTGGCACAGCCAGGAAGTGGGACCCACCATGGCAGCTCAGAGCACGCCGCATCAGATACGCCCTGTGCCCATTCATGGTTGATGGTGCTGTTGAGCCGGGTGTCTGTCCAGACTGGGCTCTTCTGGCCCAGGGGCAGCATCCACACCCCACCTCCAACACCTTTGCTGGACCCCGGATCCCTGGCTCAAAGTCCACAGCCACAGTTTGGATTGCCTCCCATCGAAACACCCATTTCCCTTTGCTGAAAATCTACTTGATAAATCACTGTTACCTCAGTGACCCACTTTTTCTATGGGTGCTCACAGGAGGCCAGTCAGCAAAGGCATCAAATGAAGGAGCTAGGGGAGTCCATGACATTTTGCTGCCCTTCCTGTCCAGAGAGCAAGTTGATACAAGTGTGGACAGGAACAGACCGGGCAAGGGCCTGGGATGGAGCCCAGGAGCCCAGGAAAGCTCCCTCAAGGAACTAGCCTCTGGCTGAGGTGGCGGCCAGGTGAGTAGCCTGCCCAGGCTGAACTCAGTACATGGGTATGGGGCCACCTTCAACTGCCTGGCTCCCTAGCCTGAATTTCCCATTCAGGAAGTATGCCCACCTGGGGCTGCCCTGGGAAGATAGAAGGCATGGAGAAATGTGCCCTAGAAGGCTATATCTGACCCTCCTCTGCTCCCCAGGAGCCTGCAGGAAGCGTGCAGGCACAGCAAAGTCAGAAGCACCAGCACAGGTGGTCCCCCGTGGCCAATACCTTTGACCAACAACTTGGCTGTGGAGACCAGAGGCCCCATGCGGAAGGTGATGGTGCCTGAGTCGGCCACCCCTAGGCCCGAGAGGGTGAGAGAGTGAAGGGTCCCCCTGTGCACGGCGATGGCACTCTGGGGAGTGTCCTGAAGCAGGGTGCCATCCAGCCACCAGCGGGCCTCTGGCCCAGCCACACGAGACACCTCACAGGAGAACGTGGCCACCTCCCCAGCGAAGACATCCACATTCTGCAAGCCACGTACCAGGCATAGTGCTGCCTCTGCGTAAGAGGGTGAGAAGGAGTGCCAGGCTGGGCGCCCTACAGTCTATCAGGTGGGAACTACTCTGGAGATCATTGGTGCGTGAGTGTGTTCTAATAACAAGTTTGGTTTTTGTTCCCACAGGACTCCTAATACCCTCAGAATTTCCTGAATGACTGAACTGTTGTTATTTGTAACAAGCTCCTTTGACCATATACAAAGTAATACTAATGAGGGACTCTGGTCATACTAGGTAGCTTTGGGTGGTCACCCAGTGGTAAGAAGTCTAAAACATTTATCACCATTCATCAACTTTTGGGAAAGCTGGAAAGCCATAGATTAATCTCCATAAAATAAACTCTCTTAAATAGCTCTGATGTGATCAAGATTAGTGGGTCTTGAGGTGCTGGAGGGTGATACACCCAGGGAGGGAGCCAAGGAGGGTCGCCAAACTCACTCTCCCCGGTCTTGCCTTATGTCACTCTTCTCTATGGCTATTCCTGGATGGGCTCTTCTGTAATAAACTTGCAATACTAGTTCACTAATGTCGATAAGCTGTCCTGGAAAAACCATCAACCCTGAGGGTTAGTGAGAGCCAGAAGGGCAGGTGTCTGTCAATTTGACACTTGAAATTGGCACGTGAAGTTGGGGAGCAGTCTTAACTTACAGTCTGCCAACTCTAGATAGTTCTAACACTGAATTAAGTTATATCGCTCCATGTGTGAGGAAGAATACACACACACGTTAACACAAAATCAGCGTTCAAAGCAATTGTTTTGTCCTGTGAGAGGATAGGAGAAAAGCAACAAAGATGTTTTCTCTAGAATTGGTGTTCCAAGTGACATACGCTAGAACGGTCTTGAGATTCATGGGCCTAGAGGTCTTCTGTATCAGGCACCAGCCCAATCAGAAAGATGGTCTCTTCCTGGGGTCTAGAAATCCACCCAGGCCGGCTACATGGCTCTGACCACAGTGGAGAATACAAAGATCACCCTCAGTGATCCTATGAAAAGTGGCTCAGGCCCAGGCATGACCTCTGCTCACCGATACGCTTCCCACACACCCTTCAGAGCATACCTAGCATCACCCACCGGAGGCCAAAGACATCCGCACACCTTCTCAGAAAGCAGAAGGGACATGCTCAGACCATGGTCGAGGCTCCTTCTGGCACTGGCTGTCTCTTCTGACCCAGTGTGAATAATAGAGAGGTACCCCAGAGCCTGCTGCTCCAAGAGGGTGCGAGTCAGCCTCACCCTACTTCTCTGGAGGTGCTGAGGCAGATGCTTCTTCCAGAAGGACACTCTGTCCCTTCAGCCTTAGGCCTCTGGGGCCCCAGGGATGGATGTCACCTGGTGGGGTCCAAGCTCAGGAGCTTCAGGTGTGTATGTGTGGAGCTGCCTGCCTGTGCTCTCCATTCTGTCCTCTTCCATCTCACCTGCTTCTGGGATGGCCAATCGGGTAACCACAGCTAGTGGAGAAGCTGAGAGCCCTCCCAGACCACCAGTGACCACATAGTGGGCCCCTCCCTCCCACTCCCCAGAGAGAAGGACAAGACCCAAGGTCTCTTTCGCCACCTGCTTCCTGGGGCCAGGCAAGGAAGGTATGCCCTCCCCCGACCCTGTGCTCTTCTCTTAGCACTGCTCATATGCCATCCTAGGACACTGGCACAGTCCAGATGGGTCTATCGCATGGGCGAGAGCAGAGGCATGGGCAGGGACCTTTTTCAGGGGTAATGGTATCCAACAGAAAATGGTGGGCAGAGAAGCCCTCAAGCCCACCCAAGTAAGCCCTCTTTTAGGAGCCTTTCCATGTTCTCCCCCACATTTACACCCCACATAAGCCTTCAAAGTGCCCCTGGACTGGCTTCCCCAAACACATCTAACCACCCCTTCTTGCTGTCAGTATCAGTTCATTCTCTTCTCCAGCACCAGTTTCCAAGTGTGGCCATCATATCTGGACACCCATTTACACATCCTTGCCCAGGACCCCCCAAGGCCACAGGGAGGTGTTGGTACATGAACCAACTCTCTCAGGCTGGGGACACCTAGCCTAGAACAACACTGAAGCACACCACACATCTCTGTTACATCCCCCAATGACAAGGGTTCTGTCTCTTCCCATTCATTCACTCCTAAACTCTCCCTTGTCATTAATCAACTTTTAAGGGCATTAGTATTTGGCAGCCTTTCCCACAGGCCACAGGAGTGACCATGTCTAGTTGAGAACAGAGATGAACATGGCCTATCTTGAGATCCCTCCAAGGGCTGGAGGATTTGATGGTGAATGACTGAATAGCAGATGGGTTTTTGAATTAATGGACAAATGGACTGGTAAATAAGTGAGTGGGTAGGTGAATGGATGAATGGATACCTGATGCCGAATGGGTAAATGAACAGATCTAGACCATCTGATGGGTGGATGGATGGATGGATGGATGGATGCCAAACAGTGGTATATGGACAGATAGATGGACTAAATGGATGGATAATGGGTTGGTAATGGATAGCAGAGGAATGGTGGTAGTGATTAAGTGGTCGATGAATGAATAACGGGTGGATTGACAAGACCAGTATGAGAATGGAAAGGAAGATACAAGGGATGAGTAGTCAAAACCAAATCCTCAGGACTGATTAGTTCTGGGGCAAGACAATTCAAGATGAATTTTCCTAGAAACCCGCTTGTGTGCTGGGGCTATGTTTACTACACCCACGTACATACAGTGTCACATATACACAGTTTCATCCACACCTTTGATCCATTGATTGTACAAGTGTCTATTAATTTTAGCCTGAGATCCCACATTCTCACGGAGAAGTCTGCCAGCCCACCCCAGAGCCCTCTGTAGTCCATGACCTCAGTGAATGGAACTTAGAAAAGTCCAATTCCAAGGCAAAATCACTATTCCAAGTCTTAGGTTTTTGCCAGTGGGTAGGTGCGACGGTGTAGGGGAGCCTGCAACCACAGGCGTCCATAGGTAGAGGGTAGGGCGTGGGGAGGAGCTGCTTACCTGTGACCTTCAGCTGTGCTTCTGAGCTACACGAGCCCACTTGGAAAGTGATGGTCCCCGCATCCTCCAAGGTTACCTGAGGATACAGGTAGGAAGATGCTCAGTGCTGGCAGCCCCATCCTGACCAGGAAGGGCAGAGTCATCTTACTAACCCCCAGTGACAGGGGCTTATCACCTCCCCAACCTGATCCCTGGTAGAGGAACATCTCCAATGGACTTGGAGCCTTCCGAGTCTAGGTGGAGAGCCGTCATGGATGCCCACCTTGTGCAGGGTGAGTAAGTGCAATGTGCCCTGCTCCACAGTGATGTCATTCATCTCATTGGCCTGTAAGGGTACTCCTCCTAAGGCCCAGCGGGCCTCCTGGCCCAGGGCCCTGGACAGCCGGCAGCGGAAGTGGGCATCCTGGCCTTCGCTGAGCTGCAGGTCCTGTAGGGGCTCCAGGATGGTCACTTCAGGAGCTGGGTATGGGAGAGGCATTGCATCAGCCTGGGTCTGACATACGTCCTCATTCAGTATGGCTTCTATGACTCAAGGGTCCTCTCCTGGCACACATATGCATATCCCCCAATTTCTGAAGACAAACGTGGTGGCATGTTATCAGCTCCCTGATCCAACTCTAGGCAGAGAGAACGATCTGGGTTCTAACCCGCGGAGATGTTGGAGATAATCAAAGGCTGCAGTGTCACGGTCTGTACCACCTCCTGAAGGCCACGAGGCAGGGCCTTGAGCTTTAATACTGTGTGAGCCCCCAAATACCTCCCACCGGCCTAAGTCACCCACACAGCCAAGGAGCACCTAGAAACCACCAGCACATAAGTTCTATCTCCCTGCCAGCATCCTAGCCCCCAAAGGAACCTTGCTGTCCATCTGTGCAGTCTGACAGGCCCACCCAAGCCAACTACCTCGGACAGTGAGTTGAGCAGAGGATGAATGGTTCCCCACGTGGAAGGAGACAGTCCCGGCGTCTTCGGGTGTCACGCCCTTCAGCTGGAGAGTGTGGATGCGACCATCCACAACAGCCACCTCAGTGACCTCATTGCTCTGCAGGGGCAGGCCCTGCAGGCGCCACTGCACATCCGGGGCTCCAGCCTGTGACACTTCACAGCTGAACTCCGCGTCTTCATCAGCCTGCACCTCAGCATCCACCAGGCCCCGCACAATGGTCACCTCAGGCTCTGAGGGCAGGGTGAAAGAACCGCCTTAACCAGCCTGGAGACGCCCCCCACCACCTCCACCCCAGGAAGCCTCTCTGGCCACTCTTCGTGTGGCATGGCACTGAGTAGGCTCAGAAACACAGGGACTGGGCTTGGAGCACCTGCCTCCCCACAGACCATGCTGGGGCAGCTCTGTTTGCAGCCGGGCCTGTCCTGACTAGACCTAGAGGAACAGGGAAGCAAGAGTTTCTAGAGGATCTGAGGGACTCAGAGAAGGCTGCCCAGGACAGACTGGGCTACCCCACCTGCCAGATGGGGGGCAGGAAGCAGGGTCCCTCTTCTCTTGGAGGACTGGCATAGGAGGTGGTGCAAGAATGGAGAGAGCTGGGGCTGGGAAGGTGGCTCAGTGGTAGAGTGCTTGCCTTGCATGCTCGAGGCCCTGGGTTCGATTCCTCAGCACCACATAAGCAAAAAGAAAAAAGCCAGAAGTGGCGCTGTGGCTCAAGTGGTAGAGTGCTAGCCTTGAGCTAAAGAGCTGAGGGACAGCGCCCAGGCCCAGAGTTCAGGCCCCACGACCAGACCCAAAAAAAAAAGAATGGAGAGAGCTGTGACCCAAGGGAGGCTTGGGCAGCCCTTTGAGCTGGTCTGCCCACGAATCCTTCCCAAGCAACCTCAGGGGAGAGGGTGCAGCAGAGGGCTCAGCCTCCCTCCTGGGAGGTCGGTTGGCTTACCTTTGACTCTGAGAGAGGCCACAGTTTTCTGGCCACCCACCACACAGGCATACTCGCCAGTGTCTTTTGCTTCCAGCCCATGGATCAGCAGTTCACAAGTGGCCCCTCGGCACCGCATCTCATACTTGGGACCAGTGCGAAGCTCCGTGCCCTCCTTCAGCCATTGCACTGGTGCCCCAGAGTCAACCTCACTCAGCTGGCAAGACAGCCGGGCCACACCGCCTGCCTCCTGCTCTGCACTCTGCAAGCCAGTCTTGAACGTGGGCTTGGGGGCTGGCAGGCCAGAAAAGGACACTTAGAGCCACAGGCTCTGGGCCGCCCTGCTTTCTGCAGAGCAAGGCCCCCCGACCCCCATGTGGTAGGAAGAGCTGGGGTACTTGGGACCACAGACCACTCACCTAGGACGGAGAGCCTGGCTGTACTCTGCATATGGCCGGCGTCACAGGTGTAGTCCCCCGCATCCTCCTGCTCCACCTCACACACCCGCAGCTCAACCACCCTGCCCTCCTGCACCATCTGGTACTTGGCGCAGGGGAAGAGCTGCAGGGACCCCTTGCGCCATTCCACACTCCCGCCTGCCATGCTCAGCTCGCAGCACAGGTGCGCCGTGGTCCCCTCGTCCACCTCCTGGGCCTGCAGCTCCTGGAGGAACCTCAGGGGTGCAGCTGCAAGGTTGGAGAGACAGCATGAAAGTAGGCCCTGAGCCACTATAACACAAAGGACCAAGAGATGCAGCCCAGGACCCACATCAGGCAGATCCATAGTAAGAAGCAGGCACAGTCCTGGGAAAGAACCAAAACGGAAGTGACAGCTGGAGGGGCTGCCTGGCCAGCTCAGCTACGAGAGGGTCTGAAGGCCCATGGAGAAGAGTGCACAGGAATGGCGGTGGGACACAGAGGGGGCCCCGGAGCTGCAGTTACTGACACAGAAAGCACTGGGAGTGGGGAGGCCGGACCGGAAGGCCCGACCACGGGGAGAAATCAGAGAACCTCGCAGAGTCCAAGGGAACAGGAGCACACAAAAATTAGGACTTGAGCAGGTACAAAATGAGGGAACCCACGGAGATGCTCAGAGGAGAAACCTGGAAGACAGGGCTGAGCTGCAGGACTGCTTCGCTGAGCTCCATTTTCTCTACTGGAACCCCAGACATGGGGCTGTGGCCACGAGGGTCAGCATGCAGACCGAACTCACCCTACCCCAGCCACACTCATCCTACCCAGAGGTGGGTACCCACCTGTGACTACGAGCGTGGCGCTCGTGGTCTGGGAGCCACAGGTGCAGCTGTACTCGCCCGCATCCTCACGGCGCACATCCCAAAGCACCAACTCCACAACGCAGCCCTGCTGCCGGGGCTCCCGGCGCTCGTCTGCCTGCAGCTCCAGTCCACCCTTGCTCCAGACCACACCAGTGTTAGGTGTTGACAGCTTGCACCGCAGGCTGGTTTTAGAACCCTCTTCCACCTGCAGGTTCTGCAGTGGCTCCTGGAACACCACCTGTGGGACTGCGGGAACGCAGGGTGTATCACATGAGGCAGAGTCAGCTCAGGACGTACACCTGAGAACCTCATCACACAGGTGACCAGGGCGAGGGCCAGGCACCCCTGCAGTCCCATGGCCTACCTCCATAGGATCGAATGTATCAGGACTGGCTGGGGAAGGGTGGAGGATAAGGGTGGTTTCAAGAATAAGGAAGATAGTAGGGATGCTAGCAGGGGGCATAAGATCTGACTCTGACTTTCTGATGTTTGCCTCACACGGCAGCCCTGCCACAGAGCTATGTCCTCAGGATCTTGGCAGTAAAGGGGAAGGGAGTGGTGTTCTCTATAGTCTACCCAGAAGACATACAAGTCCGATATGTAGTTATTGTCTGACCCTTGGTCTGTGGTACTGTTCTTCCTAGGCCCGAGGCCAAGAACTTCTCCTTTTGATCCTATGACAGGGCTGCATCTCCCTCAGACTTGAAGAGAGAGCTGTGTTCCACAGACTCAGGGAGGTCTCTGTTCCCCATGCACCTAAGACTCTGAGGTATGGCACGCATGCTCCATGGACACACTGGGAATTAGGGACAGAAAAAAGACTCACAAAGGAAAATCACTTCCCCCATGTGAGCATCAGAGAGAGAAGGGGGGAGGTGAGAGGAAGGAAAAGGAGAGAAGGGAAGGGAAGCAAAGGCATGAGAGAGGAGAAAAGAGGAGAGAAGAAGAGAGGAGAGGAGAGCAGAGAAGAGGCAAGGAGAGGAGAACTGTGTGCCAAGACTCAGATGAAGGTTGACACGGGCCAGCGCTGTGAAAATAGACAGACAGGGGCTGGGAAGGTGGCTCAGTGGTAGAGTGCTTGCTTTGCATGCATGAGGCCCTGGGTTCGATTCCTCAGCACCACATAAGCAAAAAGAAAAAAGCCGGAAGTGGCGCTGTGGCTCAAGTGGTAGAGCGCTAGCCTTGAGCTGAAGAGCTGAGGGACAGCGCCCAGGCCCAGAGTTCAAGCCCCACAACCGGACCCCCCCCCCCAAAAAAAATGAAAATAGCCAGACAGAATAGGGAAATGGAGAGAAGGCTTAGACAGCCCTGAGGAACAGGTCTAGCATTGACTGGGACCAGACAGAATAGAGAAATGGGCAGAAGGTTGAGAGGCAACTCTGGGGAACAGGTTCAGCATTGGCTGGGAGCAGACAATAAGAACAAAAACCCAAACAAGTCACGTGTTCACAAATCTTTACCCTCTACCATGTGATTTTTTTTTTTTTTTTTTTGGTCAGGTTTGGGGCTTGAACTCTGGGCTTGAGCATTATCACTCAGCTCTTCAGCTCAAGGCGAGAGCTCTACCACTTGAGCTACAGTCACTTCTGGTTTTCTAGTGCTTTATTGGAGATAAGAGTCTCATGGACTTTCGTGCCCAGGCTGGCTTTGAACTGCCATCCTCAGATCTTAGCCTCGTGAGTAGCTAGTATTACAGGCGTGAGCCCCTGGCACCAACTCATATGACTTTTTTTGTTGCTTTGTATGTTCCTCCCACACAGTATAACCTGTTTTCACTGTAGTTGATGTTAGTATAGTTTGGGGAGGGAAAGGGAAAAAACAAAATGTTAATAGGGATACAGGTTGACACATTGTAACAATGAGAAGTACAAAACACTGTTGAACAACAAACTTTACAATTTAGGCATGGGGGAGGGAGAGTGTAGTTGTGGAAGTGGGAGGGAAGGGATGGTAGGGGAAAAACAAAGGAGGAGGCAACAATGCTTCATAAGAAATGGACTCATCACCTTACTCATGAACTGTAAGACCTCTGTGCAGTATTTTCACAATAAAAAACTAACAAAAAAAATCTTTACCCTGGACAGTCAGCACGGCTGAGGTCCTCTCCTTCCCACACACACACGAGTACTCCCCGGCATCTGCCACGGCCAAGTCACGGATCTGCAGCTCACACACAGCTCCGTTCTGCCTCAGGCTGTATCTTCCTCCATCTTCTAGGATCTCTTTTCCCTTCCTCCACTGCACAGCAGACACCTTGCTCAGCTCACAGCTCAGCGTGGCAGTGGACCCTTCCACGGCCTCCTGGCTTCTCATGTCTTCTGTGAATCTGGCAGGCAGGGCTAGGAAGGGCAAACAGAAACCATGGGGCTGTCTGGAAGGCTCTGTGCCACCCATGCCTGGGATCCACTGAGTCACACACACTGACAAAGAACCTTGTCATGAACTGGAAAATGAAGGACAGAGGGACAAGGAGGCAATGTTCCTGGAGGAACAGGGAAAGCTCAGGTAACAGACATTAACACGAGAACATCTCCTGGGCAAGGGGAAGGGAGGTAAGAGACACTGAGAGGACTCTGGTGACAAGACAGATGGTCACAGGGTCACCACAGCTGTGACACAAGTACAGGCAAACAGTAGTCTGAGACACAACACAGGGACAACAAGCCACAGGCTCATGTGGTCACACATGGACGGTCTTTACCCCTGATGGTCAGCGTGGCTGAAGTCTTCTCCTGCCCACACACACAGGAGTACTCCCCGGCATCTGCCACAGCCAGGCCACAGATCTGCAGCTCACACACGGCTCCTTCCCGCCTCAGCCTGTGCCTGTCCCCATCTCTCAGGGTCTCAGACCCCTTCCTCCACTCCACAGGCGCCGCCTTGGTCAAGACACAGCGCAGTGTGGCTGTGGCCCCTTCTGTGGCCTCTTGACTTCTCAAGTCTTCTATGAACTTGGCAGGCAGGGCTGGAAAGGCCAAACAGCCACTGAGGACATTGAACTCCCAGAAGGACTTCCACAGAACACGGACTACACAAGGAGCCACACACATCACGGTAGAAGGATCACCATGGGAACATATGACTGCAAGTGCAGATGGTCAGGAGACACACATCCAAGGAGGCGTCATAGAGAGAGGGTGGGAGGAGGACGGGAGCATGAGAACATGTTCTGAGTAAGGAGAAAAGGACGTGAGACAATCCTGATACAGGACAGATGGTCACAGGGTCACCACAGCCGTGACATGTACAGGCAGAAAGGAGTGCTGAGACACAACATGTAGATGACAATCACAGGCTCACGTGGCCACACATGGACGGTCTTTACCCCTGAGGGTCAGTGTGGCTGTGGTCTTCTCCTGCCCACACACACAGGAGTACTCCCCGGCATCTGTTTCAGCCAGGCTACGGATCTGCAGCTCACACACAGGCCCAGCCTGCCTCAGGGTGTATCTCTCCCCATCTCTGAGGGTCTTTGTTCCCTTCTTCCACTCCACTGGGGCTTCTTTGTTCAGCACACACTGGAGTGTGGCCGTGGCCCCTTCTGTGGCCTCTTCATTCTTCAGACCCTCTGTGAACTTGGTGGGCAGAGCTGGGGGAGTCAGAAAGACATAGCCACCGTCATGCTCACAAGCAAGAAGAAGACAGGATGTGGGTGGCACAAGGAAGACAGAAAACTTGGCAGGACCAAGGTCAGGTGTTGGGCATGCTGAACACACTCTGTAGAATGGGATCTCCTCATGCCAGACTGCACATGGAAGTCACAGCTCTTTCGATAGCTTCCTCAGGCCTTATACTTTATATAAACTTTTCAGAGAAGTGCAGAGAAAGAGTCAGAAACAAATACACAATGTGAAACTTCCTTGAGAACCCTGAGAATAGGGCATGACAATACAAAGACAAGACAAAACCCAATGATAGAATCCACAGTGCTACAAAGGGCAGAAAGCTGGCTGCAGGCCTTGCGATCTCCTGATTCTCAGAACAAATAAAGCAGTGAGCGAGGGCTGCAGCACAGGGGAGAGGGTAGAGCAGGGAGGGCCATGGGGTGAGTGTGGACGGGTGGCATGAGGCCAGTACTTGGCACCCTTTGGATCTACTTCATCATTGTGGTCTTCACCTCCGACCGTCAGAGTGGCCATTCCCTGTCTTCCCATAAATACATCAATACTTGCCAGAATCTTCCAGGGCCAGGCTATGTATCTGTAGCTCACATACGGCCCTGTCCTCCATAGCCCGTATCTGTCCCATCTCTAAGGTCTCTGTGCCCTCCCTCTACCCCACAGGGGCTTCTGCTGATCCTGTCCAGTAGTCAGGGCCCTTTCCATGGACTCCTTGAACTTCAGATCTTTGATGAACTGTGTGGACTAGCAAGGATCACACAGATAGAAGCCTTCAAACTTTTGGAGGTCATGATCTGAATACCCATGAAGCAAACAGAAAAAGGAAAACTGGAGGGTCATGGGAAAGGGCAGGTCAATAACTATTTTTCAGAATCCTGTGTTGTATTTGCTGAAGTACAGTTTGGATGAGAGATGAGCTCCATTCCAGATGTTCTCAGCAGACATCTTGTCCTCTTTGTGATCTCCTATGTCTGGGAAGCATACCAGGCCTGGCCAGCTTGCTGCCTAGACATGCAGTGATGTGATGATGAATGTCTCTCATGTAACTTCCACGGCAGACACTGTTTTGTCTCATGGACAGCCTATCTATTGCAGGCAGGGGATCCATCCAGTTCTGTCCAACCTGAACACACTTGGGCTCCTGTACACCCTCCAGATCATGAGCCCCCTCTCCTCTGTTACACATTCCTGTCCTGACACTACTGCAACCACACTCTACCCACTAGTGCCACGTGCTGACTCTGCCTACTGCACTCCCATTGACTGTAGCTATGGTTATCCCGTTGAACCCTTGGCCTCTGCCCAGTCCTGCAGCCCTCCCTCCTGATTCCAGAGTGTGCACTGTACAAGTTACCAGTGACCAGGGATCCCTCACCCTGGCTGCATCTGGACTAATTATTTGCAGTTGGGGTCTTTGCACAGGTGGTTAAGGTAAAAAAAAAAAAAAAGGCAATGACAGGACTAGTATCTTTATAAGCAGTCCAAACATAAACACAGGAGGATGACCATAGGAAGTCATGTAGAAGACAGCTGTCTGGAAGCCAAGCAATGGACTCAGACTGAACAAACCTTATTCCAGTCTGACCCCAGAACTACAAGGAAATGAATTTCTCACTCAGCACCCCGATCTATGATGCTTTGTATGACAGCCTGAAGAATATAGACTGGGTACTTCTGTAACAAATAGAGGTGGCTGGGCTGGGAAGGTGGCTCAGTGGTAGAGCACTTGCCTTGCATGCATGAGGCCCTGGGTTCGATTCCTCAGCACCACATAAGCAAAAAGAAAAAAGCCAGAAGTGGCGCTGTGGCTCAAGTGGTAGAGCGCTAGCCTTGAGCTGAAGAGCTGAGGGACAGTGCCCAGGCCCAGAGTTCAGCCCCACGACCAGACCCAAAAAAAAAACAAAAAAACAAATAGAGGTGGCTTCCAAACTGTATAAAGGCTAGAGGTTAGGAGATTTTAGAGTACACATTAGGAAGATAGGTCTCAGGTGGGACCTACAATGCATTTTGCACTCTATATGCATTGTAGTACTCTACAATGTGCTGTAGTACTCTATAGAAGGTAGACTTTAGAAACAATAAAATTGGATGTTGAGCTGAGGAGATTCTTAGGTAAATGGTGAAGATGTAGCCTGGTTTCTTGTCACCTACAATAAAATGTGAGGAGAGATAGATAAGCTAAAGAAAGAAGAAATCTGAACCTCACACTTTAGAACACTTACAACCTGGCCATAAAGCAAAACCCAGAAAGTATTATCTGGAGAGAACATTAGGAAGGGGCTAGTCACCTCAGCTCAGCTGAAGCCAAAAAGCAGAGATGAGATTATCCAGGAAGGACCTGAGAAGGATCATAGGCAATGGCTTGGAACCTTAAAAACTGCACAGAAGGATGTGGTTTATCAGAACTTTATAGCAGTAGAGAAGCTGCCAGCCTAGAATAAAAAGGACAGAGACAGGGTGAGTAACTGGGGGTTTCTCCAGTCTTCTATGAACTTGGCAGGCAGGGCTGGAGAGGGCCCAATAGCAAACGAGAACATGGGACTCCCCAAAGGACTGTGTGCAGAGCATGGAACACAAAGAGCCACACGCTCCGCTGTAAAGGACCATGTTGTAACATATGACCGAAAGCCTAGGTTGGGGAGGCACACATCTGCCTAGACCTCCTAATAATGATAGAATGAAGGAATGCTGTCAGACTTCTGGGGGTGAGCCAACAGAGCCCCTAAGCTACACATCTGTTACCCCCCAAGTCTGACTGTGTTACCCGGGCACTGGTGGCTCATGCCTGTAATCCTAGCTACTTAGGAGGCTGATATCTGAGGATTGTGATTCAAAGCCAGCCCAAGCAGTAATGTCTGCAAGATTCTGATATCCAACCCACCACCAAAAACCTGGAAGTGAAAGTGTTGCTTAAGTAGTGCATAGCCTTGAGCAAGAATGCCCAGGTCCAGAAGGAAGAAGGAAGGAGAAGGAGGAGGAGGAGGAGGAGGAGGAGGAGGAGGAGGAGGAGAGGAGGAAAGAAGAAAGAACAACTACTACTACTATACTGTGAAGGTAGGTCAGGGCCTGAGGCACAGAGGATGACATGGGATCCCAAGACCACGGGCTATCTCCTCCTCAGTTCTCCAGGGCTAGGGTACCTCCATTCAGGGCACTGAGACAAAGAGGACTCTTGTCTAGATATAAACCTAGTGGTTACGTTTCAGACTGGCTTGGGGCCTTTTTCATTCTGACCACTTTTTCAGTAAGAATCTTTATCCTACACCTGTCCTCCTGTGATCTGGAAATGAATACTCTGCCAGGTTTCATGGGTTCACAGCTAGGAAGGTACTTGACCTCAGAGGGAATCATACCTTCAGGCTCACACTTAGATGACATTTAGAGATGATTTTGGAATTAGATTTGATGCTCAAATGAGTTAAGGCTTTGGAATATTGGGATAGTCTTAATGTATCTTGCATGTGAAAAGAACCTGAGTTTTATAAGAGTAGAGTGTTACCAGCTGAATGGCTATGTGTTCCTTGCTCCTACTTCATACACTGACACCCACAACTAGTACCTCAGAATATAACTCTATTTCTGGTAGGGCACTGAAAGAAGGAATTAAGTTAAAATGAAATCATTAGGTTGGGCTCCAATCTAAAATATGACTAGTTACTATAAGTTTAGGACAAAAAGACACACAGAAGGGTTACCACGTGAGAACACATGGAAAAGAGGAACACTCACCAGCCAGAGTGAGAGGCCTCGGGAAAACCCGTCCACACTTGCTGTTGGAATTCTACTATCTAGAATTTATAGGAAAATAAATTTCTGGGTTTTTTTCATTTAAATTTCTGGTTTTTTAGTTTCCCGGTCTGTGGCGCTTAGTGCTTGAACAGCCTACGGCAGCAAACTTCAGAGGCCTGATGTTCCTTGCAAGACTCGGTTAAGCGATCTAGCCAAATTCAAGAATTCCTGATTCTATTTTTCCCAGCACCCCACCTTCAACATAGTGATGACACACATGCCCTCAGTGCCATGCCCAAGCCCAAAACGCCGGGGTTCCTCGCGAGTCCCTGGCAAGATGCCGATGGCCCTCACAGGTCTCCTGGTCACCGATGCTCCTCTGCTCATGCTCCTCTAGGCTCTCTCCTGTCCCTAGACCTGGCTAACAGAATGTGTCCTCAGGAGCACATGTGGATGGATCACAGAGACCAGTGACTTGGAATGAGATCATGGCATCTAGACATAAGGAGGGCACAAACCACACATGGTCAAGAGGGAGAAGAATGACCACCCATGGTAATTGCCATCCATGGTCAGGATGGCAGAAGTTCCCTCTTGCCCACACACTCAGGAGGACACCGCAGCATCCTGCACTGAGAGCCTATGGATCCACAGCTCACACAAAGCCCCATGATGTCTCAGGCTGCATCTGCCTCCATCTCTCCAGACTTCTTTCCCCTTGCACCACTCCACCACTCCAAGGGTCTGCCTTGCACAGTTCACACTGCAGCATGGCCGCAGCCCCTTCAGACCTCTTGGCTTTTCAGGTCTTCCATGAATCTGGCAGGCAGGGTGAGGAAAGGCTAAGGAGGCACTCAGAACATGGGGAAGAACACAGTGCATAGGACACAAGGACACACACACACACACACACACAGCCCAAGAACAACGGCAGAAGAGATGGTGAGGCAGGCAAATGTCCCGAGCGGCCCAAGGTAATGAACATCTGGACGAGGAGAGAAAGGGAAGCAAAATGCCAAGAGGACCATGATTTAAGACAGAGGGGCACAGGTGACAACCGCAGAGCCAAATGTTCAGGCAGGGAGGAACGTTGAAACACCACATACAGACAACAGCCACAGGCTCATGTGGCCACACATGGCATTTACCCATGACAGTCAGCACGGCTGAGGTCCTCTCCTTCCCACACACACACGAGTACTCCCCGGCATCTGCCACGGCCAAGTCACGGATCTGCAGCTCACACACAGCTCCGTTCTGCCTCAGGCTGTATCTTCCTCCATCTTCTAGGATCTCTTTTCCCTTCCTCCACTGCACAGCAGACACCTTGCTCAGCTCACAGCTCAGCGTGGCAGTGGACCCTTCCACGGCCTCCTGGCTTCTCATGTCTTCTGTGAATCTGGCAGGCAGGGCTAGGAAGGGCAAACAGAAACCATGGGGCTGTCTGGAAGGCTCTGTGCCACCCATGCCTGGGATCCACTGAGTCACACAAACTGACAAAGAACCTTGTCATGAACTGGAAAATGAAGGACAGAGGGACAAGGAGGCAATGTTCCTGGAGGAACAGGGAAAGCTCAGGTAACAGACATTAACACGAGAACATCTCCTGGGCAAGGGGGAGGGAGGTAAGAGACACTGAGAGGACTCTGGTGACAAGACAGATGGTCACAGGGTCACCACAGCTGTGACACAAGTACAGGCAAACAGTAGTCTGAGACACAACACAGGGACAACAAGCCACAGGCTCATGTGGTCACACATGGACGGTCTTTACCCCTGATGGTCAGCGTGGCTGAAGTCTTCTCCTGCCCACACACACAGGAGTACTCCCCGGCATCTGCCACAGCCAGGCCACAGATCTGCAGCTCACACACGGCTCCTTCCCGCCTCAGCCTGTGCCTGTCCCCATCTCTCAGGGTCTCAGACCCCTTCCTCCACTCCACAGGCGCCGCCTTGGTCAAGACACAGCGCAGTGTGGCTGTGGCCCCTTCTGTGGCCTCTTGACTTCTCAAGTCTTCTATGAACTTGGCAGGCAGGGCTGGAAAGGCCAAACAGCCACTGAGGACATGGAACTCCCAGAAGGACTTCCACAGAACACGGACTACACAAGGAGCCACACACATCACGGTAGAAGGATCACCATGGGAACATATGACTGCAAGTGCAGATGGTCAGGAGACACACATCCAAGGAGGCGTCATAGAGAGAGGGTGGGAGGAGGACGGGAGCATGAGAACATGTTCTGAGTAAGGAGAAAAGGACGTGAGACAATCCTGATACAGGACAGATGGTCACAGGGTCACCACAGCCGTGACATGTACAGGCAGAAAGGAGTGCTGAGACACAACATGTAGATGACAATCACAGGCTCACGTGGCCACACATGGACGGTCTTTACCCCTGAGGGTCAGTGTGGCTGTGGTCTTCTCCTGCCCACACACACAGGAGTACTCCCCGGCATCTGTTTCAGCCAGGCTACGGATCTGCAGCTCACACACAGGCCCAGCCTGCCTCAGGGTGTATCTCTCCCCATCTCTGAGGGTCTTTGTTCCCTTCTTCCACTCCACTGGGGCTTCTTTGTTCAGCACACACTGGAGTGTGGCCGTGGCCCCTTCTGTGGCCTCTTCATTCTTCAGACCCTCTGTGAACTTGGTGGGCAGAGCTGGGGGAGTCAGAAAGACATAACTGTAAACATACTCTGAGCAAATGAATATATCAACAGTACAGAGCAGACACAAAATCCAGTAGGTGTCAGTCAGGTGCTAGGTATGCTGAGAACTTGATACAGATTTTGTCTTCTCTTAATATTATGTCCTGGTACCTGTGTCCTTTTCAGTCCTCGTAAAGGATATGAGTCTGGTATGTAGGACAGACTCTCTGTTGATCTCTGGCAGACAGGACATGGTAAGCATGGGAGCAAGACATGGACTCTACCAAGACAATAGCAGAAAACCATGGTTCTCGCTACGGATGTGATTTCTCCTGGTTCATACAACGGTCCAGGAAATCGGGACTCACAGTTTTGGAAAGACGTTGACACAGACAATGGAAGAAAACATGGACTGAGCAGCATGTACATCCTTCAACATAAAGACCAGAGCATGGTTCTACTTGGCCACATGTCTTTACCCTGGACAGTCAGCGTGGCCGAGGTCCGCTCCTGCCCACACACACAGGAGTACTCCCCAGCATCTGTCATGGCCAGGCCACGGATCTGCAGCTCACACATGGCCCCATCCTGCCTCAGGCTGTATCTGCCCCCATCTTGGAGGGTTTCAGACCCCTTCTTCCACTTCACAGGAGCCCCCTTGGACAGTTCACACCGCAGCATGGCTGTGGCACCTTCAATGGTGGCTTGGCTTCTCAAGTCTTCTAGGAATCTGGCAGGCAATGCTGGGAAAGGCAAACAGTCACTGAAAACATGAAGCTATTGGAGGTCTCTGCGTAGAAATGAATTCACACAGAGCCACACATACTGCTAAACAGCACAACATAACCCATACAGACAGTGAAGAAAGCAAGTAGCTGGAAGAAAGATGCAGCGGTGAAACAACATGAGAACGAGGACATTTGGATGAGGAATACAAGAGGTGAGAGATGCCCAGAGAACACTAGAATGAGGAGAGATCGTCGATCACAGATCTCCACAGGAGCTGTACTACATGTGAAGGTGGAAGACAGTGATGGGGTCAATGTGAAGACATCAAGCCACAGGTGCATGAACACATAGATAATCTTTACCCCTGACGGTGAGCGTGGCTGAGGTCCTCTCCTGACCACACACACAGGAATACTCTCCGGCATCTGCCACAGCCAGGCCACGGATCTGTAGCTCACACGTGGCCCCTTCCTGTCTGAGGCTGTATCTGTCCCCAGCTATAAGGGACTTCGTTCCCTTTTTCCACTCCACGGGGGCCTCTTTGCTCAGCTTACATTGCAGAGTAGCTGTGGCCCCTTCTGTGGCCTCTTCATTCTTCAGACCTTCTGTAAACCTAGCAGGCAGGCCTGGGGAGGTCAGAAAGCATGGACATAATCATGCTTTCTAAGCACATGGAAAAGAGAATAAGACCCAAACAGACTGGGAAAACACAAAACCCAACTACACATAGGCCTGTGCTGGGCCACTGCTTACGAGCATGTGCCTCCCTATGGTCTAGCCTGTGTTCCACCTGCCTAGCGCACATTCTATGGCTGCAAGACTAGCAGGGCTGAGAATAACCACCACAAAGAATATCAGGATCTCAGGAGAACGCTGGGATAGAACATGCCATTCAATAATGAAAAACATGCTGGAAGTAACAAGAAAGGAGCACATGGCACACAGCAAGGAAAGAGCACAGTGAGGGCATAGAACAGACTGGCCAAGCCTACCCAGGTAAAGGCCAGAGGAGAGACAGAGAAGGGCCTCAGAACAAGCACAAATCACAGAAGAGCCACAGGACCCATAGAGGATAACAGAACCACCGGCCATAAGGGACAACCCCTGCCCCAGCCATCTTTGTAACGGTCTTGCCTTGCATTGTAACTCCAATCTGAAAGGCCCAGTCTGGCCAGGATGCACCGATTATATCACACCAGAGTCAGAGGCCCATTCTGTATTTCCTTTTTTCACAGTTGTTCATTATTTTGGTGAATGGACAGAGGAAGGAGACCCCATAGAGGCTACTTGAAACTGTCATAGAAAGCTACGCCTGACTCCATTTCGCAGGAAACACAAGGAAGAAGGAGCACCCTGACTGGGTTAGAAGCAGTCTCCACATTGGTCCTGGAGTAGGCAGTCGCAAAGCTGCATCCCCTCATCATTAGGGGGCAAGCACACTCCTCGATGCACTGAACTCCTGTATAGATGGATGCCGACCGAGACCACCCTGGAGCATCATCCAGACAGCCACAGGGAAGCAGAAGACAGAGCTGTGGGTAGAGCTCCTGGCCATCTGCTTGAGATTGGGGACTCTGGTCTGTTTCATTTGCCTGAAGGTCTTTAAGCACACAGTGGCTTGGGGCATCATCTGGATTTAGTCTAGTGGTAACCTCTGAAAATACAGCACTTTCTAGGAGGATCCTGGCAGGCTGCCCATCATGCCCAGCCCTTCTTGGGACATGCTCAACTCTGGAAGCAGCTCCCTTAGGTGGACAGTAGCTGGCCCACTGAGACTCTATTAGCAATTGACAGCATGTCTTGATGAAGCAGGCTACCTCACGAACTCCTGCAGCCACAAGATGGGCTTTGGAGGTGACAACCCTATTGTCTCCTGGTGGGTTTGAGGACTCGTTGACACCAGTCCTCCGTGCTCTGACTCTGTGCTCGGTCCATGCAGCTTGATGTGTAGTGACAGTCTGACCTTTCTGCAACTGTCTCCAACACTTGTGCAAGAGCTGCCAAGCAAAGGCCTGGACAACAGGTGGCCATGCAGCGTCACACACCCACTCTGAGAAGTCCATCCTGGAGGTGAGACAGAGCTCTCCAGACAAAGGAGTCTCACTCCATCCACGCTAAGATACCCAGGCCTCCCCTAACCTCTGTGATACCCAAGCTCTTCATAAATGTCATCCATCTTCATCAATCTTCCCTGCACTCCTGGATCTCTGATGGGGAGATGACCCATCATGGGAACACCAGCCACACCAGGACAAAGGTTCCAGCTCTCTGGACACAGGGACACCATGGGATCAGAAGTAGAGTGTAGTAGGCTGGCTCTGTCTAAGGTCTGATTTGCTTCCCATGTGTATAAAAAGCCCCTGGACCTGCCCTCGCTAGCTGTGAGCCTCCCTATTCCCTGCTAGCTGTATCTGTCTAAGGCCCCAAGCCTCTTCCTCCAGCTGAGGGAGAGGAACCACTCAGACTGCACTGTGGCATCTATGTCCTACCCATGGTGGTCATGTAGACATGAAGATCATTGAACTCCGTAGTTTGCAGACAGGAAGTGGGGCACTGACACCCACTCTGTGGGCAACAGGACACAAGCAGAAGCTTCCAAAGGGACTCTGTAGTGCCCTTTCTCACAGGGGAACTGGTAAGAAGGAATAGGGATCACCCCTGCCTAACTCCAGTGGACTTACCTTCCCCTTGCCCTCACTCACCACCCTGACACACGGGGGATATACCCACACACACATACATCTTACTCCATGGGGTAGGCCTTCACTTCTGCCTCATGCTCACAGAACAGGCCCTGTCACCCACCTGACACCCAAGGACAGGCCCTCACCTCCTCCTCACACCCAAGGACGGACCCTCATCTCAAACGTCAACACCCACAGGACGGACTCACCCTGGTGGTTAGAAGCACACATCAAGGATTCCCTCCCTCTTGCATCCTTGCCTTGTGTATCATCCCTCCGTCTTCTTCCAACCCTCTATTCTTTTTCTTTTCCTTTTTGTCAATTGTGGGGCTTGAACCCAGGGCCTGGGCGCCATCCCTGAGCTTTTCTGCTCAAGGCTAGTGCTCTACCACTTTGAACCACAGCTCTTCCAGTTTTCTGGAGGCTAATTGAAGGTAAGAGTCTCACAGACTTTCCTGCCCTGGTTGGCTTTGAACCGCGATCCTCAGATCTCAGCCTCCAGAGTAGTTAGGATTATAGGCGTGAGCCACCTGGCTAACTCTGCTTTCTTGATGTGCTGTGACCACCGTCCCCGCTCTGTCCTCTCCCTCCCTGTGCCTCCCCCAAACCGGACCTATAATTACATCTTTCTAATTGCCTGCCTTTCCCTCTGTCTTCTGTCCCAAACCATGACCTGCATGGGGAGGGAAAGAGCCATCCATTCTTGACTGTTTTCTGGCTTCCAAGATAGGTCCTACACAGTAGGTGTGGGAAATACCTACTAAGGAATGAAGACACATAGAAACCACAAAAACCACAGCACAGACGGGGGCAAACACAGGGCCAGCCATGCATGTGAGCACACATGGTCCTTACCCTGGACAGTCAGCGTGGCTGAGGTCCTCTCCTTCCCACACACGCAGGAGTACTCCCCAGCGTCTGCCACAGCCAGGCCACGGATCTGCAGCTCACACACAGCTCCAGTCTGCCTCAGGCTGTGTCTGTCCCTGTTTCTCAGGGTCTCTGTCCCCTTTCTCCATTCCACTGGGGCTGCCTTGCTCAGCTCACAGTGAAACGTGGCTGTATCTCCTTCTGTGGCCTCTCTGCTTCTCAGTCTTCCAATGAAGTGGGCAGGTAGGGCTGGGGAAAGTCAGATATTAGAAATATCAGACTTGCTGCAATCCACTGGGGAGTAGCATGTGACAGGGGAAGGACAAGACACAGAACTGAACAGGATAATAGGAAAGAACCCATGGCCCATGGGTGGGAAGCTGGCTGAAGACACAGTCTCCCGGTTCATACAACAGCCCAGGAAGCAGAAAAGGATTCTGTGGTATACAAGATGAAGTGGCACAGACAGGAAGAGGGAACACTGAACATATAGGCAATGTTTGAGCATCAGAACGCAAATCAATTTGGCTGCTGTGGTCTTTACCCCTGACAGTCAGCGTGGCTGACGTCTTCTCCTGCCCACACACGCACGAGTACTCCCCAGCGTCTGTTTCAGCCAGGCTCTGGATCTGCAGCTCACACACAGTGCCATCCTGCCTCACGCTGTGTCTGTCCCCATCTCTGAGGGTCTCTGCTCCCTTTCTCCACTCCACCAGGGCCTCTTTGCTCAGTTCACACCGCAGAGTGGCTGTGGTCCCTTCTGTGGCCTCCTTGCTTCTCAGTTTTCCTATGAACTGGGCAGGCAGGGCTACAGCAGGGTCAGACAGAGACAGAGGACATCATCATCTTCATTCTCCTATACTAAATAAAGAGGTCCAAATGGGCAGAGTGGACAGGAACACTTACCCTTCACAGTGAGTGTGGCCAAGGTCACCTGGTCCCCAAAGGAACACGAGTACTGCCCACTGTCCTTGGGTTGCAGGTCTCGGACAACCAGCTCGAGCATGGCACCCTCTTGGCGCAGGCTGTACTTCCCACCAGATTTCAGAACATCCTCTCCATGGCGCCACTCCACAGGTGCAGCCACGGATGAGAGCACACAGCGCAACGTGGCAGCTCCACCCTCTGGTACCTCCATGTCCTTCAGGGCCTCCTGGAACCGTACTGGCCGTGCTGTAAACAGTACAGACTCGGGTCACCCTCCCTAAGCAAGAGCCCACCTGTGGAAGCAGCGACAGTACATAGGCAGTTCACACACAGGGGGGCCAGAGGCAGGGACCCCCACGTCCTCTAGGGAAAGGTGGAAGGTATGTGAGTGGAATGGTGAGCCAGGGAGTAGGGGAATGAAAAATGGCAGGGATTACAGACTGAATTGTGTCCTCCAAAATTCAGTGTGAAAGCACCAATTCCTGACTCAGAAGAAGACTAATTGGTAATAGGCACTCATCGATTCATTTATTTGATTTTGGTGGTGCTCAGGGCCTTGAGCTTGGTAGGCAGGCACTCTACCACTCTGCCACTTTTCCCTAGCCCTTTCTGCTCCATTGAGGTTTTTTTCAGATAGGATCTTGTGCTTTTTGCCTGGGCTGGCCTAGACCATGGTCGTCTGGTCTCTGCCTGGGATTAGAAGTAACTGAAAGAAAGTCTGTGTCACCACACCCTGAACTTTAAAGACAGAATTAGCTAGGCTCCAGAGGCTCACACCTATAATCCAAGCTATTTAGCAGAATGAGATCAGGAGGATTGCAGTTTCTTAAGATCCATATTAATGTAAAACCTGGGTTTAGTACACTCACCTGTTATCAAAGATATGATAGGAAATATAAAAGTCATATTGTGGTATAGGCCCAGGTCCAGGCAAAAATCAAGACTCTATTTCAAAATAACTAGTGCAAAAAAAGTGCTGGAGGTTTAGCTCAGTGGAGAATGCCTGCCTAGTAAGGGTTAGGCCCTGAGGTTCAAATCCCAATACCACCATCAGCGAAATAATAAATGAAAACATAAAATAAGATCATTAGAATGGGCCATTATTTACACAGGACTGGTGTCCTTGTAAAAGCTCAGGCCACAGACATACACAGAGCACAACAATATGAGGACAACGGAGAAGACAGTGTCTTCAAGCGGAGGAGGGACGCCTCCAGAGGGCTTAGTAAAGACTGACACTTGGACCTGGGACTTGTACTCTCCAGAACTGTCACACAAAACAACTCCTGGCACTCGGTTAGGAGAGTACAAGTAATAAAACAGAAAAGCAAACCAAAGGTGGGAAGAAGGTGCCTGGAGGTACCATAAAAAAGACCTTATTGGCCACAGACAGAGGTCAGGAGACAGAGGGTGGGGAGTCTGGGGTCAAGGGTAGGGGTTAGGGAGGGGGAGGAGAGATGAGATATACAGGAAGGAGCCCAAGCAAGGCCTGCAAGTGCCCACACAGAGAACAGAAATGGACAAAGAAAGAACTAGAAGGCATCCTGGGGTCCTCACTACGTCATGCTCCTGGTGGACATCTGCTCGCCTTAACTATGAGTGCCTCAGTAAGGCGATTGCTGCAGACACCCTGGAACTCACCGTGGATCCTGACAATGGAGCTGCTCCAGGCCCCGCCAGCCTCACATTTGTACCGCCCACCATCCTGCAGGGTGGTGCCGGTGATAACCAGCTGGGCCCGGCAGCCTTCATAGCTCATTTGGCACCGTGCAGATGACCGCACTGTCTTTCCATCCTTGGTCCAGCGCACAGGGATATCCAGAGTGGAAGTCTCACATTCAAGGCTAAGGTCCTCGCCTTCTGTAACTGTGACATCCGTGAGAGGGCGGGAGAAGATGCTTGGTTTTTCTAGGGAACAGAGAACACAATCAAGGTTGCTTAGGTGTACAGTGCAGCCGTGGTCCACAACTGGAATCCCTGACATGGTGTACTCTACGTAGCCTCCATGGATAGACATGAGCTATGCCAAAAATCACTTAGGAGGAATTCAGCCTAGAATAGCCCAGTTCAGCCTCCTGAGTGGTGTTCCTGGGACTGGAGTCCCCATACCACTGGCAGCTAATTGTGCCTTTTCTGTGAGCCCCAGAAGCATGCTTGAAACCTTCTATCTGAGATGTTGTCTGAGCCTTTTCAAGGCTCTCCACAGACTATACTGGGTGCCCTGTCACGGCTTGCCCTGGCCTTTCAGCACAAAACCAACCGGTGACTCGCAGGGTGGCTGAAGTGCGCTGGTCACCCGCCTCCAAGTAGACGGTGCCCGAGTCCTTGAGCGCCAGCTGCCGCAGGGTGAGCACGTGGTAGCCCCCAGGCCGGGCCTCGATCTCATTGAGCTCATTGGCATGCAGCGGGGTCTTGTCCAAAAACCAGTGCACGGGTCCATAGTCGGCGGGGGAAACACGGCAGCAGAAGGTAGCAGAGGCGCCCTCCTGCACATCTGTGTCCTCCAGGTCCTCGGTGATAAGCACTCTCTGGCCTGAAAGGTCACAGGAAGGAGTGTCAGCCCCCCACTGTCTAGAGCTAGAGAAATATGGCTCTTCCCAAGGCTGTGATCAGGAGACCCTTCCTGCAGGGTTACTCCTGCTCTTGTGCCAGTCACCTCCATACCACTTAAAGACCACTTCCTTCTCTACAAAGCAGGGAGAATGACAGCTGCTACCCTGCATGCCGACACAAACAACCACTGACACCTGGAGACAAACAATGACAGCAAAAAGTCGCCATCACTATTTTGAAAGCTCCTGAGCTGAGGATGAAACTGTTCTTGTCAGACCCAGACAAAATCACAAAGGGCTGTTACAAAGGTGGGGCAGGGATGGTGGTTCTGCTTCTCTGAGATAGACACTTTCTCAAGGTCCCAAAGAAACTCCTTCTAATTCCACTTATACCGATGCTTTGCATACCTTGCCTATCCAAGCACACAGAGTTTGAAAAAAAAAAAAAAAGCTTATCTTCTCTAAGACATCAGCAAAAGATGCCCTGACCGTCGGGGCACGCCACCAATGAGCAGAGACTAACACTCTCCCTCTCCCCCCACCCCCTCTCCAGGTTTCCAAGACCAATGAACTCTGTACCCAAGCAGCATAGGTAAATATCTACACCTCTGGTTTTCAACCTTCCCCTTGCTTCCTTGGATACACCTTTCCTTTACCCCAGCACATGTGTTCCCATGGCAACACATTATTCTTCAGAGAATCTCACCCTGACCTTTTAAATCAATGCTACCAAAACAATGGTCATACTGACCATCCATTTTCCTCTGGGAATACCTAAGGCTCCCTGGCCACTGGCAAACCTGGCAGTGGCACATCATGTGCAGAACAATATCTGCAGAACACATGCCTCTGATGCTGCCCATGTCTGGACATCAGAGAAACATACCTTGAGCAATAAACATGTAAGTCAAAGAAGGCCACGCATTGATTTATAGAAGGTTGTATTGGAATGCCCTCCAAGACCACCTAGGTGATGAATCCTACCTCAGAGATGGGCCAAGATGAGCCCAGATCACTGATAACCTCTGAGTCGCTAGGGTCTATGTAAAGCCTCTATCTAAGCCCACTAAGGTCCCCAAGGCCAGCAGGCCAATAAACAATGCAGTGGGTATCCCGCCTGCCTCACCATGCACCAAGAGCTGGGCCTGGGACTGGGCTTGGCCAATGTCACAGGTGTAGGTGTCGCTGTCTGCCTTTTCTAGGGCATTGATTATGAGCCTCAGGGTCAAGCCCTCCTGGCTGAGGATGTGTTTTCCTGAGGCCCGCAGCTCCATGAGGCCCTTGCGCCAGGTCACAGCAGGTGCTGGGTATTCTGTCTTGCATGCAAACACAGCTGTGCCTTTTTCCTCTGCCTTCAGGTCAACCAGCAACTCGGTGAACTGATTGGTCTTTTCTAGGAGAGGGACAGAACAGGTAAAGGGTACAGGTTACAGGTTACACGCCATACCAGCCCTGTTCTCTTCCTTGGCAGACCTGAGTTCTCCCTGAGACTCTGAGTAATGTCTCAGGACAGAGATCACTTCATGACCAGAAGCTGGGTCTCCCAGGGCACTTACCTTCCACACGCAGGCTGGCGGTGCTCTTGGACGCTTCTGTCTCACATGTGTACTTGCCGGAGTCCTTGAGTGTGGCCCCTCGGATGACAAGCACAGCCCGTGCGCCTTCGCTCATCATGTCATACTTCTGACTCTTGCGGATGGCCTTCCCGTCTTTCAGCCAGCGGACAGAGGCTCCTGCCTTTGACAGTTCACAACTCAGCATTGCATCCTCCCCCGGTGTGGCTCGTTGATCTTCCAGGGGCTTTGTGATGTCCACTGGCCTCTCTAAAGAGAGTGAAAGTGGCCACCCATGAATCACAGCCACTGCCACAGTGCCAACCACCACCTCAGTTACACCCATGACTATAGCCATGGCTACACAGCCACTTAACCATCACCACAGCTGCAGCCTTGGCCTCAACCTCAGCCCCGGCCAGAATGTGGGCCAGGAGAAGCATTTTGAAACATTGAGTCTCTGGAGACCAAGACCACAGAACCTATAGCCCTAAAACCCTGTGACTTTGGACCCCAGGGGTACCAAGGCCTTGAAGTAGAAGCCCTGTCAGAAAAGGGGAGACCTGGAAGTCAGGGTCAACCCAGAATCAGGAGCTATGAAGCCATAGGACCTTGTATTCTTAGTGCCATTCAGGGCTCACAAGGCTGGCCCTTGTTCATAGAGCTTCACAAAGTACACCAAGTATGAAAGTCAGAAACACAAGCTCTAATAAACACCAATAGTGATTTCCCAGCCAAGCACCTGGACACAAGCTCAAGTGTCAGACTGGACAGATGGGCCACGTGTGAATAGGAGCTACCAGCCAAACAGGATAGTCAGACCACAGACTGGAGACCAAACTCCTAGGTGAGCTCTGAATGTTCAGAAATGCATCGATTAAGCCCCTTGTATGATTAAACCCCTTCACATCTTAGCAGGTTCTCCAAATCACTACATCCTTTCAAATGAAGGTGGGAGGCTGGGAAGACAGGACCTAAAGCTTGTAGGTGTGGTAGCCCTGCCCCCGCCAGCCATGGAGATAAGCCCGCTCCAGCCTGTGTGCCCACCTCTGATGATGAGTGATGCCTTGGAGGTGAGGTTTCGTATGGAGAAGACCACCTCCCCGGCGTCACTGGGTGCAGCATCTAGGATGGTCAGCGTGTATCTGCGGCCCTGGCATGTGGCCCGGAAGTGGCCAGAGCTGCCCACTGTCTTCCCACCAACCGTCCACACCGCTGGGTCACCCGAACTCTCATGAGACAGAACACACTCGAAGCTGCAGCTCTCCCCCTCCAGCACTTCCACTGTCTTCAGCCTCTTGGTAATGCCCACGTGCAGATCTGAGAGCGATGGGAAACTTGTCATGGCAGATGGCCCAGAGACAGAGGCAAGAGCACAGCACTGCCCCAGAAAGTGTCAGATCACATTTCGTGGCTTGTGTTCCTACTTGCTCTCCTTGGTCCTTCCTCACCCCCATGATCAACACCATAGCTTGCATGGCCAGTGGCTATGAGCTTTGATCAAGGTGGCCAAGACAGCAAGGACTGTCTGCACTTCTCACCAGCTTGGAACATCTCAGGGAGGAGGGACTGGAGTCCCAAAAAGAGAGCTCCTTCAAATGGCTTGGACAAATTCACTATTCCCCTTTAAACCACAAGCCAGGCTATCACAGAGCTGCCATGAAATGAGGAACCAGCAAGCCTGTGAACATGTGTCTTCTAAATAAGCAGCTTTGGGGGCTGAGATCAGGATATCAAAACCTGAATTAGGGCAGTGGGCACCAGCCCTGTAGTTAGAAACCCAAACAAGCTGAGAGGGACATGCTCAAAACCCACAAGTTCAAGGTGGCAGGGCCAGACCTGGGTGCTGACTATGAACTGAGAAACCTCCTGTGGCTCTATAATTAATGAGAACTGGGTCAGTCATTACCAGGCTCTTTGCCCTTGTCCTGGAGTCTTTCCCAGGCAGCCTCTTGCCCATATCCCTCAGCACCTCACACCCACACAACCAGTTTCTGCTCAGAAATCAGATACTCTGATACTCAGTCTGTATCCTGTGGTACAGAGCAAGTGTCTCCGGCCCACTGGGGCCATCCAGTATATCCAGAATAGTTGCCTACTCTTGGTTCTATGGCCTATTGTCCCCTGGCCCACCTACCTCCACCTGGACCTCTAGAGGACACTTAAGCCCGGCTCCCACAGGAATCTGCACAGACATCTCCTCGCCCCCTCTAAGCAGCCCTTCAGTCTCATAGAGTGCCACGGGCCACCCAGGTCGGAGGAAGACCACTCCCCAGGGTCACCCACCCTGATGTCTGGCCAGACCCTGCCCACGCACCGTGCACGCTGACCCGGGCACAGGTCTCCTCGCCGCCCACATGGCAGGTGTACAGGCCGGCGTCCTCATGGCTCAGGTCATGCACCACCAGCCCCCGCATGCCAACTGTGTTCAGGAAGTCATACTTGTCACTAGGACCCAGCTGCACACCATCTTTGCACCAAACCACCTCGGCTTTGGGGTCCGAGATCTCACACTGCAGAGCCAGCGTGCCACGTTCCTCCACAGATGTATCATCCAGGGCTTTCAGGAACACCACTGGCTTTGCTGAAGGAAACATATGGATTGGTTAGAGGATTTGGGCCCATCCAGAGGGCATGACCCCAAGACCCCCACAACAATGGCTCACCTCTCACCACCAGGCGGGCCGAGGTTGACACCTTGGGAGAGGTGGCGCGCACCACGCCTGCGTCAGCCTGTCGGACACTCTTCAGCACTAGTGTATGACGACAGCCCTCATGGCTGATCTCATGGTAGCTGTCATTGTACAGGGGTGTCCCGTTGAGTGACCATTCAATGTCCTCATCCTCGTGGGACAGGTCACACGAGAAGCAGACCCGGCCTTCTTCTGTGGCTTCAGCATCCTGCAGTGGCTGTGTCACCTTTACCTCCCGAGCTAAAAGGAATAAGTCAGGGTCTCAGCACTGCATTGCCAGCTGAGCTAATACACTCCTAGTAGTTCACTACCCTCTCCACAGCTCCCTACCTTCCACGGTAACCTTGGTGCTGCTCTGGGCATTGCCTGCCTGGCACCGGTAGGTACCAGCATCATCTGGAGTAAGTCGGAGGATGCGCAGCTCTGCCATCTGGCCCTCCAATGTAATTTTGAACTTGTCAGATGGGGCCAGGGGCGTGTCCTCCTTGTACCACTGCACAGCCTTAGGAGCAGGTTTGAAGTCACAGGACAAGACCACTGACTGCTGCTCACGTGCTGCCTTGGGCTCCAGAGGCCGAGTGAGCACCACTGGGATGTCTACAGAGAGTGGGAAGAAGGCAGAGCTGTGGGGTCACAAGAAACCAGATCAAGCTGCCCGTGCTCTGAGCCATGTCCACATTCATGCGCGGTTCCTTCCCTCCCGCCCTTCTTTGCATGCCTCCTCCTTGTCCCCACATGCCCACAGCCCACCCCACATACCCTGCCCGACATGTGCTCCAGCCCTACACGCTCCTGACCCACCCTCGACAAGCACCTGAGCATCTATCCCGCTCAGCAGGCCTCTGATGACTAGCTCACCACCCTCTGCAAGCTCCCTCCGGGCCCTCCACCTCCTATCCTGTGCCCGTGTTCTGCCCAACTCCCCCTCCCCAAAGCCACTGAGCAGTGTCCACCCACAGCCCTGAACCCAGGCATGGCCGCCCAGACCTCTGATCAGATCAGACTTTCCCTGCTTCCTTCACTCAAGCTCTCCCATGCCCCCTATGCCAGCTATGGTCCAACACAGATCACCTATGGTCCAGGGCTCAAGTCCACTGAATTCTAGCCCTGACACCCATCCCTACCCGAGTCTTTCCACTCCAGGCCTTGAGCCAGAGGCATCCGTGGTCTTCGGCCATGTCTGCTCATGGTACTGCCCTGTGTTTACCCTCACCTAACTCACCTGAGACAACGAGGCGGGCAGAAGAGCGAGACTTGCCGATGGTGAAGTGCACAGGCCCAGTCATGGTAGAGCAGGTCTTCCTCAGTGTCAGCCGGTGCACGGTGCCTTCCTGCTCCAGCCCCACACTTGCTCCTGCCTGCAGCACAGTCTTACCCAGGAGCCACTTGGGTGGTCGCACGGAAGGGATGGAGGTCTCACACTCAAACCAGGCGGGGGCAGGCTCCATCACTGTCACATCCTGCAGGCCCCGCACAATGGTGATGGATTGCTCTGTGGGTGAAGGACTGGTCATCAGCGGGATACTGCAGAGGACCAGTGTCCCAGGGCGACTTCCATGTTCCTTCCTGTGGGTAAACCCTCTCACTTCCCAGAGAGCCAGCATCTGGGAGGATGCCCGGGCAAGCCATACACATACACATACAGACACTCTCCCAGGAAATCCAGAAGACTGTGCATCTAGCCCCACGCACCTTCCACAAAGAACTGGGCACTGGTCTTAATGTCTCCAGCATCACAGGTATAGGTGTCCTCATCTCCAGGCTGCACATCGTTGATAACCAGCTTCCGGTAAAGGCCGTCACTGACCATATCATACTTGGGCCCGGGCTCAATCTCCACGCCACCCTTGAACCATCGCACCTGGGCACTGGCTCGGGACACCTGGCACTCAAGTACACCACGGTGCTTCTCCATGGCAATCTTGTCCCGCAGTGGCCGTAAGAGGGTCACGGGCAGCTCTGTGGGCATAGCCAGGTGGAATCAGAATAGCTGGACTAGGCACTTTATCTGCATGGGCACCAACAGGCACTGTTCCTGGCCTTAGGTAGCCAATGGCTTGACCCTCACTCAATTCTTTAAAGCCAATGTCTCTGCTTGCACCAAGAGGTAGCCAAGTCAAGTGTCCCTCTCAGGGATGGTGTGGGTCACCAGCAAGGTGTGTGGCTGCAACTCTGCTGAAAGCGCATCCCACTCTACAACTTCTTTTTGCCCCTGAAAGGCCTCCCTGACCCATGCAGCCCTGCCCACCCTCTCCTCGGCGGTGTCCATACCCAGCCTGGAGCTCATCCATGGGCAGAGCCTTGCCAATTCCTCTCCCAGGAGCTCCCATCCCCTCACACACCCCAGCTTGCCCTCATCTGCCTGCCTGAAGGTTGTCCCTCCCCTCCCTCCTCTTGGTCCCTCAATTGCTATCAAGGGTACCAGGAAAGGCATCCTGCTTGTCAGAAATCCATACCCCTTGTCTCCAGTGTGGACTGCAGCCTCAGGAAGGAGAATTCACCACGAACTCCCCCTTTACACACAGGATGGGGCCTAGTCCTCCCATCTCCCCACATCCCAGCCCCTACTGTTCTGCTTACTCTCCTGAGTCACTGACTCAAAAGATGCTAGACACTTCAAGGCCTGTTTGAGCAACTTGCCTCTGAGGCCTTGTGCTCATGACCAATAACTACCAGTCCTTCCTCCAGTCCCCCCTCCCCCGGGACTCCCACTCACCTTTCACTAGAAGATGGGCTCGAGATTCTGCATTTTCAGCTACAAATTTTATTTCCCCTGCATCTTCTGCCAGGACTCTCCGGTAGATCAGAGTGTATGTCCTTCCTGGGGACAAAGGCCAGTCAGAACTGGGTGGCAGCACCGAACATGGGGGCAAGGCCCTTGCCTACCTGCAGCCTGCTTTACCCTCTCACCTTCCTGGCGAATGCGCACATTGTCACTGGGCCGCAGCTTGCTGGCCTCTCGGAACCACTGTCCAGGAACCTCGTCATGGGACACTTCACAGGAAAAGGTGGCGCCCTCCTTCTCCATCACCTCCACATCCTCCAAGGGCCTCACGATCTGGACATTGCGCCCTGAGGAAAGAAGGGGGGCTCTACCACGCTCCCAAGCATGCAGCACTCCCAGCATGGCCACCCTCCCACTTACTAAGGGATGGCAAAGTGGCCAGGCACCTCGCAGAGGGACACAGGAATACAAGGAGATCCTCACATTCACTGGCTGTATCCCAAACACCTTGCCCAAGACTCACCCTGCACCTTCAGGGATGCAGAAGTTTGAGCATCGTGGGCATCACACACATAGATGCCCTGGTCCCCAATCTCACACCGGTAAATAGTGAGACTTCTGCAGGTGCCCTGGGCCACTATGCCTACTGCTTTGCCAGCCCGTAGCTCTACACCATCCTGTAGAAGAAAGAGGCCACGTCAGGTGCTGGGGTGGCTCAACCCAGAGGTCTCCCTCCTGCCTGCTCATGACTCAAGATGAGGAAGGGACAAAGGCACCTTAAGCCAGCGGACATTGACGTTGGGTCTTGAGAGCTCACACTCCAGAGTCACTTTCTCTTTCTGGGTGGTGACTACATCTTGCAGTGGGCGGCTGAAGTGCACAGGCAGCTCTGGAAAGACAGGAGGAGGAAGGTGAGGGAAGACAAAAAGCTATGCGGTAACTAACTTCTAGGCTAGGGTGGTGTTGGGGTGGCAGATTACACAAGGCAGATTACACAGCCTGTCCCCAATTATGGCTGTATGCTTGCCTAGGCCACGCGGGGAAAGGAGATGGCAGGCTCTAGATTCTAGAGTCCACTCACCGGTGACTACCAGCCGGGCTGATGTGTGCACACCCTCAGCCCTGAAGGCCACCAGCCCACTGTCCTGTGGCCGTAGTTCAGAGAGCTTGAGCATGTGGACGGGGCCATGCACTGCCAGGTGGCATGTGGGGCCGGGTTGGAGCCGCAGGCCATCCTTGGTCCAGCTGCCTTCCACGTCTGCATGTGACAATTCCACCTCCATGGTGGCAGTGCCCTGCTCCTTCACCTCCACAGCTTGCAAGCCTCTGGCCAGCCGGACCTGGCGCACTGGGGTACATGGTGGGGAGCACTGATTAGATGCTGCAGTGAAACCCTCCAGTCCCACCAACCAGCACTCAGACTCCGTGTCAGCACCTTCCCTCCACCTGCCCACCCCAGGATTTGCAGACTCAGGTCTGCAACTTGCTCCCCTTCCCTTCTCTCCCAATCCAGTTTCCTCAGAACCCTCCAAGAGAAAAACCTGCTCATTAATCCTCACCCCAATTTAAGGCAACATTCCTAGCTCTGGTGGCTACCCTGGAGCTCTCCCTCCGGCCCACCCTTCCAGGCCCCCCACCCCAGAGAGAGTCCCACCGATCTCTCTTCCCCCCAGCCCCAGGGCCCCAGGCTCACTCTCCACATTGAGCTTGGCCTGTGTCTTGTCATCTGGCGTCTCACAGCCGAAGAAGCCTCTGTCCACAAAGCCCACACTGCGCAGCACCAGGCGGTGCCGCGTGCCCTCAGCACAGATCTCCACGTTCTCACTGGGTACCAGGGCCACAGCATTCCGTGTCCACTTCACCTCGGGCCATGGCCTTGTCAGCTCCACCTCCAGTGTTACAGAACTCTGCTCCTCCACCGTCTGTGGTTCCAGCTTCTTTTTAAAGAGCACTGGAGCCTCTGGGAGACAGGAAAGCAAAGATCTCCCTGGAGTGGGGGACTCAGTCCCAACCTCCATGCTTGGGAACCAGGGTCCCAAAATTCCATTCCAAGGCCTCAGCTACACATTTGCACATTTTATGAAGTAAGAGCAGTTGCTCCTTCCACTGCCCCTCCTAAGTCTGCTCCCCTCTTCTAAAAAAATTGTGCCATGCCCCAGTGCCTGAAATGTCTACTGCAGCCAGCAGCATCGTATTTCTAGGGACTGAGTGGGCTGAGTTTGCAGCCCCAGAACAGCCGCACCATCATTTGTGCATAACAAGGTCCAAGGATGCTTGCTTGCTCATGTTAAGGGGGAAAAAAATTAAAAAGCAGTGTCACTATTGGCTCACACCTGTAATTCTAGCTACTGAAGAGACTGAGATCTGAAGATTGAGGTTCAAAGCCAACTGGGCAGGCAAGTCCAGGAGACTCTAATCAACCACCAAAAAGCCAGAAGTGGAACTGTGGCTCAAATGGTAGAGCTCTAGCCTTAAGCAAAAACAAAAACAAAAAACAAAAAAAACAAAGGGACAGCAGCACCCAAGCCCTAGTATCTGAACCAAAAGAAACAAACAGGCTTTAGACTACTGCCCCATGATCTCCTCAGGAGGTGCACATGTTCAGATCGCTCCCTCACATGAATCCGTTTTGGCTGCCACTTTCTTTCAAATGAAATCTGGGCCTTGATAAGCTCAGACACACTTCATGCTTCTGGGCACGCAGGCTGACCTGCTCATTCTCTTCTACTTAGCCATCAGATGAGTCAGACGCCCACCTCTTCCAGAAGTCTCCTAAAGTGCTTCAACCTAAGACCATTCCCTACTAGGCACAACTGCAGAATTGCATCTTCTATCCTACAGACTAGGAATCCATTCCCTCAGGTCCTGGGTCGTCTTTCTGTAGCTGACAGTTTTCATGTCACCTAAAGGTCAGCCAGACCAGCAGGACACAGGTAGGCAATGCTGTGCCATCAGCCATTAGTCCACCTTGAAAGCCCTGCTCATCCCCGGCCTCACCTCTGACTCGCAGGGCTGCAGAAGAGGAGATACCCTCAGCCTCCACTGTGATCTGGCCAGCATCCTCCAGCGCCAGGGCTGAGATGGTCAGGCTATGGCTGGCACCACTCTGGGATATCAGAAACTTCTCGCTTGGCTGCAGCTGGGCACCATCCCGAAACCAGATGACTGCCACGTCACTGGGGGACACCACGCACTGGAAGGTGGCCTCACGGCCTTCTTCTGCAACCACAGCACTCAGCCCTGATGTGAACTTGACTACTCTGGGAACTGCAGAGGAAAACTCTGCTTGAGAGACCACGGGAAGGGCTCTGCCAAGACCCCTCTTGTAGTCAGGAGTAGGGTCACCTCCCCTAAGGAGCCGCCTGCTTCCCCCACTGTCCCACACATACCATTAACAGTGAGCTGTGTGCTGGTGCTGTCATTGCGGCTCTCACACACGTACTCTCCCGCATCCTCCTCACGCAGGCCTGACACTGTCAGCGAGCGCAGGGGCCCCTCTGCAGCCATCTGGAAGCGCTTGCCTGCCCGCAGCTGTGTGCTCCCACAGCGCCACACCACCTCCGCCTGCTCCGGGATCAGCTCACAGACCAGCCTCACCGTGCCCCCTAACTCCCCGGTGACAGGTTCCAGGGGCCTGGAGAACTTGGTGACCACCTCTGCAGGCATAATGTGGATATCAGTCTGTGCCCTGCATGGATCCCCTGTAAACCCCACACCTGCTAGTCTTCATGGCAGACAGGGGGCCCCCGAGGAGACCCTTCCACCTGCTTACCTTCCACCTGTACAGGGAAGTCCTGAACCTCAGTGCCCACACGGCAGCTGTACACGGCACTGTCTAGCACCTGGGCCCCACGCACAGTCAAGGTGTGCGAGACCCCTGAGCTAGTGGTCTCATGCCGCTTGCTGCGACGGATCTCAACTCCATCCTTGAGCCAGGTCACTGTGGCCACCGAGGATGCAGTAATCGTAGCAGTCAGGACGATGTCTTCATGTTCCCTGACCACCAGAGGCTCCCTGCGGCTGGGTCTCTCTGGGACCAGAGGCTCAAGCTCTGGCTCTGGGGGAGAGGAGGAAAACTGGCATGAGGGTGGGGACCTGAGTATATCATTTTCCAACCACTGCCCTCACTGCTGCCTCTCTGTGGAGCCAGAGGGACAGGTGCCACCTATTGGCCACCATTTAGGTACCCAGGAGCCGTGAAAGATGGCTACAAAGGACATCAGGCTTGAGGATCACCAGCTCTTCTCAACCAATTGCTGGAGCCCAGAGCCTTGTCTTCCAGAGAAGGTTAACTCCACAGACAAATGTGGTGCCAAATATAGTACCACGACAAAATCTTGCTAGGAGGGGCTGAGGCTGGCAGTCCATGGGGACAGCCAGGAAAGACAGCATGAGTGTGCAAACACCACTAAGCAAAAGCTGAGAGTTAAACATGGGAAGCAAAGGTTGAGCGGGAAAGGGCCAAGAAGGGTGGTGCCTGCCTCATCCAGCAGGACCCTTAGACCACACTGACTGAGCAGTGGGCGATGAGGGGGAAATGGCAGATCAGTGGTTAAGGGGTCCAGGTAAGGATAGGGATAGCTAGAAAAGCACAGCATCAGCCAGCTCAGGATCAATGTCTTCAGCAAGACACTGGAGGATGCCATCTGATTTAACTGGATGGTGTTCAGGCTGCCAGGGCTTTCCCAATAACTTTCCTGGGAGTGGGGCTGCACCCACAGGAGTGCTGAGAGGGCACAGGGACAGCTGTGGAGGGGAGGGCTGGGAGGGAGAGTGGGAGAGAGAAGTGAGCGGCAGGCCGGCTTGGCTCAGAGGCAGGCCTGAACGGACTTGTAAGCAGGAGTCGTCCCACAGTGCCAACCCAGAGCTGACTGTCAGAACCCTAAGGCCAACTTAAGGATCCCACACCTACACAGGGAAGAACATCCAAGGGCAGGGCCCCTCAGACTAAGGGCTTTGAGTTCAGAGCTTGCCTAGAACAGACCATTCTGTCTAAGAACAACAGAAAGGGCCAAACACCAGCAAGACTGTGGCTCTTTCCACAGTCCTGGAACTTTAAAAGCTCCACCATAGGAAGACACAACACCAGAACTCATGACAGGCAAGGTTGGGCAGAAGTTGCCTGGAATAAGGAAAGAGGTGCTACATTCTCATCATGTACCTTGGGTAGCAGGGGAGAGAGTCCAGCAGTCCAGGACCCACAGAAAGGAACCCAGCACTGACCCAAACTCAGGCCCGGCCCAGCCTTGCATTCCCATGACAAGACCCATATCCCAACCTTGAGCTATCTTAACACTGACCTGTGACATCCAGATGGAAGGAGATCGTCTGGCCCCTGGCCTCACAGCTGTACTCCCCGGCGTCCGCCTTGCCTGCCTGCTGCACCACCAGCCTCCGTGTGCAGCCCGACGCCTCCACACGCACCTTCGAGCTGGAGCTCAGCTTCTTCCCGTCCTTGTACCAGGTCACCTCCGTCTGCGCCTGGGCCACCTCGCAGCTCAGTGTGGCGCTGGCCCCCGCCTCAGCCTTCACCTCGCTTTTTGCCTGCTGCTCCTTGGCAAACACCACCTTGGGCTCTGAGAACACATAGGAAGAGACACACTAGATCTAGACCAGGGAGGCCACCCAGGGGAAAGAAAACCTGGATGAGGTGCCAAGCTAGGGGCTAGCCTCTCTGGGCTCTGTGTGGCCAGGACGAATCCCAGCTCCAGTCAATATAAACCAGGTTTATGCACACATCCTGCAAGTGCTCCACTGCACAGTTCCAGGGGCTCTCTGCACAGCCTCTGTGCACAAGCTTCTTCAGGGAGGTGCTGAAGTAGTAATGCCAGTGACATAGAGATTGTCTCCCGCAGGACCATAAAGAGCATGTCCTCACCACAGGAACAAGAGTCCCGGAAATTCCAATCTCATCCTAGGGCTAGGCTCCCTCCTGCTCTTAGCAGTCTCCCAAACAACTGGATTTAACCCTTCTTATGTGAGTTTTTTAAAATATGGTTCCTCTATCTTATTTTATTTTACTGTGTCAGCACTTGGGAGGAACTCAGGGCCTTACACTCATACTTAGCTTTTTTGCTCAAGGACAGTGCTCTCACTTGAGACATATGTCTACTTCCACTTTTTTGCTGGTTAACTGGAGGTAGGAGTCTCTCAGACTTGTCTACCCAGGCTGGATATGAACTGGGATCCTCAGATCTCAGGATCCTTAGTACCTTGGTTCCGTTTCTTTAAAAGTTATCAAATGATATGAGTATTCTATACTTATGACCTCAGAACAGTGAGACAATCCACTGAGTTATGGTTAAAGATAACAAATTTATTTACACTAAAGGGGGCCTGCAACTACCTTGTTCTGGGCTAGATACCCAGAACCCAGAGCAGCCTCGACCACCAAACCTCCAATCCTCCAATGGGCAGCCCCGATCTTTATTAGTTGATCTGAAATTAGTCAGCCTGCAAATCTCCGAAGCTCAGACCTCCAAAGCTCCAAAGCTCCAAAGGGGAAGGCTTTTCCTTTCTTCCCTTCCTCCTTCTCTGCACGCCTCTCCACTCTCCACAGGCCTGCCCTGCTCTGCTCTGGGAGGCGTCTCTCCACAGGCCTCTCTAGGGGGAGGTCCCAAATGGCCCCTCGAGGAGTCCCCAAATGATCTCTGGAGGAGGTCCTATATGGCCTCTTGAGGAGGCCCCAAGTGACCTCTGGAAAAGGTCCCAAATGGCCCCTCGAGGAGGCCCCAAATAGCTTCTTGAGGAAGCCCCAAATGGCCTCTGGAAGAGGTCCCAAATGGCCTCTCGAGGCCTGCCCTTCCCTCCTCAGGCCTGTCGTGCTCTACTCCAGTAGGCTTTCCCCTCCTGCTGTTTCTCTCTCCACTCTGTGTCTCCCCTGTCTGTAGCTCTACTTCTTTGTTGCTCTCTCCCCTCAGGACTCTCCTCAGGACTCCTCAGGACTCTCCTCAGGACTCTCCTCAGGACTCTCCTCAGGACTCCTCAGGACTCTACTCAGGACTCTCCTCAGGACTCTCCTCAGGATTCCCCTCACGATTCCTGGTCTCCTCTGGACCCCTCTCAGGACTTGGAACATGCAGCCTACATACAGTCTGCACCCCTCTCCTTTCTGTGGCATGCCCCACCCCTTCGGCGGCATGGCATGCCCCTGGGTTGCACAACCCTTGGGGTAGTAACTTCAACCTCTTGATGCCTGCCCCTCTGGCGGGCTTGGCCAAAGGGCCACGCTGGTTATTACACTATTTTTATATACATTTTGATGTAGCTTTCCACGAATTGGTAAATTTGTTGAAACTTCTTCAATTTACAGGCATAAAACAATATCATGCTTTATTCCCTACTTTTTCAGAAAGATACCTGGAGGGTCTTTTCTTTGGTACATCTATCAACGAACTGTCGTGTCCAGATGCAATACCAAACTGCCATGTGAGTGAGCACTTAGGGGTCATGTAAAACCATGATCCGCCACACGGAAGGTTGTGTTACCTCACAGACCCCTTATGGCCCTGGCTGGGTGTCACATACGTACTCGAATCACTTGGGAAATTCTACAGAAGTAATCCACCTTGCCAATACAGGCTGCCACACATCATTAACCCACTGTATGATGTGCCATGAGGTTAGAGTCCTTTTCACTTCTATATGTATAACCCAAACTCCTGGAGGTTTGCTAATGCAAAATGTTCTAACTGAAGACAAAAGAACAAGATTTGCTTTAAAAAGAGAACTCCAAAATACAGAGATGTGTATCACAGGATTATATCTACTACCTACCCTGGACTCTTGGTCTTGATTGCTCAGGCATTGCCACCAAAACATGGTTTTAGACTGTGCCCCAGTGAGGAGCACACAGTGCTTTGTGTGAAAGGCAAGAACGACTTTGATGATCTGATATTTAACCCTAGGAAGCTGGAACTTCCTCTTATTAGTTTCAAGGAAAATAAAAGACCTCTGACTTTGGATAGCCTTTGTGGGATTCTGGATGAGGGCATTGGGAGTTGCCCAAAAGCACCAAAGAAACAGATCCCAGGTGAGGATATATGACCAAGCTCAGCTGGCAAAGATAAAGCGAGAGTGCTGAGTCTGAGGAACATCAGTACTAATTAGGCAGAGACAGGCAACTGATGAGGACTGAGTTCTCCTTTCTAGAACACTTCCTGAGGTGCACTGGTAAGGCACCAGGCCTCCCAAAAACCTGCTTCCTGTTTCCTGTTCCCTGGTTCAGCATGGGCATACAGACGGGAGGTGAGAGATGGATGACCTGAAAAGATGATATCTAATGACTAAAAGGCTACAAAAGAAGAGAACAGATTCCCAACACTGACCTGTGACACCCAGGTGGAAGGAGATCTTCTGGCCCCCGGCCTCGCAGCTGTACTCCCCGGCGTCCGCCTTGCCTGCCTGCTGCACCACCAGCCTCCGTGTGCAGCCCGACACCTCCACGCGCACCTTCGAGCTGGAGCTCAGCTTCTTCCCGTCCTTGTACCAGGTCACCTCCGTCTGCGCCTGGGCCACCTCGCAGCTCAGTGTGGCACTGGCCCCCGCCTCGGCCTTCACCTCGCTTTTTGCCTGCTGCTCCTTAGCAAACACCATCTTGGGCTCTGGACACAGACAAGAGAACAAGGCAGTAATCCTAGCTACTCAGGTGGCTGAGAAATGAGGATAATGATTCAAAGTTAGCTTGGATAGGAAAAGTCTATGAGATTTATTTTTTTTTGGGGGGGGGGGATCTGGTCATGGGACCTGGACTCTGGGCCTGGGCGCTGTCCCTCAGCTCTTCAGCTCAAGGCTAGCGCTCTACCACTTGAGCCACAGCGCCACTTCCGGCTTTTTTCTTTTTGCTTATGTGGTACTGAGGAATCGAACCCAGGGCCTCAGGCATGCAAGGCAAGCGCTCTACCACTGAACCACCTTCCCAGCCCCAGTCTATGAGATTTTTAACTCCAATTACCCACAAAAATCCAGAAGTACAACTGGCTCAAGTGGTAGAGCTCTAGCCTTGAACAAAAAGAACTCAAGGACAGTTCTCAGGCCCAAAGCTCAAGCCCCAGTACTGGCACAGAGACAAGAAAGAAACAGAGACAGAGATATCAGAGAGAAACTGTAGAATAGATCCAAATTCTTCAGTGACTAGAGCTCACCTGAGCCCAAGCAGGCTAGTCCTGATTAGCAGAGCACTGCATGACAATGCACATGGTTCTAAGCTATGTGTGGCCCACTATGATGTTTCATAGCTGTGTATGGAGAAGCCTGGGGTACTCAGCCCTCATCACCCCCGAGCACCCCAGACTCACCCAGCCCAGACAACCTGCTGCTGCCTGTGTGGTCACAGAAGCCTGGCCTGCCCCTGACAATGCCACCTTCCTGATCTTTGCAGACAGGATCCTGACTCTTCCTTGCCTCAGATTTCCCACAGCCCACAGACCGCCAATGACCTACCAACTCTTTCCCACCATTCAGGGGCCCCGGCAAAAGGATAAAGGAATGTCTATCCTCAGCACCAACAAGCAGCACATATATTTCTTGGCCAAGGCTATAAAAGGAATATCAGAGAGCAGAGTCCCATCCTGGGCCAAGAGGGAAGAAGACTGAACTATGGTGGCTCCTTTCCCCAGGCAGAGAGGAGGTAGAGGAGGCAGACATACAGAGATGGATGAGTGGGAACAACACAGACCCAAGCAAGGGCTTGCAGATATCTGGAGCTGGGTTAAAAGGGCATAGTGAGCTTTTGCCACCTGCATGTCACCCCGCTACACAATGTCCCATGACCTCAGCGTTAGAGACAACAAGGTGCATACCATGGTGAGCTTGGACCATCAGCCTGCTCTGGTTTCCTAATAATGGCACAATGGCCTAGAGCCACTGAGCAAAGCTGAAGACATGGATGATGAGACCCAAGGACCTAAGTGGCCTTTGCTGCCTAACATGGCCTATTTTATACCCACCACTAAGAGCTCCTCCCCATTCAACCCAACCCTGTCACCCACCTGTGACACCCAGGTGGAAGGAGACCTTCTGGCTCCCGGCCTCACAGCTGTACTCCCCGGCGTCCGCCTTGCCCGCCTGCTGCACCACCAACCGCCGTGTGCAGCCCGACGCCTCCACGCGCACCTTCGAGCTGGAGCTCAGCTTCTTCCCATCCTTGTACCAGGTCACCTCCGTCTGTGCCTGGGCCACCTCGCAGCTCAGTGTGGCACTGGCCCCCGCCTCAGCCTTCACCTCGCTTTTTGCCTGCTGCTCCTTGGCAAACACCACCTTGGGCTCTGGACATAGACAAGAGCCAGAGAATACACACTAGACCTAGCCAAGGCAGCACTATCCATGATTTGCAGAGTGTTTTGTGAGAGTATACAGAATTCCAAACTCTATATGATCCATGCTGTATGCTCTGCATCTGTGTACAGACAAGGTGGAGATAGCCAGTCCTCAAGACAACCCTGAGAATCCCAAGCCCACCCAAGCCTGTGCATGTAAGCTGTTACAGCATTGAGAGCACACTGCAGCAGTCCAGCCTCCTGAGGACACCAGCTTCCTGATCTGTATGAACAGGATCCTGACCCTCCTCACCAGACCACCAGTGCCCCCCACCCCTCTATCCCATCACTTAAGGCCACAGACAGCAGGACTCAAATTGGGAGGGATGACTACCCTCAGCACAAACCAGCAGCATGTATCTTTCTTGATCAAAGCTACACAGAGGGATCAAGGGAACAGAATGCCAGCCATGGTCAGAAGACAGTTGGCTAAGCCCTGGTGGTTCCTTTCCCCAGGCCAAGGGCTAGGGTAGAGAGGCAGGCGCACACAGGTGGTCTTGTAGGAACACCTCAGGCTCAAACAGGGTTATACAACTCTGGGGACCAAGCCTCAAAACTGCCTGTGGTTATCATACAATCCACATGACTACCACATTGGTGTTATCAGAGTGCACACCACAGTGAGCTCAGCCTGTCCACTTGCTCTGGTCTACTGACAATGGTCCAGGCCAGGAAGCCTCTAAGTAGAGCTGGAGGCATGGATGCTAAGACCCAGGAACACTGGGACCTTTTGGCTGCCCAAGCTGCCTGGCATGCCCTTAGTTTTTTGTACCTACCACTGAGGGTGCCCCTTATTCAATCCAACCCTGACACCTACCTGTGACACCCAGGTGGAAGGAGACCTTCTGGCCCCCGGCCTCACAGCTGTACTCCCCAGCATCCGCCTTGCCCGCCTGCTGCACCACCAGCCTCCGTGTGCAGCCCGACGCCTCCATGCGCACCTTCGAGCTGGAGCTCAGCTTCTTCCCGTCCTTGTACCAGGTCACCTCCGTCTGTGCCTGGGCCACCTTGCAGCTCAGTGTGGCGCTGGCCCCCGCCTCAGCCTTCACCTCGCTTTTTGCCTGCTGCTCCTTGGCAAACACCACCTTGGGCTCTGAGGACACACAGAGAAGAATACATGGTCAGAAATACTAAGTGGCAGAGGCCACCCAGGGGCTGACTGAAATATGGTATACACAGAAACAGGTTTTCATAGTGTAACCCATTTGAACAACTAACAGTTTACCAAAATGAAAACCAGGGAACTGAAACATGTCTTGTCTGTGGAAGAGAAAGAAAGCTAAGGGAAAACCAGTGGATGAATGGATAGAGGAATGGTGAGAAAATAAGTCATAATATTTAATGTATAAATAGAACTTCTAGGAAGCTTGAGAATAAAGGTGGAAATGAGATGGATGGGCAGGGACTTGTAAATCATGGAAGGGCTGACACAGATTAAGATGCACATATAAATGGTCATATGAAATTGAAAACTCTGTACAAGTATTTAAAGATAATAAGAAAAAATAGGGAAAATGTATTTTGTGTCTCAAATTAGTCTTGATACTATAACAGATTGGCCTAAAATATGAATTCTTATTTTCTTTCAAGATTTTAGCATTGATTTTATGCTCTGTGTGTGTCTGTACAGATTTAGAAAGTGTATCTCTGTTATGTTTTTTGAAAACAGAGCTGCAAATTCCCACAAAGGTAGCACAGGAATGTCTACCGCTCCACTGCTTCTTCTGTGATCTGCATAGACATGCCACCAAACATGGATGTAAAGTACGCCATAAAACAGGGCTCTGTATCCATGAGAAAGAGGGGAAGAGTATTCCGCAACACTTAACATTGACACTCCCATATTTAGTGTCAGCATCATTCTAGATATGATGAATTTACCCTTACTCTATGCTAGAAATTAGATATCTCAACCTCACTAGTTTGGAAATAGGTTTGTGTAGGTCTAGGGGAATTCATGGGAGTTATGGGGAGAAGCTCTGAAGTTAGATCCAGTTTTGTTTTGTTTTTTTTTTTTGTCGGTCATAGGGCTTGAACTCTGGGCTTGGGCGCTGTCCCTGTGCTCTTCAGCTCAAGGTGAGCGCTCTACCACTTGAGCCACAGCGCCACTTCCAGAAGCTCTGAAGTTAGACATCTGGTCTACCTCAGCTATATGAATCAGGTATGATTAGATTCCAGAACACTAAGAAACAGTGGTACATTCTGGACAAATCCAGGGGATATAAGATTGAACATTACAGTGTATAGATTCTGCCTGAAAAATGTAAGAGCCTAGACTCTACTAAACACATACACACACCAAGCCTATTGGCTCAACCATGAGAATGAAGATGTGCAGAAAGGGGATAAAAGTTTTGCAGAAGGGCTGGGAAGTTGGTGCAGTGGTAGAACGGTTGCCTTGCATGCCTGAGGCCCTGGGTTCGATTCCTCAGCACCACATAAGCAAAAAGAAAAAAGCCGAAAGTGGCGCTGTGGCTCAAGTAGTAGAGCGCTAGCCTTGAGCTGAAGAACTGAGGGACAGCGCCCAGGCCCAGAGCTCAGGCCCCACGACCAGACCCAAAAAAAAAGTTTTGCAGTAATAAAACCTAGGAAAGAGCTCCAGGGTCTGTCCTGCTTATTAGCAATGTTTACATTCCCTCAAAACAAAGGCAACTGGGTAATCCCCTCAAAGGACTGACCTGCAACATCCAGGTGGAAGGAGACCTTCTGGCCCCCGGCCTCGCAGCTGTACTCCCCGGCGTCTGCCTTGCCCGCCTGCTGCACCACCAGCCGCCGCGTGCAGCCTGACGCCTCCACGCGCACCTTCGAGCTGGAGCTCAGCTTCTTCCCGTCCTTGTACCAGGTCACCTCCATCTGCTCCTGGGCCACCTCACAGCTCAGTGTGGTACTGGCCCCAGCCTCGGCCTTCACCTCGCTTTTTGCCTGCTGCTCCTTGGCAAACATCAGCTTGGGCTCTGAGTACACAAAGTTACATGACATCTAGGTCAGGAAGCCCACGGTAGAAGAAGACCTAGACCTGGTAGTTGGAGGGTCGAACTTTCTTTTTTTTGTCGGTCATGGGTCCTGAACTCTGGGCCTGGGCGCTGTCCCTCAGCTCTTCAGCTCAAGGCTAGCGCTCTATCACTTGTGCCACAGTGCCACTTCCAGCTTTTCCTGCTTATGCGGTGCTGAGGAATTGAACCCAGGGCCTCATTCATGCTAGGCAAGCACTCTTCCACTGAGCCACCTTTTCAGCCTTGGGCAGAACTTTCTGTATGCCCAGAACAAGTCTCTCTTGGCATACCACAGTTCACCCACCTTTCCTGCATGATGGGGTTGTTCCAGAGAGGACATTGACACAGTCTCTGTGCACAGACTCCTCCAAGGAGCCCATTAGCTTTGTGACATATGTGCCCCTGCCTCTAGAATAAAAGTCTCTCACAGAACAGTATGGGACACATCCTCACTACAAAGCTGAAAGTTTCTGAGTCCTCAATCTCATCTCCAAGTCTGAGTTCTTATCTGCACTTAGCTAATATTCAGCTAATATTATAAAGCAGCAAGACTAGGCTGTCTCCAATCCCTGGCTGCTCTCTCATCATGCCGTCACTCCCCCCACACTTCTACTACTTCTACAGGTCTACCGTTGTGATGTTGTCACCATGCAACATAAGCTCCTCACTGGAGTCCCTGGTGCAATGCCATGTTTTTAACGCAGATGAGCCTGAAGGATGCAAGACTAAGTGAAATATGCCAGGTCCAATCATCTTTCTCATTTATCTTGCTAAGCCTAATATTACTATTTTAGATTTTCAAATAGTCTTCAATTGATGTGTGAGTCTATGTATGTTTCTTCCAACCCATACACCTTTTCGTGCCCTCCTCATTTACTATCCAGTGTTGGAGGGAAGATGAGAACAGGCTTTATGTGCTGTTCTCTCATCTCAATGACAAATCTTTCATGGTTCTCTCAAATGTGGTATTACTTGATGCTTTCCATAGCAATTAACAAAATATATACAATGTCTTGAGGACTGTGCAGGATAAACTGATGCTAAATTTTATCAAACCTAACGGGTTTCATAATGTTAAATTTAATTGAAAATTGTTATTCTGTATCAGTTGAGACAATCCCATGATTCACTCACTCATTCTAACCATGTCATTCTTTCTGTAGATGTGCTGTGTGTCTGAACCTAAAGATATCATGTACATGCAATCTATGACCTGTGGCACAATGTATTCCTCTGCAGGCATAGTGAGTTCAGTTTGCTGTCTTATCCCTTGATATTAAAAACAGGACTGTAATTTGCATTTGAGTCACTGGACAGATTATGTACAACAGAAAATAATTTAGAGAGTGTATTTATTTTCCTCTCCTGCTTAGAATAATATACATGAATGTGGGATGTTTTTATTTGGGGGGGGGGGGTCCGGTCATGGGACCTGAACTCTGGGCCTGAGCACTGTCCCTCAGCTCTTTAGCTCAAGGCTAGCGCTCTACCACTTGAGCCACAGCGCCATTTCTGGCTTTTTTCTTTTGCTTATGTGGTGCTGAGGCCTCATGCATGCAAGGCAAGCGCTCTACCACTGAGCCAGCTTCCCAGCCCTTGAAATGTTTTTATTTTAACCAACAAATAATCACATGTATTTATAGGGCAAATGAGACATTCCCATATATATGTACATAGAATGATCAAATCAGGATAGTGAGAATATTACCTAAAATAGTTATTATTTCTAGATGGTGAGAATATTTCATATATTCTTTGTATACTATTAAATACTATATTTTATATATTCTTTATAACTACTTTGAACTATACTACACATTATCAATTATAGTCATCTTATTATGCAATAAAACACTAATAATTTCCTTCAAGAAGGCCATTCAAATTCCTCTTTCCCCTGTGTCATCTTGATAACTTTCTAGGAAATGCAAAATGTTCATAGTTTTGCAAACTTATTATCATAAAATAATTAGCCATATTCTCTTAAAAGTCGGCAAACAGATTTTTTTAAATCTACACACTCTCACATTTCAATGCAGAATGGAGCTATATGAAAATGTCATCCATTGACACTCAGGTCAATAGAGAGCCACAACCACTGCAACCTGACATTAGGTGGCTTAGTGAAGGGAAGGGAATGTATTTCGGGGATTGCTGTATGACAGCTGAAATGAACAAAAGGAATTCTGTAACATAAACACTACCTTGTGGACAACTGCTGCCTCTAAAGGAAGTCACCTCATTTTTCAAGGATGGAGAAAGCTCAGAAAGCTACTTGTACTTTGGCTATTTATTATAAATCAAACTCCAAAGAGAATACTAGCAGAGAATGTTCTAAATTGCCTTTGGAAATCAGAGAGCACTGCAATCCCCTAGGCGCATTCCCACCAGCACTCTGACAGTGCACAGCCTACACATAGACCCTACAATAGGACGTCAATACCATGGCACGTCAGCGTCTATGTATGGAAATGAAGGAAGAATCCAGACACATGAAACTATTACTAAGCCAAATTTTTGTCTCAAGGTAATTTAAGTACAATGGGGTAGTCAAAACTCCCCTCATTTAATTTCATTGAAATGGAAACAAGTGGCCCTAGCAGGAAACTTCATGTGTTGCCTAATCAGAGAACGCAGGTGCTGCCAGACACGCGACAGAACATTCTCGTACCAGGCACACTTGGCCCGAGTCCCATGCACCAGACAGAGCCACATACCTCCCTGGAAAGCAAGAACCAGCACGAGGCTGCCAGGGCTGCTAGAAATGCATAACAATGCATTACCACACGGAGGCAGTGTTCAAGGTACAGAGTGATCGCCCCTCCTACTCCCACCCTTCCCACTCCAGTGCTCAGTCAAGCAACACAGTGTGTCACAAAGCCAACAGGGCCTTTCCTTTGTGGAAAAAAACAACTGACCTGTGACACCCAGGTGGAAGGAGACCTTCTGGCCCCCGGACTCGCAGCTGTACTCCCCAGCATCTGCCTTGCCCGCCTGCTGCACCACCAGCCGCCGCGTGCAGCCCGACGCCTCCACGCGCACCTTCGAGCTGGAGCTCAGCTTCTTCCCGTCCTTGTACCAGGTCACCTCCGTCTGCGCCTGGGCCACCTCGCAGCTCAGTGTGGTGGTGGCCCCCGCCTCAGCCTTCACCTCGCTTTTTGCCTGCTGCTCCTTAGCAAACACCATCTTGGGCTCTGGACACAGACAAGGGTACAAGGCAGTAATCCTAGCTACTCAGGTGGCTGAGAAATGAGGATAATGATTCAAAGCCAGCTTGGATAGGAAAAGTCTATGAGATTTATTTTTTATTTTTTGGGGGGGGGTTCTGGTCATGGGACCTGGACTCTGGGCCTGGGCGCTGTCCCTCAGCTCTTCAGCTCAAGGCTAGCGCACTACCACTTGAGCCACAGCGCCACTTCCGGCTTTTTTCTTTTTGCTTATGTGGTGCTGAGGAATCGAACCCAGGGCCTCAGGCATGCAAGGCAAGCGCTCTACCACTGAACCACCTTCCCAGCCCCAGTCTATGAGATTTTTAACTCCAATTACCCACAAAAATCCAGAAGTACAACTGGCTCAAGTGGTAGAGCTCTAGCCTTGAACAAAAAGAACTCAAGGACAGTTCTCAGGCCCAAAGCTCAAGCCCCAGTACTGGCACAGAGACAAGAAAGAAACAGAGACAGAGATATCAGAGAGAAACTGTAGAATAGATCCAAATTCTTCAGTGACTAGAGCTCACCTGAGCCCAAGCAGGCTAGTCCTGATTAGCAGAGCACTGCATGACAATGCACATGGTTCTAAGCTATGTGTGGCCCACTATGATGTTTCATAGCTGTGTATGGAGAAGCCTGGGGTACTCAGCCCTCATCACCCCCGAGCACCCCAGACTCACCCAGCCCAGACAACCTGCTGCTGCCTGTGTGGTCACAGAAGCCTGGCCTGCCCCTGACAATGCCACCTTCCTGATCTTTGCAGACAGGATCCTGACTCTTCCTTGCCTCAGATTTCCCACAGCCCACAGACCGCCAATGACCTACCAACTCTTTCCCACCATTCAGGGGCCCCGGCAAAAGGATAAAGGAATGTCTATCCTCAGCACCAACAAGCAGCACATATCTTTCTTGGCCAAGGCTATAAAAGGAATATCAGAGAGCAGAGTCCCATCCTGGGCCAAGAGGGAAGAAGACTGAACTATGGTGGCTCCTTTCCCCAGGCAGAGAGGAGGTAGAGGAGGCAGACATACAGAGATGGATGAGTGGGAACAACACAGACCCAAGCAAGGGCTTGCAGATATCTGGAGCTGGGTTAAAAGGGCATAGTGAGCTTTTGCCACCTGCATGTCACCCCGCTACACAATGTCCCATGACCTCAGCGTTAGAGACAACAAGGTGCATACCATGGTGAGCTTGGACCATCAGCCTGCTCTGGTTTCCTAATAATGGCACAATGGCCTAGAGCCACTGAGCAAAGCTGAAGACATGGATGATGAGACCCAAGGACCTAAGTGGCCTTTGCTGCCTAACATGGCCTATTTTATACCCACCACTAAGAGCTCCTCCCCATTCAACCCAACCCTGTCACCCACCTGTGACACCCAGGTGGAAGGAGACCTTCTGGCCCCCGGCCTCACAGCTGTACTCCCCGGCGTCCGCCTTGCCCGCCTGCTGCACCACCAGCCGCCGCGTGCAGCCCGACACCTCCACGCGCACCTTCGAGCTGGAGCTCAGCTTCTTCCCATCCTTGTACCAGGTCACCTCCGTCTGTGCCTGGGCCACCTCGCAGCTCAGTGTGGCACTGGCCCCCGCCTCAGCCTTCACCTCGCTTTTTGCCTGCTGCTCCTTGGCAAACACCACCTTGGGCTCTGGGGACACACAGGAGGAACACATGGTCAGAGATACTGACTAGGTATGACTATGGCTAGGGGACAGAATATTTTCTAGGTACTGCACCAGCTGTTGTGGTCAGACAAGTGCCAACACCTCTCAGTGCAAAGTGCGTAGTATATCCATATATCTTGCCACTGTTCCCTGGTTCTGTTCAGAGAGAACACTGGCCCCGTCTCTGTACACAGGCTCCTCCAATGAGCCACTAAGGTCAGGATGCATGTGTTCTTGTCCCTCCACAGCAACGTAGAGTCTCCCAGAGAGGCACGTCCTCACCACAGGGCTCACAGTCCCCAAGGCCCCACACTGATGCTCTAGGCATCATCAGCTGCTGTCTCTGGGGAAAGCCCAGACAACCCAAGGCTCCACAGCCATCGAACACCAACTGGGGCTCTGCCCTCGTGAGTTAACGCTGGTCCCCAAAAGTGGGCTGGGTCTTGCAGAGTGCACTGGGCCCTGCAGGAGTAATGTGTTCTTTCAAGAGCAGACTGCTATAAACTTCCATGCATTTGGCCCCTTCTGAACATGGCAGGCTCCCTCTCTGCTTTTTCACCATGGTGTGGAGCTAAGATCCCCACCAGCACCCCAGCACCATGCTATGTACAATCTTCCAGTCACCAGAACAATTAGCCAAATTTACTTCTTTCTCATTCACCCAGCCTTTTGTTATTGCAACACAAAGCAGATTAAAACACATGTCTTCTAATTTAGCTGCTATTCATTATAATGTAGTCAGACGTGTACTCTGGATACACTGTAATTAGTCTGCTTGTTCCCCATAAGAAATCTTGCCTTATTCAGCAACCCATGTCATCAACTAAGAGTATTATGGTGTACCTGGGGTGCTGAGATCTCTAATTCACCTGGAATTAACCTCTATATATAGCTTTTTGTTTCCATGTTGTATCCATGTTGTGTATTCTCCACATAAAACATATTTGTGAGTGTATCTTTTTGTTCTACTCTTAATATTTCCACAAATGTGGGCACTTTCTTTCCAGTATACTTGGTATAACTTATCAATAGAGCCACTGAACTTATAGATTTCTCTATAAAGAAGGTTTTCTTTTTTAATTTCTGGTTACATTTCTTTAGATGTTATAGGACTATGTGTCTATTTCTTCTTAGTTTAAGAAACTGCTCAATTTGTCAAAAATTTCCAAATTTACTACCGTAAAATTTTGTCAATCTCAAAATAACATTTTAGAAAGATGCCTAGTAGGCTGGAATCCTACACAACCACACACCATTCATATAGATGCCACACCTAGCTCTGTGCTGGTACTTGGGAGGCGCCGTCTCTCTCTCTCTCTCTCTCTGTCTCCACATATTACATATATATACTCTCTAGAGTTAGTTCTCAGACCTGTGAATCACATCAGATGCACAGACACATACAACTAACTAGCAATCTTTATGAATGGATTGTTTGACCAGTTAACGGCTACTACTGTACTAACTCATCTTGAAGAGTTTGAACTACTTACTTCTTTCCAGGTCAAAATGTATAAACTTATTTGAGGAATTTCTGACTATGCTTTAACTAAAGGCAAAAGAAAAATGAGATTTTCCTTAAAGCTACAGTTTCCAATCCCCATGTGAGCACAGGTACACATCATACCAACTCTTGGTTTGCTTTGCACAAACATCAAAGAAATCATGGATCTAGATTTTTCTCTATGTAGTGAATGCACTGAGAGAACTTCCATCTCTCCAGGAAAAGACAGAAGAACAGCCCAAAACCTTAACTTTGACAACCCACAGTTCATCCTTTGTATAATTCCAAGGATGATTATGAGGCCAAAATATCTTCCTCCTCTGACTGAAACAAATTCAAGGATCTTCCTCAAATGAGCATTCCATGTGGTTCTGAGACACTTAGGTCACAAGGCCAAAAGCAGCAGAAGTCTTAGGACAACAAATTAACACTAGGAGGGTTCTCTGCAGGTGTTCATGATGAATGGCTAATCCCAGTTACATAGAAACATCACTCCAACTGCATGAGAAGAGCCTCCCTAGGATCAGCCACAGGAATAAAAATGAGAGACAAAGGAGACTATAAAAGGAAGTCTAACATAGAGCATACTCATCTATCTGGACCATCACCCAGGCTCACATCACCTTGAAACAAAGTGAACTTTGTGTGCCAAACACTGACCTGTGACACCCAGGTGGAAGGAGACCTTCTGGCCCCCGGCCTCACAGCTGTACTCCCCGGCATCCGCCTTGCCCGCCTGCTGCACCACCAGCCGCCGCGTGCAGCCCGACGCCTCCACGCGCACCTTCGAGCTGGAGCTCAGCTTCTTCCCATCCTTGTACCAGGTCACCTCCGTCTGTGCCTGGGCCACCTCGCAGCTCAGTGTGGCGCTGGCCCCCACCTCGGCCTTCACCTCACTTTTTGCCTGCTGCTCCTTGGCAAACACCACCTTGGGCTCTGGGGACACATGGGAGGAACACATGGTCAGAGATGCTGAGTAGCTCAGGCTTGCTCCAGGTCCTGCATCTGCTGTATGCCCCAGTGCTCCTTGGCACAAGCCTCCACAGTTTATCCACACATCCTGTCCCTGCTCAGTGGCTCTGTGCTGGGGAACACTGTGACACCATCTCTGTGCACTGACGCCTACAGTGGCTCTCCAGTAATCTGTCTTGATGATGCACAGGGTTGAGAACTTCGGCCATTTATTGCCATAGTGTTTACTCCTCACATATCACTGTTCAAGATGACCTTCATTTTCACTAGTAATGTCTGGGTTTTAGGTCCTTCTTTATTTCAATACCAGTGTCTTGCCAGTTACATGCATTTAACACTCTCCCTCTCTATGTGCCTTATTCTTTCACTCTGTTATGGTGTCTTTGATGAAATAAATTTGAGGGGGGAGGTGTTTTTGGTTTTTTTACTTAGGAAATCATATTAACTGATTCAGGGTGAGCAGTGCCTTTTTGTTCTGGTTATGAAACCATTCATTATAAGAAAGTGCCTCAATAATCTGTATAACTAGTTAAGACCTACTTTCTTTACTGAAGTGGCTGATGCAAGTGTTACTGACTCTCACTAGGGCCTAAGAGAGACATAGAAGGCTATTTTTTTTTACACATCAGTGATGACCTTAGCACTGCTCAATGAAGACCATCCTCTTTTTCCTCCCCTAGCCACACACTGGTCCAAAAATCGTATGTTTTAATTCTGACTTGGGATAAAATTAAATCTTCTATGGTTTCTAATTCCTTCAAACTTCCGTCCATTTATCTCAAAACATTTTAATAATTTCCTCCACTGGGCTATCATTTGTTGGACCTAGAATATGAAAAACAATGCTTTTCAAGCTTCTGTAAATCTTTAAAATTTTTATTTTTCAGTGTTTACTCTTAGTATATGGATAACCATTTTGTGTGTGTGTGTGTGTGTGTGTGTGAGTCACACCAGTGAGTCAATCCATCAATGCCCCTACTAGGTATATAGTCGGCCCTCAGTATCTGAAGGGGAGGAAGACGGGCTCCAGTGCACCCTCAGAAGCCACTTTGGGTTCTCAATTTCTTCATATAAAATGTCATAGTATAGGCTAGGGGTAGGTAGCTCATATCTGAAACTCTAGGTGAGATTTATATATAAGGTGATCTTTCCTGAGACTTTCAAGTCTAATAAGTAATCTTTTGGATTTTTAAACTGTTAAACTTATGATCTATAAATCTCACTCTTGGTATTCTCAATCTTACACCTCTATGTTACTCCTCCGACTGTGTTGTACACTAGGCAAGGGCAGTGACAGAGGGCTCCTCTTCCTGTCCCTGTCTGAGGCAAATCCCTCACCTAAGGCAGACTGTCAACCAGTTTCCCAAAATAGCAACCACTGTTGCTACTTTGCAAAGCTTTTCAGTGTGTCATGAATTGATGCTAAATTTGGTCAGATATTTTCCAGGATACTAATCCTAAATTATATCAAGCCTTTTCCTGCCTTTATTGAAATAGCTGTGTACTTCTCTTATAATCCATCAACAGACATCACTGTGATCTTCTGTGTTTCTAATGTTAAATCAACTACACCTTCATAAGCCATGGCTTTCACTGTAGTATATGGTCCTTATGTGTTTTAGAGTAAAGTGCCAACATTGTGCTTAGTATTCTGGCTTAGCCTGTAACTTTACTTCTGCCTAATTCTTGGTAAGATTTTGAAAATCATCCCATACTGTCTACCTAAGATGAATTGGAAACCATATCTCCTTTGTCTTATTCACCATCCGCATGGGACTTTTGGAATAATTTACCAGCAGAATCACTGTGCTTATCCTTTTTCTATGAAAAGCATTTTCTAAAATACTGCTTCCGCTTATTTGAAGGTTATGGGACAACAGTTCAAGTTTTCTATCACTTCTTTGTCAGTGTTGCCATAATTACATAGGAATTGACATAACTTGTCAATTTTTGCCATAAAATGGTTTGTTACACATCTTCTCCAAATAATGTTTCACAAAAACAATAACAAGTCTTTGGGGAACCAAATTCATAACTGATTATACAGCGAGCCTTCTATATCCATAGATCCATCCACCAGCATCTCCACAGTGCCTTTTTTCTTGTAATTGTTCCCTAAATATTAAATTTTGTGATCCACAGGGTCTTGAAACCAATCTCCCAAAGACAGAAAGAGACAAGTGTTTACATACACAACATCCAACTGACTTGTGGTGCTACCTAACAGTAAAACATGGGTACATAGCCATGCTAAATCTCTTTTAGCAAAAGGAAAATTCATGAATTTCTTGGCTTTCTTTAGAAGCCAGACAAAAGAATGCCTAATCACAAGGGAAATGCCAAGTGGTATGTGCTGTCCAGCAGCCAACGCCTACCCCACAGCAACCGCCTTCACACAGCACTGACTCACTATCTCCAGCTGCTTTCACTCTGATTTTATACATCAGTCTCCAAGGGCACTTCTGACAGAGAATGTTGGAAGACAAAAGGAACACATGATGCGCTTTAAAAAGATCTTTCCACTCTCACAAGTGTATATCACATATCACATATTAACCAATCTCTGCTCTATACACTTTGCAGAGACACTGCAACGAAGCAGAGGTAGGACTTTTTTACAGTTGGACATGCAGGTGACTTCTGTCCACTACACCGGAAAGGTAAGAAATGGATCCTAGTACACCTAAAGCTGTAAAAAGAAGCACACAAGGGCTGACTGACATATTTAAAAGCGTGACTAAATAGTTGAAATTTCTCATCAATAGCTGTGGGCTGGGAAGGCGGCTCAGTGGTAGAGTGCTTGCTTTGCATGCATGAGGCCCTGGGTTCAATTCCTCAGCACCACATAAGCAAAAAGAAAAAAGCCAGAAGTGGCGCTGTGGCTCAAGTGGTAGAACGTTAGCCTTGAGCTGAAGAGCTGAGGGACAGTGCCCAGGCCCAGAGTTCAGGCCCCACGACTGGGCCCAAAGAAATAAATAAATAAATAACTGTAAGAACTGGGTGTGGCTCTGAGAGAGAACCTGGGAGCATGAGCACATCACCCAGCTGAGAGTCTCAGGGCTACTTTTGAACCCAGAGCCCAACAACACAGTGCAACAAGCAGGTTCTGGGAACATATAACTAAGGATCTGTAAAAAGGAATACTACTAGCCGGGCCTCTATGGCTCACATCTGTAATCCTAGCAACTTAGGAGGCTAAGATCTATCATGATTTGAAGTCTGTGAGACTCTGATCTCCAATTACTGTAACCAGAAGTGGCTCAAGTGGTAAAGTACTAGCCTCGAGGATGAAAAAAAAATCTCAGGGACAGTGCCCAGGCCCTGAATTCAAGCCCCAGAAGCAGAAAAGGAAAGAAACAACACCCAAGATGGACTGGAGGACCTGCCGCTGCCACTTATCCTTAGTGAACCCAGCTGCCAGTATGAAAGGGCAGGTGAGGGAAGGAGAGAGATTAAGAGACAAAGCCTAATAGAAAGACCACAAATCAGTCAATGAGTGGAAGGCAAGTCATTATCTCCAAACAAGGCTAACTTTGTATCCAAAACACTGACCTGCAACACCCAGGTGGAAGGAGACCTTCTGGCCCCCGGCCTCACAGCTGTACTCCCCGGCGTCCGCCTTGCCCGCCTGCTGCACCACCAGCCGCCGCGTGCAGCCCGACGCCTCCACGCGCACCTTCGAGCTGGAGCTCAGCTTCTTCCCATCCTTGTACCAGGTCACCTCCGTCTGCGCCTGGGCAACCTCACAGCTCAGTGTGGCGCTGGCCCCTGCCTCGGCCTTCACCTGGCTTCGAGCTGGCTGCTCCTTGGCAAACATCACCTTGGGCTCTAGAGACATGTAAGTTTAAATTAGGGTGGCCAAGTAGAGGGGGGAAAGATTTGGACAGTCTTGTGGCTCTGGATAGAACCTACCTCCGCACCAGCTGTGTGCCCAGGTTAAGTCCTAACACTGCTCAGCACCTTCCTTATCCACCTAATAATATACATTCCCTGACCCCAATGGATGCCTGAAAAGCAAGTAACCCCAAAACCTATATATGCTGTCTTTCCCTATATATACACACCTATGATAAAGTTTGATGTATAAATCAGACACAGTAAGGAATTACAACAATAATAAGGAGTAGAACAATTACAACTGGAACAGAACAATTACAACAATATTCATTAATGAAAGTCTACAAGAAAAATAAGGCCCACAGGAGTATACTCTTAGGGAGGCACAATGCCCATGTGCCTCTCATCATATAAAAATAATATTTATCAAAATAAACTCTAGGAAATGAGAACAAGAAGTTTTTTCTTTGTTGTTGTTTTTGTTTTCTTTTCTTTTTGTCTTGCTTGTTCAGTTATCCAACTTTGAGAGGGTAAGGGGGAACACAAAAATGGAAGGACAAAGGGTAGACAAACGTAGCAGTGGTACTCACTAGACACCATGTTGAAAATGAACTATACAACTTGTGGGTGGAGACAAGAGGAAAAACTAGGAGAGTGAGGGAAAGGGTTATGTTGTCCAAAATGAAATATACTTATTACCTGATTTATTAAACTGTAACTACTCCATATATCACCTTTGCAATAACTTAAAAAATTAAGAAAAATTTTTAAAAAGAAAAATAAGCCAGGTGCCAGTGGCTCACGCCTATAATCCTAGCTACTCAGCAGGCTGAGATCTGAGGATCGTGGTTCAAGCCAGCCCAGGCAGGAAAGTCCGTGAGACTCATCTCCTGTGGCTCAAGCGGTAGAGTGCTTGCCTTGAGCTGAAGAGCTGAGGGATAGCGCTCATGCCCAAAGTTCAAGCCCCATGACCAACAAAAAAAAAAGAAAAAAGACAGAAAAATAAAAATAAGGATTACCTGGAGTGAGTCACTGAAGTGCATGACTATGTAATGAAAAATGAGCAGGTGGCTACTCTGGCAGATGGAACAAGATGGCCTGAGAGTTTATCACACTACTCAGAACCACATGCTATTTAGAACTGATGAATTGCTTATTCATTTCTGGAATTTTCCATGAAATATTTTTGGATCATTTCTAGTATGGAAGCAAACCATGGAACATGAAACTGAATAAGGAGGATGACAGTAAACATGATTGCTGACACATCCTGCCATGGTTCCATGGTGGAGTTTTTTTTCTTTTTCTTTTTGTATTAGCTTATATTGAATGTACAAAAATATCGGATTCCATTATGACATTTTCCTTTGTTCTTTTTTTGATGTTACTAGTCAAGAGTTTGGTTCAATTTTTAACAGTACTTTTTTAAAAATCAATACTGGGAATTAAACTCAGGGTCTAATGCTAGGCTAGCACTATGTCACTTGAGCCACATCTCCAGTTCTGTATTAGGAAAGTTATTTTTGGAAAAGTTGTTTAGCAAACTCTTGTCCAGGCTGCCCCTAAACCATGACTCTCTAGATCTCAACCCCCTGAGTAGTTAGGATTACAGGTGTGAGCCACCAGTGCCTGGCTTTGTATTATTTTTTACAAACACTTTGAAGAACTTGACTAAGTAATCTAATCTTTTCATATATAGCACTATAAAATAATTTGTCACATTTTCTTTAAATAACACTAACACTTATATATATGAAAAAATTTAATTAAAAATACACATGGGATTTTAGCATCTGCAAACCTCCTCATTGCAATGATACAGTACCAGCACATTTACTGCTAGCATGAGGAGTGTATGTAAGACTCTTGCTGTGGGTGTATTTTGTGCACCAAGATTCATATTCTGCAAGCTCAAGGCCCACTGCACGAATATTCCCAGATAATGGGACTTTTACAAGGTGGAACCTGTATTGAGTGGGAAAAAGTAACTTCTAAAAGTCTATATATAGCACAGTAAGATAATTACAATTAACAACAATTGATTGCATATTCAAAATAGCTAGTGAAGAGGATTTTGAATATTCCCCTCTCAAAGAAATCACAAGTGTCTGAGGGTGATAGAAATACTCCTTGTCTGATCTGATCATTATGTACTGTATACATGTACTAGAATGTCACATGATACTCCAAAAGTATGTACAATTACTATGTGTCCATTTAAAATATATTTTAAAGCTGTGTACCAGTAGCTCACAGCTATAATCCTAGCTATTCAGGAAGCTAAGATCTGAGGATCATAGTTTAAAGCCAGCTCAGGCAGGAAAGTCCTGGAGACTCTTATCTCCAATACACTATTCAGAAAAAGGCAGAAGCGGCACTGTGGCTCAAATGGTAGATCACTAGCCTTGAGCCAAAGAAGCTCAAGAACAGTGCCCAGGCCCAGAATTCAAGCTCCAGTGTGTGTATATGTGTGTGTGTGTGTGTGTGTGTATAAACATATATATGTTTTTATATACTATATATTTTATAAATATATGTATTTACATATATTTTACATATATATATGGTCCTTGCATGCCATCTGAATTCCTCTCATATGTAATGCCATCTGCCATGGTGTGGTTCAGGCAGAACCGAGTCTACATTCTTTGGGCTTTCAGCATCTAGAACTAGAGCATGCATCTAGAGCTGAATAAAACATCTTTTCCTTATCAAGTATTCAGTGCCCAGTATTTTGAAAAACAAACTAATAAGACTCTCTTTAAAAAAATACATTTACGGGGCTGGGAAGGTGGCTCAGTGGTAGAGCGCTTGCCTTGCATGCATGAGGCCCTGGGTTCGATTCCTCAGCACCACATATGCAAAAAGAAAAAAGCCGGAAGTGGCGCTGTAGCTCAAGTGGTAGAGCGCTAGCCTTGAGCTGAAGAGCTGAAGGGCAGCGCCCAGGCCCAGAGTTCAGGCCCCACGACTGGACCCAAAATAAAAACAAACAAACAAAAAAAATACATTTAGTTTCATACTCCCCAAGGAACCATCTAGAAAGGTACAGGCACAAATAATTACTGGGGAATGTCACAAAGTAAACACTGCCATGTTAGCACTATATACAGTATGGGGGGAGGGCAGGCATGGAGAGAATGCTAGGATACTAAATGTTCTAACATTCAGTAGAGTGAATAATACCAAAATACATTGTATCTATTAATACAGATACTAAAATAAAACTCACTGAAAGCTGTTGAAAAATAGGGGAAGGTGTAAAAGAAGTCAGTTTGATTAAAGGGTAGTATATGTATGTATGAAATCCCAAGATGAAACTCCTTTGAATATCATGCACTAAAAAATGGCAGAAATGTAAAAGGGGAGATGTTTGGAGTTTAGGGTATTAGAGGGACAAGAAAGGTGAGGATAATGAGAGGAGAGTAAATATAATCAAAATAGTTTACATCCACATGTGAAAATGAAACTATGCAGCATGTTGAGATTGACTTGGAGGGAAGATGACAGAGGTAAGACTGGGCAAGGTACATTTACAAATGGATATGTCCAAATCTCTCTCTCTCTCTCTCTCTCTCTCTCTCTCCCTCTCTCTCTCTCTCCCTTCCTCCCTCTCTCTCTCTCCCTCTCCTTCCCTCCCTCTCTCTCTCTTTCTCTCTCTCACACACACACACTTGTTAATAAAAAGTATAAAAAACTAAGTGCTGGTGGCTCATATTTGTAATCCTGGCTGCTCAAGAGACTGAGATCTGAACACCAAGATTCGATGCTAGCCCAAGTAGAAACATCTGAAATTCTTTTCTTCAAAGAACCAGCATCATATAGCCGGGTGCTGGTGACTCACGCCTATAATCCTAGCTACTCAGCAGGTTGAGATCTGAGGATCACAATTCAAAGCCAGCCTGGGCAGGAAAGTCTGTGAAACTCTTATCTCCAATAAACCACCAGAAAACCGGAAGTGGCACTGTAGCTCAAGTGCCCAGAGTTCAAGCCCCACGACAGACAAAAGAAAGAAAGAAAGAAAGAAAGAAACAGCATCTTTGAGCCATCTTTGAGTGAACTATCTAAGGGTAGCACCCAGGCCCTGAGTTAAAGCCCTACTACCAGCACTAAACTGCTGATTCCTTCCTAGGAGTAAGTTTATAAATCAAACTTCGAGGGAAATTCCGACACAAAACATTCTAACTGAAGTTAAAAAAGATAAGTAAGACCTTCCTTAAAAGGACAACTCTAAGCCTCATATCTAAACATTTCTGCTGCTAGTTTACTGAGCATTGACATAACACAAGCATGGGTCTAGAAAACATCTATACCCACCCAAGAGAAGGGAAGAATACTGAAGAAGACTGACAACCCTAAAAATCCATAGATAAGTCTTGAGGCAACTCCATGTATTTGGTGGCTGAAATCTTCCTTAATCCCAATCAAGTGAAATTCAAACATCTCTCACAAGTGAGGTAGAGCCGGGTGGAGCTGTGCAAGGGGAAGAGGATGACACCAGCCTCCAGCAGAAAGAAACTGACCTCCACGAGGTGAGACGGCCAGGCCACCTCACACCACAGAGTCTGAAGGAGTCAGAGTTAGACACAGGCGGTCAAACCAGAAAGATGCTGGGAAGCTGGTGAGATTGTGTGACTGCGAACACCACTGGGGATCCACAGAACAGAACGAGTCTTTCTCACAGGGCACCGATGGCTGATGCCTGTCATCCTAGCTATTCAGGAGGCTGAAATCTAAGGATTGAGGTTCAAAGCCAGCCCAGGCAGGAAAGTCTGTGAGACTCTTCTCTCCAATTAACCACCCAAAATGTGGAGCTGTGGCTCAAAGTGGTAGAGTGCTAGACTTGAGGGGGGAAAAAAAAACATCTCAGGGGCAGTGCCCAGGCCCTGAGTTCAAAACCTATTACCAACCAAAAAAAAAATGTTTTTCTCCCTCTCCCATCAGTTTCCTTTGGTCTAACACATCAGGAAAATGAGAGTTGGAAACTAGGAGATTAGAGATGAAGTCTAACAGAAAGAGCAGAAAGCCTATCATCATGGCAATCAGTCCACATCTTTATCACCTTCAAAAAAATGCCACAAGGAACTCACCTGCAACATCCAGATGGAAGGAGACCTTCTGGCCCCCGGCCTCACAGCTGTACTCCCCGGCGTCCGCCTTGCCCGCCTGCTGCACCACCAGCCGCCGCGTGCAGCCCGACGCCTCCACGCGCACCTTCGAGCTGGAGCTCAGCTTCTTCCCGTCCTTGTACCAGGTCACCTCCGTCTGTGCCTGGGCCACCTCGCAGCTGAGTGTGGCGCTGGCCCCAGCCGCGGCCTTCACCTCATTATGTGCCTGCTGCTGCTTGGTGAATATCACCTTGGGCTCTGGGGACAGGAGGGTCATGTTATCAGACACAACGTTGGTACCAACAGAGATCGAAACTTCAGGGTCCCATAAATTGTATCCCTGAGGTCAATGACATTGTGTGTCCCAGTTTGTGTTCACAGACATGGATATGTGTTCACAAACACAGTGTTTCCTGTCTCAGAGACTCAGGTGTACATCTTAAGGATATTCTGACTTGAGAAGAATTCGGAGGCTGGTGGGAGGAGCCTGGTGATAGCCTAGCAACTGTACCTATGAGTTTTCTGTTTCTGCCACATGACTGTCAACTCTGCATGTCAGGTCCTGGTTATGTAAAACTGTTTCTCTACAGCTGGCACACAATATAGATTCCACACAGTATCCTATGTATTACCTTTGTATAACTAGCACATAAAGTATGCAAATGCACAGTCCATGAACCTCTTTAATTAAACAAAATGTGTCAACAAAAAGAATATCCCTAGGTCCTGCCCATATGGAGCAGCCCTCAAAGTCTTGTGACTTCACATAAATGAAACTAGTCACACATTGCATAGTGATATGCCAGTCAATGACAGAGCCTAAGATTCTAACAACCAACATCAATGAAGGGCCTCCTAGGTACAGGCAACCACGGCTGAAGCTGGTAGCTACAAGCCAACATGTGTGTACAATGAAAATGAGAAAGCGATGCTCTCAGACAGAATGCAGAGCAGCATGAGGAGTCGACTGGCACCTTAGACTCAGTGGACAGGGAGAGCATGGGTGATGGTAGAGAAGCAGTCAGTGTGATAAACACCAAAGGAAAGTCTAACAGAGACAAGGGTCTCCTGTATGGACAGGCCTGGAGAAGAGCCATGTGCCTCGCAGCAGAAAGAGTTCTGGAAGAATGTAAGACTTCCTGGCTTCAAGGAGGGAAAGTCACAGGTAAAGGCCACTCACAGGTGGGGCCCACACCAGCATCTTCTCATCTTTGCTGAATATGGCAGGACAGTGAGATCCAGACATAGAAACAAGGAAAACGATGTTACACACAGATCACTGTTGACACTATGCTGTAGACAGAGATGAAAGTTGAGATTGAGGAGACAAATCACCAATGGACTGGGATAGTGTGACACTGAATCCCAAGCGTGGGCATTTCCTTTCCCAGACCTTTGGTGGGCTGTGAAGCTGCATGGAGCAGGAGGCTACAAAGCTGTCTAAGTCTGTTTTGTGTTATTGTAATAAAATACCTGAGGCTGAGCACCTCAGAAAATGTATACATTTAGCTCACCGTTTCAGAAGTTCAAGAGGACAGCCCTCACAGAGGCTCAGCTCCGGCGAGGATGCCACAGCAAGTGGCACCACAGTGGGAAGAACATGTGTGGAAGAGAGGCTCCAGAGGTGCCAGACTTACTAATGACAACCCAGTGTCTTGGGAACTAATTTAGTCCCTTAAGAGCTAATCCACCCTATTAATCTACTCATGAGGTAGAGTTCCCATTCCCCCAAAACCACCACACCAAGCTGGGCGCTGGTGGCTCAACTCTGTAATCCTAGCTACTCAGGAGATGAGATCTGAGGATCATGGTTCAAAGCCAGCCCAGGCAGGAAAGTCTGCAGAACTCTTATCCCCAATAAACCACCAGAAAACTAGGACTGGCACTGTGGCTCAAGGGGTAGAGTGCTCGCCTTGAGCTGAAGAGCTGAGGGACAGCACACTGGCCCGGAGTTCAAGCCCTACAACCGACAAAAAAAAAAAAAAAACACCAGGGACCAAGCTCAACTATATAAACCTCAACAGGGACACACATCCAAACCAAACCATAGCAGAAGTCAAGCAAACCTCACATGACTGAAGAGACAAGAAAGCTGAAGGCTGGCTAAGAAGGAGCCACACAACACCCCAAGGCTCTGTGGGATCCTTGGAGGGCTGTGGTCAGAACCAATCCCTGGAGGACTGTGATCAGAATCAAATGCAATGGCTAGAGTCAGGATATCCTTTGAATGAGTCTAAGTACTTAGCTGTGTGTGAGCAGTGTCATTTTCAGTACAAAGTATAGAATCCACAAACTCTATGGAAAATTAATCCGAAATTTTAAACTTGAAAATGCAGTAACTGAAAGTAAACCCAACTTCAAGGAGATTACCATTGTATTAGATGTAGTAGAACATAAGACTGATGAACTGGAAGACAGGTCAAAAGAAAATACAAAAATTAAAGCAGAGAGAAAAAGGATTTCTGAAGCAGAAAAAGGGCTGTATAATACAGGTGAGAAAATATGAAAACATCTAACAGCGCAATGGAAGTCCTAAAAGATTGACCAGACAGAAGAAGCAAAAGTCAAGACTGTCCACAACTAATAAAATGACATAATCACAACAACTCAAGATGCTCTAGACTCCAACCAGAATAAACATGAAACAAGCCACACAAAGTCACCACAGTAGCACTGCTGAAAGCCAACTTTAGGGAAAACAGTTAAAAGCAACATGATGAAGAAAAGATGTGACTCTTAAAGGAACTATAACAAGTCAATAGTTTGTATTTCAAAATATAAAATTAAAGATAATATAATTAAGTCTCTAAAATGTCAGGAAAATAGCTGCTAAACTATAAGTTAATTCCTAGAGAAAATAGCACTTGACATTAAAAGTGAGATAAATGTTTTCAAACAAGCAGAAATCAAGAGGATGTGGACCAGTGGCAGAACTGCTAAAATACTGAAGCCAGAGATCTTCAAATAGAAAAGGGGGAGGAAGAAGGGGGAAGAGGGGTAAGGAGAAATGGGAAGGTAAGGAGGAGGAAGGGGAGGAGAAGGAGTAGCAGAGAGGAGGGGGAGGTGGAGAAAGGGAGAGGAAGAGGAGGAGGAGGAAGAGGAGGAGAGGAGGAGAGGAGGAGAGGAGGAGAGGAGGAAGAGGAAAGGAGGAGGAAGAAGAGGAAAGGAGGAGGAGAGGAGGAAAGAAGGAGAAGGAGAGAAGGAAAAGGAGAAGAGGAAGGGGAAGAGGAGATGGAGGAGGAGGAAGAGGAAGAGAGGGAAGAGGAGGAGAGAGAGGAGGAGGAAGAGGAGCACAAGGAGGAGGAAGAGGAGGAGAGGAGGAAGAGGAAAGGAGGAGGGGAGGAGGAGAAGAGAGGAAAGAGGAAGAAGAGGAGAGGAGGAGGGGGGAAGAAAGGGAGAAAGAGGAGAAGGAAAAGAAGGAGAAGGAGAGGAGAAGGAAAAGGAAGAGAGGAGGGGGAAGAGGAGAGGGAGGAGGAGGAAGAGGAGGAGAGGGAAGAGGAGGAAGAAGAGCACAAGGAGGAGGAGGAAGAGGAGAGGAGGAAGAGGAAATGAGGAAGAGAGGAGGAGGAGGAGGAGGAGGAAAGGAGGAAGAAGAAAAGAGGAGGAAGAGGAGAAGAAGAGTAGAGGAGGAGAGGAGGAGCAGAGGGGAGGAGGAGGGGAGGAGGAGGAGCGGAGGAGGAGCAGAGGAGGAGCAGAGGGGAGGCGGAGGAGCAGAGGAGGCAGCAGCAACACTGAGCCCAAACCCTGGCTGCCTCTACAACTTCCTGGCTAAGTCAAATCCTGGCAGGTTACCAAAGGTCAAGTAAAAAGACTAGAAGCACTTTACAAAATCTAAGCAATTCAAATATAATAACAATGTAAAAAATTACCAGTTCCCTATCCTACGGAAAATTAAAAAATCTCAAGACACCCACCTGTGACAGCCAGGTGGAAGGAGACCTTCTGGCCCCTGGCCTCACAGCTGTACTCCCCGGCGTCCGCCTTGCCCGCCTGCTGCACCACCAGCCGCCGCGTGCAGCCCGACGCCTCCACGTGCACCTTCGAGCTGGAGCTCAGCTTCTTCCCATCCTTGTACCAGGTCACCTCCGTCTGTGCCTGGGCCACCTCGCAGCTCAGTGTGGCACTGGCCCCCGCCTCGGCCTTCACCTCATTACGTACCTGCTGCTGCTTGGCAAACACCACCTCGGGCTCTGGGGAAAGGCAAGGATGAATGACCAGTTAACTCTGTCTTCTTAGATGACAAAGATAATTTTTTGTTTCAATATTCATCTAAAGATATGGAGCAATTATGCTGACTGGTCTTCATTAGGAATTGCTGAAAACACAAGATTGTGGCTTATCAACTAAGATAGTTTTTCTAGCCAAGCTTCTCATCCTAAATGGAATATTTGACTACTAATCCACACCTTCAATCTAGTAACAAGAAAATATACCACTACCAGACACTACCCAATCTTACATAACCTCTAAGAAATCTGAGATTCATATCTCCAATTAACCAGCAAAAAGCAGAGTGAAGTTGTGGCTCAAGCACCAGCCTTGAATAAGAAAAGCTAAGGAAGGGGGCTGGGAAGGTGGATCAGTGGTAGAGCGCTTGCCTTGCATGCATGAGGCCCTGGGTTCGATTCCTCAGCACCACATAGGCAAAAAGAAAAAAAAAAGCCAGAAGTGGTGTTGTGGCTCAAGTGGTAGAACGCTAGCCTTGAGCTGAAGAGCTGAGGGACAGCGCCCAAGCCCAGAGTTCAGGCCCCATGACCAGACCCCCCCCCCCCAAAAAAAAAAGCTAAGTAAGAGCATGAGGCCCTAAGTTCAAATGTGCATGTGTGCGCACGCGCGCACACGCGCACACACACACGCACACACACACACACACACACACACACACAAATAAGGGATGACTAGTAAAATTAAAGGTTAGGGTTCCCATAACTCACACCTAAAAGCCTAGCTTACCCAGAAGTCTGAGATCTGAAAATTGTGGTTCAAGGCTAGCCTGGAAAGGCAAATATGAAAGACTCTTACATCCAATTAACAACAAAAAATCTGGAATAGAGGGTGTGGCTCAAGTGGGAAAATGCCAGGTAAGTATGAGTAAGAGGCCTTGAGTTCAAGCCCCATTACCAACACACACACACACACACACACACACACACACACACACACACACACACACACACACACACACTAAAGAGGAGATGCATAACCAAATGAGTAAATTCAAAGAGGCTGCAAAGAAGCAAGTGAGCTCAAAGACAACTCAAACAGCTGAACTAAACAAAGAGGACAGTGAATTTGAAGGAGAAATTCAATGAAGATACATAATCTTGAAAAAGTGAAATTAAGGGGATTGGGGGTATTTCTCAACTACATGCCTAGCAAGTGCGAGATGCTAGATTCAAACTCTAGCACCACCAATAAAAGAAAAATAAAATTGAAATCTTGGAAATAAACAGCCCAACAGCCCAAATTATTTTTAACTCAATACAAAGCCTAGCTAACAGAACAGAACAAATTGAAAATAGAATAATAAAGAAGAAGGATAAAGCTCAGGGATTAAATTAATCTGTCAAAGACATTGAAACTACTATGAACACCATCACAAGACCAAATTTATGAATCATGGGTATAGAAAAAGGATATACAAACTAGATAAGCATAACTAAGATAATCAATAATAACCAAAAACATACCCAACCTGGGGAAAAAGAGGATCATCTAGATAGAGGAGGCTTACAGATACCAAACAGACAAGAACAGAGACAAAATATCCCCAGGTATATTATAATTAAAATATTAAATATACAGAACAAAGAATTAATAGTGAAAGCTGCAAAGGAGAAGTAATAAGCAAGGAAATGCCCATTAGAATTAATGGAAGGTTTCTAATGACAAACTTCAAATTCAAAGAGGTCATAAAAGGACAAAACCTAAGCCTTAAAAGAAATAACTGTCAACCTAGAGTAATGTACCCAGCAAAGCCTCCCTACATAACTGAGGGAGAAATAAAAGCCTATTTAAAAAAAAAAAAAAAAAAGCTATGCCGGGAGCCTGTGGGTCACGCTACTCAGGAGGCTGAAATCTGAGGATCACAGTTCAAAGTCAGCCCAGGCAGAAAAGTCTGTGAGACTCTTATCTCCAATTAACTAGAAAACCAGAAGTGGTGCTATGGCTCAAGTGCTAGAGCGCTAGTCTTGAGCTCTGAAGAGCTGAGAGACAGGGCCCAGGCCCAGAGTTCAGGCTCCACAAATGACAAAAAAAAATTTTTTTAATGAAAGAGAGGTTTCAAATAAATAGCCTAACAATGTACCTCACACTACAAGAAAAACAAGAAAAGCAAATCCCCAAATAGGAAGACTGAAAGAAGTAATAAATATTAAGATAAACAAGCCAGGCACTGGTGGCTCACACCTGTAATTCTAGCTACTCAGGTGGCTGAGATCTGAAGATCAAGCTTTGAGGCCACCCCAGGCAGAAAAGTCTCTGTGAGACTCTTATCTCCAATTAACCACTCAAAAGCCAGAAATGAGGCTGTGGTTCAAAGTGCTAAGCACTAGCCTTGAGAAAAAGAGCTCAGGGACAGTACCCATGCCCTGAGTTCAAGCCCCACAACCAAAAAATCAACAAAATGGAGACTTATAGGAAGAGACAATGAAACATAAAAGCTATGCTTTGAAACACAAAAACAACAAATACAAATAAAATTCAGAGAATCATGAAAGAACTCTTATATTCAAGTAACCTGGAAAATGTAGAATAAATGGATAAATTTCTAGGTACAGCTGACCTTCCAAAACTGACCCAAGAAGAAATAAACTACTTATGCAGACCTATTAAAAGCTAAAATACACACCAGGGCTGGGAAGGTGGCTCAGTGGTAGAGCACTTGCCTTGCATGCATGAGGCCCTGGGTTCGATTCCTCAGCACCACATAAGCAAAAAGAAAAAAGCCGGAAGTGGCGCTGTGGCTCAAGTGGTAGAGCACTAGCCTTGAGCTGAGGGACAGCGGCCAGGCCCAGAGTTCAGGCCCCACAACTGGACCAAAAAAAAAAAAAAAAAAAGAAAATACACACCAGAGAAAAGACAGCCTCTAAATCTTATTTGTATTTGTTGTGATTTTTCCTTTAATTTTTATCTCTAATTTTATTCACTTTATCTTTCCCTCCTCCTACTGGTCTGACAACTGGGAAAGACAGAGCAATAAATTAGATTAAACAGTAAACCATATACAGAAATGAATTACCATGATGAAACCCTTCATACAATTAATACATTCTGAGGAAAAGAAACATAAGAAAATGAAAGAGGTTGTGTTATGGAGTGGTTAGAGATAAACGACGTACTATGAAATGGAAACAGCACTGAAGGTGCGAAGGTCTTCAATTCACAGCCTTCCCATTCCCGCAAACACAGCCAAGTCTTGTATGACAAAACAGCTGTGCAAGATATCATGAAGCACAGCACCAGAACCTGCAAAGTTATTAGTGTCATAGTGCAATGTGTACCAAAAGAAACTTAGTATCTGCAAAGAACATACCTGTGACACCCAGGTGGAAGGAGACCTTCTGGCCCCCGGACTCGCAGCTGTACTCCCCGGCGTCCGCCTTGCCCGCCTGCTGCACCACCAGCCGCCGCATGCAGCCTGACGCCTCCACGTGCACCTTCGAGCTGGAGCTCAGCTTCTTCCCGTCCTTGTACCAGGTCACCTCCGTCTGCGCCTGGGCCACCTCGCAGCTCAGTGTGGCGCTGGCCCCCGCCTCGGCCTTCACCTTATTATGTGCCTGCTGCTCCTTAGCAAACACCACCTTGGGCTCTGGGGACACACGGGAGGAACACGGTAAAATGGTCCACCGAAGTCAAGTACCACACCTGGGTTTCTGTTTAACGGGTTCTGGTTCCTAGACTACCCCAGTTCCTTCTACAGGGGTCCCTCTTCACTAACCGCCATGTGTCTGAGCCCTAGAACTCTAGAAAGACCAGTCATTTGTCCAGACTCTCCTAGGCTTAAATCTCAACCATCTTAAGATACTTCAAACAGGGGCTGGAAAGGTGGCTCAGTGGTAGAGTGCTTGCCTTGCATGCATGAGGCCCTGGGTTCGATTCCCCAGCACCAAATAAGCAAAAAAAAAAGCCAGAAGTGGCGCTGTGGCTCAAGTGGTAGCACGCTAGCCTTGAGCTGAAGAGCTGAGGGACAGCGCCCAGGCCCAGGGTTCAGGCCCCATGACCGGACCCAAAAAAAAAAGATACTTCAAACAATGTATACCTCCTCTCCACCTGAGTCTCCACAACTTTCAAAGGAAAAGAAGGGCTTTTTTTCCTGACCCTGATCCTTCCTTCCCCATGGCCCAAAGGGTCTGCTGTGGCTCTTTCTGGGTTCAAGAGATGTGACGCCTGCCCTGATGTCTGCTGTCACCAGCAGAGCAGCCTGACAGGCATTCTAGAAATTGCCATGGCACCTCTGGCAGATGTAGGGGGCATTCCCTCCCATCCCGAACGTGCGTGCGGCTCCCCCCACACACACACCTACATAATGCTATCTATAAAATGGAAGAAGCTTAGACTCCTGAACATAGCCCCAGCCTGCCCCACTTCTGATATACCAAGAAGCTTTGAAACCTTCAACTAATATTCATGCTCTGCTGGTGAAAGTGTGTTGTTCGTGGGTATAATGTCTTCATACAAGTTTTCCATGCATCCTGGCAGAACGGAGCCTTCCCGTCCTCAGGCCTGTGAGCTGGAGCCATGCTCCTTGGAGAAAACTCCCTCCTCACTCACCCCCATGTGGTAACATGTCTGAGCCCTAGAACTATATAGAAAGACCAGTCATTTGGCCAGACTCACCTAGGCTCAAATCTCAACCATTTTTTTTTTTTTTGTCGGTCGTGGGGCTGGAACTCTGGGTCTGGGCACTATCCCTGAGCTCTTCAGCTCAAGGCAAGCACTCTATCGCTTGAGCCACAGCACCTCTTCCAATCTCAACCATCTTAAGATACTTCAAACAATGTACACCTCCTCTCCACCTGAGTTCCCTCAACTTTCAAAGAAAAAGAAGAGCTTTTTTCCTGACCCTGAGCCTCACCACAAACATACAGTAATCAGGAAGGTTCTCAGCACTGTAAAATAACCCAGTTGCAGGGATGAAACACAAAAATAATTTTAAAAAAAGAATGGACAGAAATAGAGAAAATATGCTCCCCAAATTGGCTAAAACTGACTATTCAGTGGTCCTAAATTTCTTTATTATCTGATTTCCTTTACTACCTTTAGATCACTTACCTACCTAAACATTAGTTTTACTATTTCCTGCCCAACTGTTCACTGAAAAAAGGAATCTAGAAAGTCACTATGTTTTGCTAGACACAGCTAGACCTGCTCTCCACCCTCCAAAAGTCCAGGCACACAAACACACTCATAGGAACCCCGAAGCTGGAAGTCCAGAGCTCACCTGGATGACAGGAGCAGGGGCCTTGTCCTCTCTGGAGACGGAGGCCACTACTCGCCAATACTGAACCTACAATCCCTTCTTTCCTGCCCATAGCTCTCACCTTGAACCAACAACTGGTAGGTAATATGGCTCCCTCGGCTAATGCACTCGTAGAGGCCAGCATCATCCTGCACCACATCTCGTACCAACAGTGCCCGCTGCCCAGCAGATGCCTGCACCTCATACTTGGGGCCTACGGGCAGCACACGGCCATCTTTCAGCCAGGTCACAGCCGCAGCCTGGTCCGATAGCTCCGCCAGCAGCTGTGCCTCCTCATGCAGCCGGGCTAGCACCTCCCGGGCAGCTGAGGCTGGTGGCTTGCTTGCGGTCAGTCCTGAGGCAGCTGCAGCCCCGAAGTGGTGAGACACAAGAGGTACAGAGGAACCAGGACAGGGAGATGGAGGAGTGAGGGGCAGAGTGGAGGAGACAAATGCAGAGATGCAGATGCAGGATGGAAGAAGAACACAAAGGCATGGAGAGACCCCAAGAGAAAAGGAGAGATCACAGGGAGAGACAAGTGGGGGAAGTGAGGAAGAAACAATACATCAGGAAAACAAAGGCGAATGGAAAGAGACAGAAAGAAACAGATGGGGAAAGATGGGCATGAAGAATCATGGTGGGGAGACAGAAAAAGGAGGGAAAAAAGAGAGATGAGGGTCCAGCCACAGGGCCCCTTGTTCACCCTCCCCCTGCCTGACCACACCGGGCAGCCTGGGTGAGCCTCCAGCACCCTGCCATCATCCTGCCCCTTTATCCTTCCGCTGGAGGGCCAACCCTCCCCCAAGACACCCACCAGATCTCCACCCCCTTCCGAGGAATGGGGGCTCGGGGTCCCGGCCTACCTCGGACCTCCATCCGAACACTGCTTTCAATGCCATCGGCCACAAACTTCAGCTGCGCCCCATGCAGGCTGGCAGGCACCTCTCGGATGGTCAGCGTGTGCTGGGTTTGGTCACGGCGGATCACGTACAAGCTACTGGCCTTCAGGGCCTTCCCATCCAGGAACCACTCACCGGAAGAGGCCACTGTGAGGTCCACGGAGAAGGTGACCTCGCCGCCCTCCACTGCTTCCAGGGCCTTCAGCGGTGTCCTCACAGCCAGATGAGGGACTGTAAGGTGGGTGGCTTTAAGAGCGGAGCCAGGACACGGGGCAGTCTCTGCCTTTTTGTCCTCTTCCTATGGAGCCCAAATGTCCCCTGCTCCAAAAAGCCCCACCCGCATGCACACAAGGACCATGAGCACAAGTCAGGCTCATGACAGACAGGGACAGCTACTGCACAGCTCCTGCCAGTCCCACCACTTCCCAACACCCTTCCTGGGTGAGGCAGCCGAAGCCTTACCCACCCCACCCCATAGGGCTGATGGAGACAAACAGCTTCAGAGGGACTTGATCCTGTCTAAAAATTATCCTTCTGACTGGGGCAGTCCCAGTGCGCCACCCCAAAAAAGTCATGGAAGATCAACCTGGCCTCACTGGTGGCCAGGCCTTGCTTCTGTGCATGGCGACAACACCTGTGGAATTATCAGGCAGCCCTGCTCACCCAGGTGGATGGTCCCTGGAAACTCGAGGTAGGGACTCTGGCCAAAGTTGTTGATGGCCGACACTCGGAACTGGAAGTCCCCCTCTTCAGCCACACCAGTGACAGTAAACTCCAGCAGGGCCACCCACTCGGTCTGGTGGCATTGACTCCAGGCATAAGCACCAAGCCGCCTCTTCTCCACCAGGTAACCATCGATGGTGACAGGGCGGTCCCCCTGGGATGGTGGGGACCAGCTGAGGGTCACAGAACTCTCCGTCCTGGCCTTCACCACAGGGTCAGCAGGGGGGTACAAGGGTGGCCTTCTGGGGGCTGGAAGAAGGATGGATAGAGATCACCAAGAAAGGCAATGGGTGGAAATCACTGAGCATCCCCGCCCAAGCCCTAGACAGAAATTGAGTCACAGAACCTCTTCCCTCCTGGGGATACTGCTATAGTAGCATCAGAGAGACTGTGGGCTCAGCAGCCCCCACCCCAGACTTATAGACAATTAGCTGCTGTGGAAATGCCCCAGCCTGACAGAGGAGTTCAGAGATGATGAGCTATCTGTGTCTTCCTGCCACCTGCCCCGCCACAGGCTGGAGCCCACAGCACTTGTGGAGGACAAGGCCAGCCTTGCCCATGGACTGAAAGGTGGCGCCCTAGGGGAGAGATCCACCTGAAGACTGCTCCTGAGGCCCTTACCAGACACACAGAACTGGGTAGACGTTCGGCAGTGGCCAGCCACGAAGGCCACCTCCCCAGCATCCTCCAGACTGCACTGGAAGATGGTCAGCGTGTGGCAGCTGCCTTCCGCGGTGATGGCCACCCGGCCCCCGGCCACCATCTCTTCTTGGTTTCGAAGCCAACGGACAGGACCCTCCGGGACGGCCAGCTCCACCCAGAACACGGCTGTGTCCCCCACTCGCACCGCTGTCTTCCGAGGTAGCTTTCGGGTCAAGTTCCCTGGGGTGGAGGGACCCCAGAGCCCATCAGACTTGGTCTCACATGCACCCCTCACTGCTCCCCTCCCTCATCCCTGTCCCACCTCCTACCTCACCTCCCTAGCCCCTTCCTGCCCTCCCACCTCCCTCCTGCCAACTCCTGTCTGACCCATCTCCCTGCTCAGGCCTCCGAAGGCCTCAGCACCAAGTTTCCAGCAACCTGCTCCTCCCAGTACCACCTTCCCCACTCCACCCTCCCCCAACAACTCTCACTCCTCCCTCCTCCACCCTCCCCTGACACTCCTCCCTCACATCCATCCTTCTGCTCCTCCCGCCAGTACCCCCACCCCGTCCCAAACACACACGACACCCTCGCCCCGCATGCCTTGGACGGCGAGCTCGGCCACGGTGCGGCTGCCCTCGGCGGTCTCGCAGACATACACGGCGTCGTCGTCGGCACAGACGTGGCGCACGGTCAGCCGGCGCTCGGCGCCCTCCGCCTCGATGCCGTACTTGTCACTCGCCCACAGCCGCGTCTCCTCCTTGAACCACGCGGCCTCCACCGCTGGCTCCGCTACCTCGCACCGGAACGTAACCGACTCCTTCTCCCGCACCTCCACGTCCTGCAACCGCGTTCTGAAGGGCACAGCAGGCTCTGCGGGGACAGGAGCAGTGAGGGGCTGGGGGCAGGGATGGGATGGGGACAGGAGCAGTGAGGGGCTGGGGGCAGGGATGGGATGGGGACAGGAGCAGTGAGGGGCTGGGGGCAGGGATGGGATGAGGACAGGGGGAGGGAGGGGCTGGGGGCTGGGATGGGATGGGGACAGGAGCAGTGAGGGGCTGGGGGCAGGGATGGAATGGGGACAGGGGGAGGGAGGGGCTGGGGGCAGGGCTGGGATGGGGACAGGGGGAGGGAGGGGCTGGGGGCTGGGATGGGATGGGGGCTGGGGGAGGGCGGGGCTGGGGGCTGGGATGGGATGGGGCTGGGGGAGGGAGAGGCTGGGGGCTGGGATGGGATGGGGCTGGGGGAGGGAGGGGATGGGGGCTGGGGGCTGGGCTGGGGGAGGGAGGGAAGGGGGGCTGGAATGGGTGGAGACTGGGGGAGGGAGGGGATGGGGCCTGGGGGAGGGGCTGGGGGAGGGAGGGGAGGGGCTGGGGGAGGGAGGGGCTGGGGGCTGGGATGGGATGGGGCTGGGGGAGGGAGGGGCTGGGGGCAGGGCTGGGGAGGGGCTGGGGGAGGGAGGGGCTGGGGGCTGGGGGCTGCGCTGGGGGAGGGAGGGGCTGGGGGCTGGGATGGGATGGGATGGGATGGGATGGGGAAGTGAGGGCTGGCAGGGTAGGTGGGAAGGACCCCAGGGCGGTAGGCGTGGAGCTGGGGAGGGGAGGATGGGGGGCGAGGGCGCCAGGGAGGCCAGGGCACAGCACACAAGAGCTGAGGCAGCTGCGGGTTGACGCGCAGAAGCGGCGTCCCGCTGGAGTCCTCAGAGATGGACGGGGGGAGAGAGATGGAGGGGGGGAGAGAAAGAGGGGGAGACAGAGGGGGAGATAGAGGGGGAGATAGAGGGGGAGACAGAGGGGGAGATAGAGGGGGAGACAGAGGGAGAGACAGAGGGGGAGATAGAGGGGGAGATAGAGGGGGAGATAGAGGGGGAGACAGAGGGGGAGACAGAGGGGGAGACAGAGGGGGAGACAGAGGGGGAGACAGAGGGGGAGACAGAGGGGGAGATAGAGGGGAGATAGACGGGGAGATAGACGGGGAGACAGAGGGGGAGACAGAGGGGGAGACAGAGGGGGAGATAGAGGGGGAGACAGAGGGGGAGATAGAGGGGGAGACAGAGGGGGAGACAGAGGGGGAGACAGAGGGGGAGACAGAGGGGGAGACAGAGGGGGAGATAGAGGGGAGATAGAGGGGGAGATAGAGGGGAGATAGAGGGGGAGATAGAGGGGAGATAGAGGGGGAGATAGAGGGGGAGGCAGAGGGGGAGATAGAGGGGGAGATAGAGGGGAGATAGAGGGGGAGATAGAGGGGAGATAGAGGGGGAGGCAGAGGGGGAGACAGAGGGGGAGACAGAGGGAGAGACAGAGGGGGAGACAGAGGGGGAGACAGAGGGGGAGATAGAGGGGAGATAGAGGGGGAGACAGAGGGGGAGATAGAGGGGAGATAGAGGGGGAGATAGAGGGGAGATAGAGGGGGAGATAGAGGGGGAGGCAGAGGGGGAGACAGAGGGGGAGACAGAGGGGGAGACAGAGGGGGAGACAGAGGGGGAGATAGAGGGGGAGATAGAGGGGAGATAGAGGGGGAGATAGAGGGGAGATAGAGGGGGAGATAGAGGGGGAGATAGAGGGGAGATAGAGGGGGAGGCAGAGGGGGAGATAGAGGGGGAGGCAGAGGGGGAGACAGAGGGGAGATAGAGGGGGAGATAGAGGGGAGACAGAGGGGGAGATAGAGGGGGAGACAGAGGGGGAGACAGAGAGAGAGACAGAGGGGGAGACAGAGGGGGAGATAGAGGGGGAGATAGAGGGGAGATAGAGGGGGAGATAGAGGGGGAGATAGAGGGGAGATAAAGGGGGAGATAGAGGGGAGATAGAGGGGGAGATAGAGGGGGAGGCAGAGGGGGAGACAGAGGGGGAGACAGAGGGGGAGACAGAGGGGGAGACAGAGGGGGAGATAGAGGGGGAGATAGAGGGGGAGACAGAGGGGGAGACAGAGGGGGAGACAGAGGGGGAGACAGAGGGGGAGATAGAGGGGGAGACAGAGGGGGAGACAGAGGGGGAGATAGAGGGGAGATAGAGGGGGAGATAGAGGGGGAGATAGAGGGGGAGATAGAGGGGGAGACAGAGGGGGAGACAGAGGGGGAGGCAGAGGGGGAGATAGAGGGGGAGATAGAGGGGGAGACAGAGGGGGAGACAGAGGGGGAGACAGAGGGGGAGATAGAGGGGGAGACAGAGGGGGAGATAGAGGGGGAGGCAGAGGGGGAGACAGAGGGGGAGACAGAGGGGGAGACAGAGGGGGAGATAGAGGGGGAGGCAGAGGGGGAGACAGAGGGGGAGACAGAGGGGGAGACAGAGGGGGAGACAGAGGGGGAGATAGAGGGGGAGATAGAGGGGGAGACAGAGGGGGAGGCAGAGGGGGAGACAGAGGGGGAGACAGAGGGGGAGACAGAGGGGGAGATAGAGGGGGGAGATAGAGGGGGAGACAGAGGGGGAGACAGAGGGGGAGACAGAGGGGGAGACAGAGGGGGAGATAGAGGGGGAGATAGAGGGGGAGACAGAGGGGGAGATAGAGGGGAGATAGAGGGGGAGATAGAGGGGAGATAGAGGGGGAGATAGAGGGGGAGGCAGAGGGGGAGATAGAGGGGGAGATAGAGGGGAGATAGAGGGGGAGATAGAGGGGAGATAGAGGGGGAGGCAGAGGGGGAGACAGAGGGGGAGACAGAGGGAGAGACAGAGGGGGAGACAGAGGGGGAGACAGAGGGGGAGATAGAGGGGAGATAGAGGGGGAGACAGAGGGGGAGATAGAGGGGGAGATAGAGGGGGAGATAGAGGGGAGATAGAGGGGGAGATAGAGGGGGAGGCAGAGGGGGAGACAGAGGGGGAGACAGAGGGGGAGACAGAGGGGGAGACAGAGGGGGAGATAGAGGGGGAGATAGAGGGGAGATAGAGGGGGAGATAGAGGGGAGATAGAGGGGGAGATAGAGGGGGAGATAGAGGGGAGATAGAGGGGGAGACAGAGGGGGAGATAGAGGGGGAGATAGAGGGGAGATAGAGGGGGAGATAGAGGGGAGATAGAGGGGGAGGCAGAGGGGGAGACAGAGGGGGAGACAGAGGGAGAGACAGAGGGGGAGAGAGAGGGGGAGACAGAGGGGGAGATAGAGGGGAGATAGAGGGGGAGACAGAGGGGGAGATAGAGGGGAGATAGAGGGGGAGATAGAGGGGAGATAGAGGGGGAGATAGAGGGGGAGGCAGAGGGGGAGACAGAGGGGGAGACAGAGGGGGAGACAGAGGGGGAGACAGAGGGGGAGACAGAGGGGGAGACAGAGGGGGAGACAGAGGGGGAGATAGAGGGGAGATAGAGGGGGAGATAGAGGGGGAGATAGAGGGGAGATAGAGGGGGAGATAGAGGGGGAGACAGAGGGGGAGGCAGAGGGGGAGACAGAGGGGGAGACAGAGGGGGAGACAGAGGGGGAGACAGAGGGGGAGACAGAGGGGGAGATAGAGGGGGAGACAGAGGGGAGATAGAGGGGGAGACAGAGGGGGAGACAGAGGGGGAGATAGAGGGGGAGATAGAGGGGGAGATAGAGGGGGAGATAGAGGGGGAGACAGAGGGGGAGATAGAGGGGGAGATAGAGGGGGAGATAGAGGGGGAGACAGAGGGGAGATAGAGGGGGAGACAGAGGGGGAGACAGAGGGGGAGACAGAGGGAGAGACAGAGGGGGAGATAGAGGGGGAGACAGAGGGCGAGATAGAGGGGAGATAGAGGGGGAGATAGAGGGGGAGATAGAGGGGGAGACAGAGGGGGAGACAGAGGGGGAGATAGAGGGGGAGACAGAGGGGGAGACAGAGGGGGAGACAGAGGGGGAGACAGAGGGGGAGATAGAGGGGGAGACAGAGGGGGAGATAGAGGGGAGATAGAGGGGGAGATAGAGGGGGAGACAGAGGGGGAGATAGAGGGGAGATAGAGGGGGAGACAGAGGGGGAGACAGAGGGGGAGACAGAGGGGGAGACAGAGGGGGAGACAGAGGGGGAGATAGAGGGGAGATAGAGGGGGAGACAGAGGGGGAGACAGAGGGGGAGATAGAGGGGGAGACAGAGGGGGAGACAGAGGGGGAGACAGAGGGGGAGACAGAGGGGGAGACAGAGGGGGAGACAGAGGGGGAGACAGAGGGGGAGACAGAGGGGAGATAGAGGGGAGATAGAGGGGGAGACAGAGGGGGAGACAGAGGGGGAGATAGAGGGGGAGATAGAGGGGGAGACAGAGGGGGAGACAGAGGGGAGATAGAGGGGGAGATAGAGGGGGAGAGAGAGGGGGAGACAGAGGGGGAGATAGAGGGGAGATAGAGGGGGAGACAGAGGGGGAGACAGAGGGGGAGACAGAGGGGGAGACAGAGGGGGAGACAGAGGGGAGACAGAGGGGAGACAGAGGGGGAGATAGAGGGGGAGACAGAGGGGGAGACAGAGGGGGAGACAGAGGGGGAGACAGAGGGGGAGACAGAGGGGGAGACAGAGGGGGAGACAGAGGGGGAGACAGAGGGGGAGACAGAGGGGAGATAGAGGGGAGATAGAGGGGGAGACAGAGGGGGAGACAGAGGGGGAGACAGAGGGGGAGACAGAGGGGGAGACAGAGGGGGAGACAGAGGGGGAGACAGAGGGGGAGACAGAGGGGGAGACAGAGGGGGAGACAGAGGGGGAGACAGAGGGGGAGACAGAGGGGGAGACAGAGGGGGAGACAGAGGGGGAGATAGAGGGGAGATAGAGGGGGAGATAGAGGGGGAGACAGAGGGGGAGACAGAGGGGGAGATAGAGGGGGAGACAGAGGGGGAGACAGAGGGGAGATAGAGGGGGAGACAGAGGGGGAGACAGAGGGGGAGATAGAGGGGAGATAGAGGGGGAGACAGAGGGGGAGACAGAGGGGGAGACAGAGGGGGAGATAGAGGG